TTAATTTAACTTTAATTGACTTTAGAACAATACAATTATATAAATAAAAATTTAAAGTTGCATTTCTGATGATAATGATTTTTATAGAATTTTATTATATTAACTTTCTTTAAGGTGAACAATTCTAAAAAAATTAAAAAAATGCCCATATCATAGTTGTTTTTCCATGCTAGCCGTTTTTAGCTTAGAGCTATTGAAAAAATGGTGCCAATTGAAGTTGGACAAAAACGATACTTAATCAGTTAAGCTGAAGAAATGAATTTATTCATTAAGATATGCCACTCATTGTAAGCAGTTATTGTTCTCAATTTAAAAATTTATAATAGTGTCGTGTAATAGTGTATTTATAATAGTGCTATTTTAAGATTTATTAAATTTGAATTTATTAAACTTAGAATAGAATTTAAAAATTCCAAATAAAAAATTAAAAAAAAACAATTTATGAATGAAAATAAACTTTTTTAAAAAAATTTTTTAATTTTTTTAAAAATAAAAAATGAAACAAAATCAAATCTAATAATCAAAAGGGAAAAAAATTTTCTTTTTTCAATACTTTATTTTTTTAAAATTTTTTAACGAACAAAAAATCACTTTCCACCTGTTTTCCATTTTTTCTTTCTCACAATAACCAAATTTTTTTCGACAAAAATTCATTTTTTTTTCTGGAACTTTCAAAAAAGACTCAAGAAATAGTAATTTTTTCTAAGTTATTCATAAGGTATTAATTTAACTTTAAAAAAAACTCTCAACAGTCGTGAGGATTAAGGTAGACGAAACTGGATTTTAATATTCGTCGACTCATTTCCAGTCATCATTCGTCGAATTTGCCATATAAAATTGGGCGTCATGTTAGCATTACCACGCCCAAATACCTTTATCTAACTGGTTGCTTGCTAACAATCAGGAAATGGTCTTCGTTCATTTCTTTTAGCACCGTGTTTTTCTTCTTCACCGATCTATTTTTTTCTACCTAATTTTTATTACACCATTTGCCATTATTATTATTATTGTTAATTATAATTACAATTATTATAAGTTATTATTTATTTTATTTTTTATTATTTTTTTTAGCGTTCCATTCCGAAAAATATTTCTCATTTTAGATTTTTTTTAAATGAAAATAAATAATTAAATATAAAAGCAAAGTGGCAGTTTGTTTGATATCTGACCTTTCTCTTTTATCGAATTAGCGAATTAATTGGATTTTTTAAAATATGCTTTAAAAAAATTCATTGAACATTTCATAAATAGTCAATTTAATTTTCGAAAGAAGTCAGAGAAATTTGTTAAATTTTTTTTTGTTGATAAAAATTATGTCTCATTTAGATTTTTTAGTCGCTTATTATTAATAGTAGGTTTTTCAAAAAATTTCCTTTCATTAATTTTAATTTTTCATTTTTTGAATAATTTTTTAGTTTTTGCTAACCGTTCAAGAATTAACTTTTTTTATTTTTAATTTTTCGTATTTTTTCACCAATTTCGTCATAGTTTTTTTTATTTTTTTCATAGATAGTTTAATAGTACAAAATGAAAATTTTGGAAATTTATTTATAAATTATGAATTGTAATAATAATTTTTTTCGAAGCGCATTACATTACTATTTTTAATTATTCGCTCTACTCGCTTCGCGGATCAGATAAATTTTCCTAGATGAATCACCTATAGAATTACAAGTAGGTCACCAGCATTGATCATATTTTCTGAAGGATAGCTGAGACCGAACTCCAGCACTGCCGCTCAGAAATGGGGACAATAATTCACTGACCCATTCTATTCCTTAAAAATAATAATATATAAGTGAACGAATGACTTTGGTTTACAAAAAATTTGTTTGTTTGCTTGCACTTGGCTTTATTTTTTTCGACCAATAGTATTCATTGCCATTATTGTATTAAGTGAATGTAACGAATGAAATGATTGCGACATCAAACAATCATTTTTCCTTTATTTTCTTGTTGAATTTTTATTTTATTTTAAATCTATTCAAAAAAGATATTTTTCGAAAACTTTTTTTATTTATAACGATAAAATCGAAACGTTAATGATAATTTTGATTTGGCAACATTGCGATCATAGAATTATTCTTCTCTAAAAATATTCATCATTTTTGAATTCATTCGAAATCCATTTCTTCATTTTGAAAAATCTCTCAGATATTTCTTAAATAAGTGGCGGAATGACTCAGTGGTTGTTGCTTTCATTTCAAAGTACGTTCCGATGCTTGAGCTTTTCCTACTCTCGGCAAGGACAATTTTATCTTCTACATGGCTCACTTATATAAAGTGATCTCTCGTTTAATCCAACAAGCCAGTGGAAGCTAACCAGCGCTCTCTGAAGAAAAAAAATTTCGACTATGATTTATATGCAAAATGCTTCTTTTCAAATGACCTGCAGTTGCAAAAATAGCTTTCATAGAAGCGGTCTTAACTTAGTCGGTAATAAATGCAATAGGAAAATCCAAAGAATTTAATGATAGAATTTTTAATGATTTTTGTGCTTTCGACTGCCCAATGTTCAATGATCCATTCACTTCATTGGTCATTGAATAGCGCTCTCTCAAAAAAATTTGAATGAAAATCCAAATATTTTTCAACAATTAGCTTCCTGTTTTTGCTTCCATAATAACTTTTTTGTTCTTAATTTTTTGATTTTTTTCACTGAAAAAACTTTTTAATCGATAATTAACATCGATAAGGGCGGATGAGGGGTATTGCTTACTTATTTATTGTTATAAATATAAGTATATTTACTTTAGGTTTATGATTGAATTCATATGATCCTATAGGACTCAAACATGCAAAAGCTCTATGCAATTAAATCGGTTGTTTATTCCTCCTCAAAATTATTAGTAAAATTATTAATTATTGAAATGAGGTGGTAATTTTTCATAACCTTTCAATCTGTCTAGACGATCAAATCAACATTTGTGTTTGGGAAAAAAATTTCGAAAAAAGACTCATTTGTGAAACTTAAAATTCTTCGAACTTTAAAATTACATTTGGGGAAAATTTTAACTCTTGTAAAATTGATTCAACAATCAATCGAAAAATTTTTGCTGAGCTCATGCCTAAGGCATTCATAATTTAAAAATTTATGAAAAATTCAAAAATCCTCTATTATGGAAAATATTCGAGTTTTTGATAAAGATATGATAATTTAAAATTAAAATGGTTAAAATGAGAATTTTTTGTATTTCTAGATTAATCTTATTGAATAAGCATTTTTCCTTTATTTCATTTTTCTGCCATTTAAACGAGAATTGTTTAACAAGAAAAAACATGATATGGCTTAAAATGGCTTAATGAATTATCGCCCTCATTTCGCAGCCTCAATGTTGAGATTCTATTTTAGGCAGGAATGAACCAGTTTTTCAAAAATTCGGCTGCTTCTTCTATTGAGAAATAATTCAGCAAGATTTGTCTAGTCGGAGAATTCCTATGGAAGGATGGCTTGCCAGAAATGCTGAGAGCTGAAGGAATTGGCTCAAATACTATTAGTTCATTGTAGAGATGAGAAATGCCACGATTTCAGTTAATTCTGAATAATTTCGAATTTTTCAAATTAATTTTGAAAAAAATTTTAAGAAATTCTAATAAGGAGCTTTTATCGCAACTGGCAATTTTTATCGAGGAAATATTAACTTGTATATATCGCGTGAAATGAAAAACCAGTTTCTTCTTTAAAATTTGTTATTCGCGAGAAAAACTCGCCGCGATGTTCGACGCTTTTTTTCTCGTTCCACTTTATCGCTTTTTTTTAAAAATTTGCGAATCTACTTCTTCGCCAAAATTTCATTATTCATATTAGTTACGAATTAGTTGATGAGAAAAATTGAATTGCAAAACATAAAAGGGGAGTCTTAATGACCGTAAAATCCATAATAAAATCTCTAATTGAACATCACGAACTGTGCACATGCACATGCGCAAAGAAATATAACACAAGAAAACAAAAAGTTAGATGGTTTACAAGTGTAGCTCGAGCTCAATTCTTGGCATAGGGAGTGACATTTTTTATTTTTATGTATTTTGAAATATTTATCAATGAAGAGCGCAATGGAATTGGCAAGCGATTTGGTCACTAATAAAATTTTAAAAATTTTTGTTTAAATTAATTATTCAACAGTAGAAACATTAACATTTGTGATTGACGAAGGATTTTTTTTCAACTATTTAATTTAATGAAATTTAACTATTTGATGAGATTTTTTCGCCAATCTATACTCGAATTTTATCACTTTTATCAGTAGTAGTCAACCAGTGGAAAACAAATTTCCTTAATTCGAAACCAAATCCAGATGGGAACTTTTATAAATTCGCTTTGAAGTTACTTTAATTTTATTTCGGGCAGAAATAAAATTGAGAAAATTGTCTTCCAAAAATTGGGATTCTGGCGCTAGCTGTCCATTGACTTTGATTCATCTCAAGTTGACTTTATGGCAAGAATTAATCTAGCTGAAAAAAGCTGATTGAGAATTGTGAAGACTCTTCACTAATCATTTGTCTTCAGTTTTGTTCACCAATTCAGCCAATTCAGAGATATCAATTGAGATTTTCTTTTTTCTTTATAAGATTATAAAGTAAAATCCCTAAAATTTGACTTATTGCATTTCGGACAACAGATAAATTGCGAGATCTTTGGTTATTTGCCCACTGAAATTTACCTTCACCTTAATGTATAAGCACACTTTTATAATTATGCTTAACGTTCTTGATTTTCTGGGCCTAAAAAAAGACCAGCCTTGCTTGTTCTACTGATCTGATGGTACTAAAATTATATTGAATTTCCGCTGAAATAGTTGTAGCTGATCAATGATTTTTCCTCGATTATTGATTCTTTTATATTTCATTAAATTATTGTCTTGATAAGTTCGTTATCAATAATTGTTATTGTCTATTAATATGTTCATTAATGAAATATTTAGATATGTGTGTGACTGAACTTTATCAAATTTGAGGGGTTCGATACGAAATCAGAATTGCATCACGTTCACAGCCAGATGCACATGAGAGAAGCTAAACCGTATAAATGCACTCATTGTATAAAATCATTTGCGAATAGCTCATACCTCTCACAACATATGCGAATTCATCTCGGTATCAAGCCATTTGGTCCATGTCAGTATTGCGGTAAAAAGGTTATAATTTATATTTGACTTTTTTTCGGTCACACAGAGAAAATTTATTCGACTGTTCAAAATTATCTCATGGGCTTTGTCAATATCTGAGATCTGAGATGGATAGCACCTGAGAAATTTATGAATTTAGGTTATGGAGTTTAGTTTATGGAAGTTTTCAGTCCTAAACACAAGATAGAAATTTTGTCTAAACGCATAATGTGAGGATATTCAGAAATATTTCATTACTATTCAAAAAATACAATCAACCAATTGCTCTAATTTTTCATAAACCAAGTTGCAAAAATTCTTTAAATATATTTTTTGCTAATTTGTGCAAAAATTCGAATGGATTGATGTTTTTACTCTCACGAAAAAATGAAAAATTCACAACATGATAAGTTGCTGTTTATGAAATCTAAGTAAACTGGGTTTTTTCTTATCAGTTCTTTGATTATTTCATTACCGTCTATTGTGCCGCTATATTTTTCTTAAAAGACTTCTTATCATGGATGTAAGATGGCATTTTTGGCACAAGGTTTGTCTATTAAGTCAAATATGTATCTTTAGAATGGAGCGTGCTGAATAAACGCGACCTATTTCATCTCTAAGAAAAGAACCATTTAAACTTTTAACTTTTTTCATTCATATCGAGAGAGAAAATCTAATCTTTTCAGTTTACACAATTATCGCATTTGCAACAACATATACGAACCCATACTGGTGAAAAACCTTATAAATGCAAATTTCAAGGATGTGAGAAAGCTTTCAGTCAACTGTCAAATCTACAGTCACATTCAAGATGTCATCAGAGCGATAAGCCCTTTAAATGTAACAGGTTTCTCGTTTACTCGAAATTGGTTTTATTTTCCAAAATATCGAAAATATGAGCTATGAGCTAAGAAAGTGAGGTGAAATTTATCCACTTTGACCCCAGTGGATAAAATAGTCATCAAATCCAAATCAGTAGGAGTTACCAAGGAGTATGCAATAGAAAAGAACTTTCAGTATTGCTCGTATTTCACTTTTGATAGTAGGGAGATTCCCTAATAAAATAGTAATAAAATAGATTCGTCCTTAATCAATTATTATTAATCGTTTTATATCAGGCATTTTGCAAAATCAAAAAGCTTAAAGGATTTGTTACTGTAGAATAACAAATAGCAATAAAAAATCTTAGATGAAATTTAATTAGCAGGTATTTGCAATTTCTTTTAAGAATGTTCACCAATTCTGGTTATACTCGCTCCGCTGGCATATTAGACCAGAGAAATTGTTTTTGCTGTTAGACAAGCTATTCTGCTATCATAGATAGATCTTCGTCACTACTCGACTTGCTTAGAATTTAGGCACAGTTAAATGAAATAAATCTCTAAGTAGCGATTAAATATGATCACATATTTTAGTTGCTATAAATGTTTTACCGATGAACAAGCACTTCTCGAACATATTCCAAAGCATAAAGAATCAAAACATTTGAAGGTTATTACCCAAAGTATTTTTTAGCAATTCAGCAAGCATTTTTATAAAATTTATTTAATTATTTTTTAATAAATTATCAGAAAATTTTCAGCCAACTAAATTGGAAATTTAATAAATTCCAAAATCTTTAATATTGATTTTAATATTGAGCCTTTTATCTTGGAAAAATAAAACACTTTTCTAAAATATTGTATTAAGACGATTAAAAGACGAAAATGATTAGACGCCACGAAATTTTTAACACTGACAATTTTCTATCGCTTCAATGACTCAATTTTTTCTTTAAGTTACTTTGTTTATTTCATACTATTTATTTCTTTATTCCATGTTTTGTACGAAAATTTAGTCTAAATTTTCCAAAAAGAATAATCTAACAAAGTTTTTAGGTACATATTTGCCCGTATTGTGGGAAATCCTATACGCAACAAACATATTTAGCAAAACATATGACGAAACATGCTGATAGGCGGAATATGTTAGTTTACTAATTTCAGTCCAGCTATTCAGCCGAAATTCGTTGAATATGGCGTAAATAATTTTCAAAAAAAATAATGAATAAATTACAGAAGAAATTAAATTTTTTTATTTCAGCAGTAATTTCGTCGAAGGCCTTGAAGGCTTAAACGCTTGGCGTAATGATCCATCAACAGCTCCTTCTATGGCTGGTCATAGTATTCCCGATTTGGCATCAGTCACACAATCACAAATTGATTTCAGTTAGTTCATAACTAAGTCTTTTTTAAACGACGATTCAAAATTTCTGGTGCGGCTAACCTTCTGGCTATTTGAGTGAGACTCCTTAATCGTCATTTGAACGTCATGCAAGTTAATCCATTGCACCACATATTTTTTTAATGAGACCTATCATTAAAAGGATAAGATGATATGTTTGGTTAGTTTTGCCGGCCAGTGGAATGAGGCTGCTTAGCCTTTAATTGAGGATAATGCAAGTTGGTCCACTGCATTGCACGGATTTCATATATTATTGCCATTAAAGGCATAATAAAAATATGATAAAATATGATAAAGAGGTGTTCACGAATTCAGGAAGTGAATTACGGTAATTTTTTATTATTTACAACTAGATTTGTTTCTGAGAGATTTCTAATCGAATCTTAATGCGAAACAAATCTATTCGAATTGCTTAGAAAGTTTTGAGGCTAATTAAAATAATGATATTCTTGGTAGTAAAGAATTTTTATTTTATTTTTTAATTTTTAAAATTGAAATAAGCTCGATATCATTGAACTTTACGTTATTGACTAGTTCCCTTCAGGCTTTTATTTCTTTTTGCCCAAATTGTCGGTCGAATAATCAGCGATCATCATTATTGCTGATATGCTTACCCGTTTTCGGCGTTTCGCATTTTATATTATTTTCAAGACTTTTAATCTAATGACTGACCATCGTATATTTCATCAATATACTGAAAGATACATGAGCATGATCATGCTCATATTTCTTGTTAAATCATATCTTTCAAATTTGGTCTCTTAATAATCTTTCATGCAGATTTCAGTAAATTTTTATTCATGTGAGGATCTGCCGTAAATGTCCAACGAATTTCGTTTGAATGTTTTTGATATTTTTGTAGTGATATGGATGCTACTAATCGAAAATATATTTAAATTATTTTTTTGAATCTAGGCTTAGCTTTTACCCGAGATTTGCTATAATGGTATTCTTGGATATTTTTGAAAAAAGATTGGGAGCAGCATATTCGTCTGAAAAAAGTGTCATTTTCCGACATTCGTTCTCCTTGACACGGAATTCGGTGCATTAAAGTTTAAGGACAAATAGGAATCAACACTAGATAGCTCAAGGCTAATTTATGAGTAAACTCAATAATATGGTGAATAGTGAATAGTGAATAGCCCAAGCAAAGATCATCCAAAAATCTCTTTAAAAATTTCTTCTTTTTCTTTAAATATTTATCTTTAAATAGTTGAAAAATCGGTCCTCTATTATTTCATTTGAAGTTTCGAAATTACAACGATCCAAACCTATTTATTTGTATACTATTTGTAGACTTAGTATACTACACGATATTACCAAATTTAATTCATAGATCATAAATAAGAGCTTTTCCGAATCTTTTTTTTTTCTTTTGATAGCGTGCAACAATTTCCAATTTTGCTGGCTTCATTGACTATCTTTAACCGTATTGTCAGATGGAGATAATAACACAGTTTCCAGTAGTTAGTCGAATTTAGTTCATAATGATAAATTTAGTTCCATGCGAATAAATGATATGATTGCATTTTATAGTATTTACACTGAAGCTAAAAGATAGGCTAAACAGCCTATCTCCTTAGCTTCATAGCATTTTCAATTTTAAGCATTTTTTAATTTTTTAAAATTCTTATATTAAAAGGAATACTTTTAATTAATTGAACTATTGATTGGCTTGTTAGTGATAAGAAGTGATAGTGATAAAAAATCAATTAGCATCGAGCGAAAAAAGCGAATAAATTTAGGTAAAAGCTTAGCATAAGTTTATTGTGCGAATACCTCAGCTGTCGACATCTATTTTTCACAAAAAAATTCATCGAAAAAGTGCAATAAATCAGCGTGCAAAAAAGTGCAATAAATCAGAGTAAAAAAAAAAAAGAATGCAAACAGTAGACAATAGCAAACGTCTGCATTTCTTCTTTTCTAATCATCGTTTCTTCTTCTCATCAATAAACCTCATTTTCCCCATTCACCTCCCCCCTCCCTTCTATCCTCGTTAAACATCTCTTAAATTTACGTTATATTTTTTGGCATCCAGTTGTTTTTCTATGTCAATGAAACCATTTTTCGCAGCTACATTTACAATAATTTTCTAGGTCAACTTTAAAAATTATCGACAACTCGCTGAGGGACCAATAATTTCTTATTTTTCCGGAAAAAATTAGCTATATTCTCCTTTTTTCCGCCACTCTTGCTCTAGAATACCGAATGTATAAAAGTCTGGCGTAACATTTTTTCTCTAAAATAACTCTTTATTTCTAATCTAACTTCGAGTCCGCTGACTTGTTGGACCAAATTTTTGCCATGAAACTCACTTTTTTCTTATGTTATCACTTCTTATTCTTATTTTTTCTATAACATTCGCATAACTTTTCATAACAGTCCAATCCATATCAATATACATTATATCAATCCATTCATTGAATAAGTTTCATTCTGTTTCAAATAATTCGAAATTTTTGTTCTCTTTGATAAGTTGCATTAACTATTTGCCAAAAAACATACCAAAACCCTTAAAGGCCAAAATTTGCATAATATTTCGCAGTGAATTTATACAATAAACGATGAATTTAGCTCAGTTTAGCCGAATAAATATTTATTTTTATTTATAAATAAATATTTTTTATGTTTATATTAAATAAATATTCTTAAATATTTGATATTTGAATTAAATAGATATTAAATATTTATATTTGAATAAATATTTTTAATACGCCAAATTTCTATACATTCCGTATTCTACAGTAGTTGACAATATTAGAAAGGCTTATTTAGACTCAATTTAAACTAAAATAATACATTTGGTGAAAAATATGAAATTAAATTCTTGAACTGAAAAACTGTCATGTTCAGAGTGTTGAGGATAAGTGATTGTTAGGGAAATCATTGCCGAATAAATATTTATTTTTATTTACAAACAAATATTTTTTATATTCATATTAAATAAATATTTTTATATCACATATCATTGTAAAATGTTTAAATTGGGAATAACACTTTTAGAATCATATCATCCTAATCACCAACCATTTTTTGATGCATATATTTTTTTCTCTGTGTTGATAGAAAACACAGGATAAAGGTGAGGTGTCCTACTGATCCTAATAAATTTTGGTGATAATAGTTAAAACTTGGATCAAATTCGAGAGATTTTATAAAAACTTTAACAATAAATCATTGGAGGAAAAAGCATTTCTTAATTTTATGATTGGCTAAATTAAGTTTTAAGGTCCATTTTTTAAAATATTGCGAGTAAAATTTGAACGATTATAAATTGTCAAAAATCGACTTAAATTTAAATTGGCAAACTAGCTTTTTCAGTTAAATTTTCAGTTAAACTTTAAATTTTGAATTTGATTTTAAATTATTATTTTCGATTTCATAAAATCTTTTATATAAAATAACTTATTTTAAAGTATTTACTTTCAGGTCATTTTAATGCGGGTATTCAAGCCTCCGTGCTGTCTGTAGCAAATCAGTCAGCCAATAGTTCCACAGCGAATTGCACTTATCCAAGTGCATCCGCTGCAGCGAATCCAATGATGGTTAACGATCCATCAGCTTTTCGTCTTAATATGGCTGCATTTGGCAGAACTCTTGGCACTTCACGATCTTATTTTCCTTTTGATAATCCAGCTTTCAAACCGGAGGCACCAAGGCCAGCAGGGTTAGTTCAATTGCTCTAATTATATAATCGTTCATTGACATAATTGTTTGAATGAATAATGATAATCAATCCTAAAATGCCAAATTTTTAAAAGCAAATTATTTTAATTTTCGTAAAGCCTTTTGAATTTCTTTTTTTGTGTTTAGATGAAACTGATGAAAAAAATTTATTGGCGTAGTTTAGGGCACAGAAAATATTTGCCAATGCATTAAGCAAACAGATAATTGCAGCTTCAATATGATAACACCCCTTGAGAAGATTCAATGTTTCACACAACAAACATCAACCGCATCAAGTGTACAAGAACAGCAACAATTCCAAAATCCGATGTTAAATTACAAGTAATTACGCTATAAGTAATGCAAGACCGGTCGTTTTGTATTTTTTGCTGTTCGACACATTCCTTTCATTAAAAAACAAACAATAATTATTGCGCAAGAAAAATGAAGGAATTATATCTCAAATTGAGTAGCCTTGTAATGTTTGCACAATTCTTCGATATATTATTGAAAGTCACCTCTGAAAGTTGACATTACGATCTCTATGTATTTTGTTTCTTGTACTTTTTGATGCGTTACACCACCTCAGCCTGAATTCTTTTTGTTGAGATTTAAATCCCAAAGAAAAAAAAATTTAAATCGGGATTTTTCAAGAAATTTTAGATTTTAAACTATTTAATACTGAATTATTAGTAGGCGCTGTTGGTAATTTTTCAATTGTTTTAGTACATCAAATTGTTTGTACCAATAAGGATTTTTCAAAAAAAATTTTTTATGCTTTGTGAGCATATACAATATATATGGTGTTTAGGAACGGATTTTTATGTACCATAAATTATAATAGAATTTGCTTTATAATATCTCTTCATTCATTGCCTTTATTTCATTGCGGGACCAATGTCTTTCTCGTTTTTCATCGATGGCTTGGCCCTTAGGATCGAATTGTTAACCTTCTTCTAATTGTCGTGTTTCTATATTACGACATTAAACAAACTTTTTATTTTATATATGGTTTTGATTAATGAAGCAAGCATAACTACTAGTTAATGTCATGCAAAAAAAAATAAAAAATTTACGGGTAATGTATCGGCCCTCTATTTTGGCTTAATTGCATACAATGAAATTCTAAGAAATTTTCATGTTTTTCAAAAAGCTTATTTTTAATTTTCGCACCATTTTCTTGTTCTATTTATTGACAATATTTTTATCTGAAAATATTTTTATTTAAATGAACTATGAAAAAAATTGATCGAGATTATGCCTATTTCGATAGGACCAGATACATCATTAGTTATGCTTGTAAAGCTTTGGCTAGGTTTTTATTTGGTTTGATAACGAAACCTGCCTTTGTAAATGTTTATGTCTACTTGACTCTAAACAGAATTTTAGTCGTATCACAGGATAGGGTTGTTATTGTTATATCATTTCCGAATTTTTGACTGAGCTTATACAAGCAAAAATTCGATTTAGTAGTATGTTTCGATTAGGATAGTTATAAACAATTATTCTATTGTTTCAAAATACGATTTTGCGATTTTAGGTATTAATCAGTTCACTATGGTCACATATTAGTTCCATATTGAAAAAGCATCGATTACAAATCGTTTCGAAGGTTCATAGCAGAAAAGTTTATGATTGCTGTAGAAGTCCTTAGGACACTACATTAAAGCAATATGACTTTGTAAAAAACAAAATGGCAATTTCTTAACAAGTTTATTGTTGCCTTTTTCTTTTTGTGCAGTCAAGTATTCTTAAATAATATATCTCGAAAAAGTTCAATCATAGCGGGTTTTTTTATCTCCCAATTTCTTACTTCACCATTTGGCCTTTTTCTCATAATTTTTTTTGCTGTTTTGATTGAAATTTTGTTTTATCAATTGATATTATTCGAGGTTGTTTTTTAATTCATATTCTACTAGCAATTAAATGGATTTCTGATTTTTTATTAATCGATGAAATTCAATTTAAATCTTCAGCAAATTTTTTTTTTCGAAACGAGGGTTCCATGCTGCGTTCATAGTCATTCAGTATTTGTATTATTGATAATGTAGCAGCTAATGATCAGTGAATGTTTTTAGCTTCTTGGCACTTTCTAAACAAATCAAAATTAAGTCATTGAATTTTTTTGATATCAAATTAGTGGATAAGCAAGCAAACACTGATCGTTTATAATATAACTGTGGGGCCACTTGCTATAAGCTGTAAGAAAATGTGAAGCAATTTTTTATTCAGCTCTGAACTAGTGGCAACATTTAACAAATGGTCTTTTGTACAGTTTGGTATGAAATTATTATATATTATCAGAATATGGCTTAGTAAATTTTCTCTGGAAATTATTATCGATAAATTTTGAAATAAAAAAAATTCTATTTTGAAAAAATTTTCAGATTTCTTCCGATAAATTGCAGTTGATATCGCATGATTCAAGTTTCTGCATGAAATAGAAAAGTTTAACTGGTCAGAACTTATCAAAAATTTCTTCAATCCTATATTATTCACCATCCCTCAATGCCAGCCTGATACTCGGTTTTAATCATGCTTAATTCCACACATTTGCTTAAAATAATAATTTTATAAAAATAATTTTACATGATTTCAATATCTTACGAGAATTCGCAATGCATGACGCGGTTTCAAAATCTTGGCATATAGGTCTATAGTCTATAGCAAATATACTCCAACAGTTGCATGACGGTTTCTGTGGTCGAACACATTCGAATGAAAGATGGAAGTTTCAGCGTATCACAGAACTAGTACGGAAATCTTTCAATAATCATTGGCTGGGATATATAATCAACCTAAGTATAATGTTCTTCGGAGAACTACCATTTGATTAGAATTTGATGCCAGTGGTAAAATGCTGGTGAAGTCCATGCTCTTCAACAAAAAGAAAGCACTCTCTGTTGGCGCACCGATTTTTTTTCGAAGCGATCATCCATTTTTTTGAACTTACAGGTGAGCCAACGATATATATGCTTAGACGATGGAAAAAGGAATGGCTTCTATTACTGTTGGCGAATATTTTGGGAAATATGATGGGATCGAATGACTCGGAAACATCTTACTCTTATAGAATGAAGAAGAATGGATCATTCGATTGCTAATTGGCAATCTGAGCAGATCGGTCGCTTCCAGGTAAAGCAGTCTATATCTGGTCTCGGAATATCGAGTTATCGGTATTGCTATAATGATATAATCATACAGTCTGCTTTAAAATATAAGATAGCTGTAGTGAGGTAGATGTATTACCAAAAGGCAAGTAATATTTGCACGATATTCGTGTAAAGTTTGGATAGTTATTTCCTGATTTCCACAGGCTCAATTCTCCTATGGTAAATGTGAGCAGCGACAGTGATAATTATTCGTCTCTCTTAGCAAGTGTAGTTATTCGTCATTAGTTCGAGAGCTAATTGATTTGCATTTTGATTACTTTTAACCAGCTCGGATAATTTGCATAATTTTCGCATTTACCGCCGAGAATGCGCATTCGTATTATCTTTGAAATGGGACTCGATTGGCACTATATCGTTTTATGAAAAAATCTACTTGTGAAATCTATAATTTTTAGTTCTGTGTTGCTCTGTGTTTTTAGTTATGGCTAAAAAGCCTACTACTGCTAATGCATAATTTCAATTTTGAGAGCAAAATTTTGGTAATATAAATTTTAGCTCAATTTTTGTATTATAAAGCCAAATAAAGTGATTGATTATCGTGAACACTAATTGAATGCTGATTATATAAAGATTATTTGTTATTTGTTAGTTATTTGCTCTAGGACAATAACAAATCGTTTTATCATTATTGATATGGATTTTCCTTTATATGCATATTTATCAACTTTCTAAAGAAAATTTATCGATGAGCTTTTCGAGTTTAAACAGAAAGTCACCACTGTTTACGCAAATAATTTTTTTTTAATGATTTTTAAAAAGTGAACGTCTTTCATGCAGCGCATAAGCATTTTCAAGCACAATTTTGTCGAACTAATCTATTTTTCAAGTCTTTAAAATTTTGAGTTTTTTACATTTCCACATATTCGTTAGCGAGTTTTTATAAAATTTTAGTTGGCGCTATCAAAAATCTCATTTTTTTCAGCCGAAAACATTGGATCCAATAAAATTATTCGAATTCATAGATGAATGGCAAAATGATTTGTTTATCGGCTTAATAAACTTTTTTCCTCATTAATATAAAAGAATTTTTAAAATATATATTGATAAATAAACCATGTCCCGCTTTTTCACAATCTTCAGAAACCATCTTCAGAAACTTTAATTTTTTATTAAATGATTGTGAAAAAAATAGAATTTTTAAACGAATTTTACAGAATAAAAATTAAATTGCGCATTTTCTTTATAAGCAAAGAATTTTTTAGAAAAACATAGTTTTTCTTAAAAATAGTCCGAAATGACTGTAAATAATTTCAAATTCTATTTGAGAACTTTTATGATTTTAGGATTTATATTCCTCTTTGGATGGGCTCACTGCTTACACATCGGCGAAATGCACCGAAGCATACTTGAGAAAATCCGCAGTCCGAATCTGTGGCGCAATTTTCATACATTTCAGATGGTCTCTGGATACATTGAAAGTCCTGAAATGAGAAAGATACGATATTCATCATCAACGTTAATAATAGATGACGTAAAATAGCCGAGTTGACGTGACTTAGATTATCATGCTGAAAGGAAAGAATTCGACTCCTATTGTTAAGGAGAATAAACTCTTCATTATCACAGTTATTAAAGTATCCGAGTTATCTTGGTACTCCATTATGCACTATTATCTTATAAGTTATTTTATACTCCACGTCAAAAATTTTTAGCATCCGACAAAGCGAGTCTAGCCAGAAATGGTAAAGCCTCACCACTCACCACATCATTAATAGATTACCTCGAACTATTTATTATTTATAGCCTAATAGATAAAATGCATTGATATTTGCATTTCATCTGCTTCTGATATTTACTTATGAACTAAATAAATTATTATTTTGTCTTTGCGCTCTAATCAAAAATCGGCCTTCCACACAACATATAGAATTCAAGGCTAATTAGCCAAAAAATTTACTGTTTTAGTCAAAGTGCCAAGGTTTACACATATTTCGTCCTCCGAGCAACCAAAATCATTTGAGCAATCTTTTCGTTGCACTTGACCTTTTGGAATTGCGCACACCAATTTACCATTCGCATTTTTTTCACATCGCTATTAAGTCAAATATTGAAGAAAGTTAAATTTGCCATATTTCGCTATTAACACAAAATATATTCACAGAAGTTGGTAATTAAGCGAAATCTTACTTGTCCTTTAGGACAATCGGAATGGGAAAAACATTGTTTAATTATTGTTGATGGAGCTTTGCATACACCGGTTCTTCCATAACATCTTTCGCCTTCTTTACACTAAAAATTCTGGTGGAGAAATGCCACATTAAAAGGCATAATAAGGAAGGTATAAGTCAAATAATTAAGCAGAGTAGTTAGTGAGCATCTTGCTTGCATAATTCTAGGAGGAATCCTATAGCTGATTTTAAACCAAGCAATCGAAAATCAAACCTCATTATCGTGTTTGCAAGGCTTTTCGATCGGCATTTTCGGCACTTCTGAAAAAGTTTTCTCAGTGGCTCATAAATTTATAATGAACTATAAATATATTATTTATCAGATACCTTTAACGGCTGGCAAGTTTGGTCCATTAGGTTTTTTTCTGTTTATTTTTGTCGTCATCATTGTTTTTGTTGTTTTTGTTACTTGCACTATAGGTTTTGTCGTTTTTTTTATTGGTGGTTGTGTTCCCTCAGTAACAGATGGTGGCTGAAAAAAAACTTATCAAAGAGATTTTATGAAAAATATTGGAGAAGATTGTTAAAAATGTGGAAAATAGTTGGAACAATCATAAAAATTTCATAAAAATTCCACTTACTAGGCACCCGTTCATGGTATGATAATGAATACAGTGGAAGCGTGCCATACAATGATAATTATGCCTGCATATATGGTTTCTACCTTGTTCTAAAATCGAGTTACGGTTTAAAAGAAAATAGAGATTAGATCTTTCTTGTTTGTATTTCATATATTTAATTTCCTTAAAGTTTAAAATAAGTCAAATATTCGGTCATTCTAATTATTCGGCTTCATGAAATTCTCAAAAATTCTGGCTGTAAAATGCAAAACTTATTTGAATCCAATTAACAATAAAAATAATGTACTTCGATAAAGATAAGGCTGTATCACAGGTATTGGGCGGTTTGGTTCTGGTTCTGGCTGTGGTAGTGGTTTTGGTTTTGTTTGTGGTGCTGGTTTCGGCTGCGGTGCTGGTTTTGGCTTTGGCTCTGGCTCCGGTTCTGGCGCTGGTTCTGGCTGTAGTTTTGGTCGCTTCCGTCTTAAACATTTTCCGTACCTAAACTTATTGCCGTATTTCTATAAATGCCGTATTTCATTTAAAAAATTTAAAAAATATTAGTATATTTCTCTTTCATTGAATCACATGGATTTTTATGAATTTTTAAAAATGCTATACCAAACTTGAACTTTAAAAAATATGAACTGTGTTATGTTATTTTCTTAGAATAAAATTATTTACCTCCCATGTTTTACACATATTTTGCCCGACAGGCAATCGTAATTAGACATGCAAGAATTTCGTTTTCTCTGAAATTATTCTTGGTTTTAAATCTATGGCGATTTTTGAGATTCATTTCAGTTCAAAAAAAACATTGGGATTAGATTGAAAATTTTTGACAATTGTGAAAAAATCAAAAAATTCACATTGTTTTTAATGATAATTTGATGAGAGCATGCTGTATAACCATTTTCATTTTCATAACAATTTTGATAATTTGCCATGCAAAAAAATAATAAACAAATTAAAAGCAAGATGTAGAACAAAATATTTTGAGGAACCATTTCGAATTCAGCTCTGAAAATAAACCGAACTAGAATTTATATAAATAACCGAAATATTTATAACCGAAATAATTTTTTTCATAAAATATAATCTATCAAATAATAGGATTGGAATGAATGGGTTTGATTATTGCTCATATTTCGGAGCGTTGAATTCCACTTTCTGCAAGAGTAAACGTGCTTTTTAATTTTTTAAAAACCCAAACCGTGCTGATGCTCACCTGTACTTTTATCACCTTTATTATCTTTTAAAATTTATTTGGCCAATAAGCCAGCAAAGAGAGTGATAAGCGCTTATCAAAAAACCAAATAATAGAGATGATAGATAATGGATATAAAGCCTAACAAACGACTTCTTAAATCTCAGTTATGTTTGACCATTGAAATTTCTGCCAAATGAAGATTTCATTAACAGTGTCACTTCACCAGCTTTTACAAAAATCTCTTAAAAGCTATTTTTAATTTAAACTAATTAAATCGCTAAAGAAGAAAAATTGCTCAATAGGCCATTCGTTTATTTCATTTCGAGACGCGAATGCTGAGGTTCTTCTTCTCGACAGAGGATACCATAAGAAGTTTTTGAAAAATCGCTGATGCTGACGAGTCAGTTATACTTCTGTAACCCTGTGGCAAAATTTCTCTAGTCGAGCAATCCAGTGGGACAAATATCAAAAATGGTGGAAAAAATTAAATATTCCTCCTGGATTTAATGGTTTAGGAGAAGTTGAAATTTAATAGTATGGCATTCAACGATCTTCTTTGAAAAAATTTAGTAGATATGCGAGTGTTGACCAATTTTACATTGCTTTTTTTAAACCAATTTTTTATTCCAAAGCTTAATTTTAAGAGAATTTGGATTATTGAAATCTAAAAGGCTTTTGTGGATTGCGGAGCCAGTTCGATCAGTTCCAAAGGAGAAATATTCTAGATCTCGTAATTTTTATAAAAACAATTCAGATTAGTTGGAACAAATTGGCAAAAATTGAATTGTTAATTGAATTTGAAGGATTTTGAAAGATGGTTTCAAGTTCATTTATGGCAATGGCAAGAGATTATAAATTATATTTATAAGTGTTATAATTATATTATAGTATTATAATTATATTTATAGATGGAACTCTAATGATTGCGCCAGGAAAGCAAATTCTTCTTTGATTAAATAAGAAAAGGAGATTTAATTTCTTTTTCACATTTTACCAATAACGACTTTCACGGCATCACTAAACCACAGTCGTTGGAATTAATTTACAAACTTTTCCAAAATATTTTTCAGAGTTGCTACTTTTTGTTGTTGTGGTGCAGTGGCATGATGAGTAATCTTAAAATCAAATTAAAAAATCAAGTTCCGAAATCATGAAAGGTTCAGTTCTTTTCAAAGACAAAACTTAAACTCACACTCATACTTGAACACCTAAAGCCTGGTTCGGTGAGACGAGGAAGACAACTCTTAATGGCGCATTCGTTGCCGCTCATCCCAACTCTCTTTCAATATCCATAAAAACAAAATATGATGGATGAATGAGATGAACGGAAATCAAATGAATTTAGAAAATTTATAAACCATTTAATAAATAATTCATAAAATCAACTAAACTTCTTGCAAAATATAAAAATAAATATTATTTTAATATTCAATCGGTCAAAAAAATTTTTTTATTGCAAGTTTTTTTCATTCGTCTAAAATAAATGAAAGAAAATAAGCATTTGGTATTTCTTCTCAATTTTTATAAGTAATTCCTTTATTTTAGATTTTTTAAAATTTATCAGTTTGGATATTTAGTTTTAATCACAAATTGATTTTGAATTTGTGCTTCATACCTATATAAATTTTTTGCGAGCAATTACATTTCCAATAATATGAAAGCTTAAAAGTTTTCAATTTTGCATAATTACTATAAGTTATTCATTATTTCTAGGTTGTAAACATTTTGTCAACGAATCCCGTGTAGAAGATAACACTGGTACCCTGTAATCATCCTGATTCTCTTAAGATTGTAACTCATTTTACAATTAGATCATAATGGTCATTTTTAGCCTTACTAGCTAGCTTTGCTAGTCCTGTTTATCCGTTTTGGTGTTAAATGAAGCGAAATTTCTTTTCGATTCAAAAAATAGCACTTAGCATATAGCACATAGCACTTTGCTTGCAAGAGTATTTATTATTTCTAGTTAACTCCCTCCTCTCGCCTGCTGGACCAGAAAAATTTTGCCAAGGTGCCGATGGAAATACAAATGAGTCGCCAACAACACTACCCATTGCTTATAACTTTGTTCTATTTTGTCTAAAATAAATGCATGACATGTATGCGAACTCAGTTCTCAGATACATCTAAGTAATCTCCGTAAAATAATTGCCATTCCAGTAAAAATTGCTCAATAGTGGTGTCAAAAAATATATTAAACAAAGTGATCAGATGAGAAATATATGAAATCCACTGCTTTATCTCGAAGATATTTATTTTCTTATTGTTACAGATATAGGAACAAATGTTATTTAAAAGTTATAGAAGATATCACTTCAGAATCACTTCAATATCACTTCACTTATCAGAATCAGTTAAAAATTAGCGAAAAGATTTTTCACAGATTTTTTTACAAATCTTTTAAAGAAAAATTCGGCCAAGCCTTTTGATTTTGATTTTGGTATCAAATATAAAGCAGAAAGAAAACGGTCTTGGCCTAGGCTTGAAAAACATGAAATAACCAGTGAGCTCGTTTCATTAGCTATAATAGTTAGAGGCAGATGCTTAAAATCGACGAACAGTATGAAAAGGAATGGAAATATATACAGTTGAAAACAAAGCTATCAAATGCTTCACAATTCTTATAAATTGCCATTGGCTTCAAGAAACGCCCAAAAAACTAACAAAAAAATGCTTTCGTGAGAATTTGAAACCTTCCTAAATCAAAATTAATTTCCAAATTTCATGCAGATGTGTTGGATGTCTCAGTGGTTAGTTGCCCACATCTCGAAGCGCGGAGATCGGAGTTCTCTCCTCGGCGAGAGCAAAATCGTCATTCAAAAATATGGTTGATTGCTGGCAATCATCTCAGACTTTTATCGCAAAGTGGTTCGATGGCAAAATAACCAGAAATGGTGAGTGCTCTTAGAAAAAAGAATTGCAATTTTATAATAATATTAATTACAAAAATTAAATTCTGAAATCACTCAGAAATTAAAAAAAGAATTCAGCAATAAATATTCAGCAATGAAAAACCTTCAAGAAATCAAAAATTTGATGAACACGAAAATAGAGTTTGGCGAATAATTATTAGAAAAAGGAATTTAGCTGAAATGATTAAAAATTAAGATTTTTTTTCATTTTTCTTGCGCATTTATTATTAAAAATTTTAAGAAAATATCGTTGATTTTAAAACGTATCAGTTAAGGATAATTAACATTAAGTATAATCAAATGTAACCAAAACTTTTTGGTGAGAAAAATGTGCGATTTTCTGTGAATCCTCCGGACAAGACTTTTCATCTAATGTGTGCAAAAAAATTCCCATCTTTGGTGGATCCTTTGAATAAAATTTCTCTTTGATTATACGAGAATTCTTCGGACTAAATTCGACGATCTGTTCTGTTGATCGTTTAGTTTTCTAAAAACTTCACTTTTTTCGCCTTTTGGCATAACATTTGCTCTTTTCTGCTATATTTGTCAACTTATAGCGGCATTTCGATGAAACCCGTTCTAACCGAGACGTTCAGATGTATCATTTTATTATATAAGGTCACATTGTTGCCGACTTAGAACGGCTCCTCCATTTGTAATATTCGTTTTCTTTTTCCTTCTATCTTTACTGATTCAGTGCAATCATTCTTCACTTTAATTTTTACAGTTCATGACATTTTAAACTTTATATGCGGATAATTTACGTTTTGGCCTAGTGGGCCTTTAGTATAATCCAAGCTGTATATAATTCAATGAAAATTTCATCGTAATTATTTTAGTTTATAAATGAATAAATGTGGAAAAGGACAAAAGATATTTATTGCTATTATCCAAAGAAGCACATATAATTTTAAAAAAAATAATATAAGGTCAAAAATTTTCCAAAGTTGCTACCCTTGTTTGCTTATAAAAAATCAGAAAATCGGAAATTTATTAAAAAACTAGAGTATCATTTGAAAAATTTCAGAATCATAATTTTATAGCGAATTACTTAGGTAGTTTTTCAGTTCTCTACTTTAAAATTTTTATAGTTCATAATTTCATATATTTTAGTATATTTTCGCACAAATTATTCTTTAGAGATCAATTATCACTAAATTATTTTCAGTATCAAACCATAATTCAGCATGAAAATAATAATATTCTCGCTTTTATTCATAATATATTCATTATCGGTTGATGGCGCTTCACTTAACGTGTAAGTATCTACTGATATACTGATATATTTTATGTTGAATTATGAATTTTCTTAGTTTCTTGCAAACTTGATAGTAAACTGATAAATTTTTAGTTAGCTTTTATGAGCGAACATAAAAAAAAGTCTCTTCTCCTATTTTCTTTTAATTCAATCTTGAATACGATCGAATTTGCTTACATTATCACAACTGGGTTTTCAAATTCCAGCAATGATATTAAATCCCATTATATCCATTGTAAATAAATGATATAAAAATAAATGATATATGATAATTTAAGTGTCAAAACTTATCAGAAATTTTTAACAATTTTGGTAGCGCCTTTCACAACAAATTCATTTCGACTTTATTTTTTTCCTAAGAGCATTCACCATTTTTGGCTCGTTTCACTGGGTTGTCGGGCCAGAAAAATTTTGTTAGGAAGTCATTTAGCGATAGAAGTACAGGTAAGTCGTCAGCAGCACTCGATTCCGCCTATTTATGATTATAGTTAATTATGGTTATTAAAATGGCTAACTTTCGCAGTGATAATGATCGAATGCTTGATTTCTTGAATTTTAGCACAAATTTAATCCTTCATCCTTCGAATTTTTCAATTTCTCAAGAGTCATATTTTTTTAAAATTAGTAACACAATTAATGAAGTTTATCACAAACTCATAAACCAACCATTTTAGGAACGTTCTAAGCAACACACAGCTAACCAGTCGCCGCAATTTTGGCCGTGGTACAAGATTATCCTATCACTATCCATATTATTACCCACCTTATTATCCACCTTATTATCCACCCTATTATCCACCTTATTATCCGCCTTATATTCCACAATATCCATTTTATCCTCCACTCTACCCTCCTTATTCACCCTATTTTCCTGGTTATTATTGGTCAAATTGGTATCGGCGAAATAAAAGTCGAAGAAATCGGAATCGAAATCGCTTTCTTAATATAATGGTACCTACCCGAGTGAAATAGACGACTTATGAAACATTCGCAATCAGTAAATTTTATTCATCTTTCTGGAGAGAAAAATTGAATAAATTTTTCTATATAATATGGTAATAAAATGTACGATTGGATTTGCTTGTTTTCACAACTATAAACATGGGACTGTTTGGTAAAACTTTTCAATGTCACAGATATGATGAGAAAAAAAATCATCAATTCTCACCAATTTCCTATCTGAACGTACAGCACTTATGCTTCTCCCAATCAACAAATTAGCTGATTAGCTGATCTCCTAGATCTGATTTCCGCAATTTCAATGTGTTCAAATTGGAAACACTGTTTTTTGCAAGCAGATCGAAAAACCACTCAAATATATAAATGTAGATTTCTATGGATTTGAACCAAATTCTTTGCTTCATCATGGTTGTATTATTATATATATATTTATTATTATTATATTATTATATTATATTATATTATTGGATCTAAAATAAAATCTCAAAAATAAACAATAAACTCATAAAGAAATATTTATTAAGAAATATTTATTAAAATATAAAGAAATAAGTTGAGAAAATTTTTATCAAACTATAATATAAATCTGACAAGGAAAAAAAATCATCAATTTTTTCAATTCTAAATTCCCAATGAATTCTAAAAATTTGATTCAAAAATTAAAAAATTAAATTAACGATAACTTATCAAAAGTAAATAAAAATAAAGCATAGAAATACATAAATAAAAAGGAATAAATTACAAAAAATATATGGTCCGATGCGATGTTATTTTTTAAAGTTATCAGCATTATTATCATTATAATTTTAATCTGTGATCTTTATGCGATAATTACTTTCATATTATATTTTTTAGCTTCTAAGCAATATAAATTGCCATTCCTAGTGAATTGAAAATTTTGAATTTTATTTAAATATCTTGAAGCAATGCAGTGTCTAATTCAGCTTATCACATGAAGCATTCCTTTAGTGTGAGTAAATCTGCAGCTAAAAGCTAGATAAATGCGGGTGATGCGAGGATATTGTCCTATTTTTGTCTCCAAAGCGGTGCTTTCATGGACCCATACCCTTTAAAATAATCCACTATCGAGTATGTTATTGTGTTATTTAAAGATAAACATATTTAAATAACTTTTATTGAAGTAAAATGCACAATTTTATGAACTGATAAATGACAGTCATAACCAGCAAAACTTGAATTGTGCTAATTACTTGTCGATATTCTCTCTTGTTCGATTTTAGCTAGCTTTTTTTATGTGTTTACGTTCCACCGAAGATGAGTTTGAACTTCACATTTAAGATTTTTAAGCTGTTATTGCAACGAACCATTCAAAGAAAAAATAAGATAATAATTCATTCAATATTGCAATTCTAAATGTTGTTTATTTGTCAACCTCCCTGATTCCAAATATTAGTTTAATTCAAAATAAAAAATAAATTGCAAGGAAAACAAGAAATAAGACACCATTATATGAGTCATCTATATAATTTCATATGTATACATTTTATCAGTTGATAATAGAACTAATGAATTAACAAAACAGTTACCGGAAAAAACATGTCCATATTATAGCGATGGAACATAACGAGCGAAGAAATTCCTGTTGTAGGAACTGTATATCAAATTAATTTATGACATATTCTCCAATTTTCTAATGGCCGCGAACAAGAAAAACTTATCATAAGGAATTCTTTTCCTTATTCCTTTCATCGCACTGGTTAACCTTGTTTCGATTCATTAAAGCAAGTTTACTGTTATTTTATTCATCGAAACTTTTTCAGCATCATATTCCGTCATCTAATAGTATTAACGAAGATTTCGGCCTTCGGTAAAACGACGATTTTTTTCTTCTTCATCGGTATGGAATAATCTAAATCAATTAAAGAATTATTTCATGAGAAGCATTTCATTTGCTTTACAAATTTTTTTATATAAAATTGTCATATGAGAATATTAAAAATATATACAATAATTGTTCGAAAAATTCACAACTTTGATTTTCATCAATTTAACTTCAAGAAAAATAATATTAAAGCGACATAGGAATAACAATGAGCAATTTTCATAAAGAATTTTGATTTTTTTGTGAATTTTCCTTCAACTGTGAAAAAAAATTTTTTTCTTTTTTATTGTCATATTATTGTCATGAATTTTTTTCCATTTTATAATAGAAAAATTGCAATTTTTGAAAAATTAATGAAATTCGTTGATTACTTACATAATAAAAATAAAGTGACAAATCAAAAAATAAATTACAGATAAACTTAAAATTACAAGACGATATAGAAAAATTATATGCCCAATTTCCAAATTTCCAAAATGTTCATTTTTTAAAAAGTTTGTAAAATCACGTCAAAGTTCTATTTAATTCCAATAATGGTGCTTCTCTTGGGAGCGCCGATGCTGAAGTTCGATTCTCCGCAGGAGTAAACCTGTACAAAAATCCGTGCGATGCTGGCGACTCACTTGCATTTCTATCGCCAAGGGACTCCCTGGAATATTGCTCAGTTGCCACAAGCCAGTGGAGCGAATTTAACCAGTAATGGTGAGGACTCTTCAAAAAAAATGATCCTTCTATACCTCTAACTATTTAGGACCTCCTTCACTTTATTTGAATTTATAAAATATATATATATATAAAATATAAAATATGCTCCTAGATACCATGTAGTTCTTCAAATCCTTCGGTATATATTCCTGATATTGGAGCCTTTACACCTCACTAATGCTAAATAGCCAATAAGAATGGAAAATATCAGGAAATACAATACCATTCATTACCATTCATTCTTAAAGTACATTATATGTACGAATGAATAGAATCTCATATGGTTCCATCAGCTTACCAGCATTTAAATACATACCACTTTCATTGTCAGACATCATTGCCTGGGCTGTTTAGAGTATGTTTATTGCACACTATAGTCATCAAATCGCTGCTTATCAAGCCCCCAAAGGAATGAATCAAATGTGATGAGAGTCAATAAAGACCTGGATTAATATAGATTCGAACACATAAGAGGTCCAATTTAGCGGAGTGGCTTTTTCTACTTGCATATGGCATTGGACCGAGAAGCATGCAAATGCCTCACTCTCGCAGCCAAAAAAACTAGCTTAACCAGTAATTATAAGCTGAAAAAAAATCATCCAAAATAATCTTCTTCTTCTTCTAACAGCTCTCACCATTACTGGTTAGGCTGGCTCCAACGGCCTGGCCATTCGGCAATAAAGTTGACCCACAACAATCATAATTATATTTTTAATATTTTGATCTACTTGCCAAATTTACTTTTTCGCGAAAGACCATTCCATTATTTGCATTTCAATAAAATTCGTAGTAAGCAAATTTTCGACTAAATTTTCAAGAATAAACTTGAATAGCCATTTCATTTGTTTCATTAGCAAAAACCTCATAATTTTTATCTAAATATAGATTGAAATATGTAAGAAAATACTAATTCAACCGAATTAATTAAAAAAATGATTGAAAAAGTGAAAATTCAAATTTCCAGTAAATTTCCAGTAATAAACATATTTATTAAACCTTTAAAAAATAATCTCAAAAAATTATAATAAAAAGTGAAAAAAAAGCGTACGATGTTCCTCATCTTCGATTTGCGCCGTGGTTCAAGCTATCAATACTGCTGCTCAATATCCACAATTACAGAACCATGACATCCACCATTATGCACCTTTTCTTCGTCTAAATCTCAAATGCGAAATAGAATTCATTTTGAATTTATTATATAGCAAAAATGATAAGAAATGATAGGAAAATTGGTTGGAATATAGAGAAAATCGAATCTGTAATTTATCATCAAATGCCTGAAATGTTATTAACAAATCAATCATGTTTATTCGAAAAATTTACCATTAGATAAAATTTCAAAAAATGAAATTGAACATTAGCAGTCGTAATGCAGCGATTTGCAACTTCCGAACTTTTTTCTCGACTTCTTTTAGCCTAAAATATAAGTAAGATAAAAATCAAAAATATATAGAATTTAACCGCTAAGCACAAGCGAAATTCACATTTTCTTACTCTTCCATTATCATTTTTATGGCTCCACTGGCTTAACAAATTAGAAAAATTTTTTGACAAGGAATCAGTTGGTGACAGAAATACAGACGAAGCACCAGCAAGTGGATTGTTTAGAAAACCAATAAGATCGAAGTCGAATATCGATTTGTTTTTTTAATTATTGGCGACAAAAGAGAATATTCGTGCACCAAATAGCAATAAAAAAATGGCTTAGATAAAATAAGAATGCCGATCCCTGCTTACAAGGAGATACGAGACAATAAATAACTAGGAGGAGTATGATAAGAACGAAGAGATTTAAGCAATAGATCTACCTGAATTTTTCTTTGATGAAAGGGGTGGGGAGAGGAAACAAAAGGAGGGAAGGGGAGTGGGGACGTTAAAAGATCGATAAGTAAGACGAATAAATTGGAACTATGATTTGCAGCGATGAATATCCGGTAAATTATAATAAAATGATCGAAAAAACACTGCCATCACGTTTGGTTAATTAGTAAATATATTTCAATCAATGGAGTTAGCTAAACCGAGTAATGCTGGCGACTCACCCGTATTTCTATCGCAAAGACAGTCTTCGGCTAATCCGTCTCCGTCTCCGTCGGACAAGCCGGTCTAATTAGCAATGGTGACTGCTCTTAAAAAAGAACCATGCTAGCCAGTTCGTTTCATAAATCGTGAACAAATTTCTCCATAGCAGTGGTACCGGCGAAGAAAAGAAATTGCACACCCCTACGATGCATGCTAGTTCCATCCTCTCCGTAGAATCGATTTTTCATTGAATTAAAAAACAAATTGTAGAACCGCAGTAAAACCGCAGTGCTAAAGCGCAGAGCAAAAACTCACAACTTTACCAAGCTGACAAATAGCGATGGGTTGATGAGCACCGCGGAAATCGCATTTTATCACAGTAACCGCACCAAATGCATTTTCTAAAATTGAAACCGATATCCCAGAAATATGTGACTAAAGCGATGCTATTGAACACCACCATCGTTTCTTTATCAGTTTCGATCACAATCTGCAAAATATTAAAGTGCAGTTCGGCTGCAGTTGTTTATTTTATCCGTCATTTCTCCTTGATGCATTGAAAAGAGTAGTTGTTTCCTTTTTATGGTGATTGTTGCGAAGATGGGGTTATTCCGGGCTATTCGATCCAGTGCCATGACTGGAAATAATGGGAGCCGCTTTTCCTGTCTTTTAAGCCCGCACATCGCGCGTCCATCTGTGCGTTCAAATTCTCTCCCTACTCTATCAGTCCATATTTTGATTGCCTTGCCCGTCCTCTTATTTCACCTGTCACAATTTTTTGGTTTAGAAACCTTTTATAAGGGCGTCCAAACAATCGAACATTGAATATTTAGTATTTAGTATTTTTTCAGTACCATAATGTATTTTTCTGTTGTACAATTTCATTTATTGCGATGTCTTCTCGAATAAATAATTATTTGCCTTAAATGTTTTGCAACTGCGCGATATGCGACGAGCAAGGTTTATTTCTCGTTTCGTCTTGCGTGGGATTCTTGTATTGCGCACAATTTTACGAGTTCTAAAATAAAATAAATATAAGTTAGGTATACATTTATTAAATAAAAGGTTTAGCGTTATCTAAATTATCTCAAAGGCCACTGTTACGTTTTGAGGTTTGCTTACGTTCAGTATTCGAAATTTTTCTTATCGTTTTTTTATTTATTTTTATTGCACTTTTATATATTTTTATATAATATTTAAAAGTGCTTTTCGCAAAATTGAAATCGTTCCATTGTTTCATTATTCATTCTTTTAATTCGCAGTCTTATAATCTTTTATTTGTTAACTTTGAACGAAATAATTTTAAGGCGCGTTCTTTTCGAGTTTTATTGGCGAACTCGGCACATTTTGTGCTTTCGAAATGGAGAAGAAGCGAAATGCAATGAGTGATGTTGAGCGTGCTCAACTGGCTCGTAAATTGGATGAAGACCTTGATTTATTCATCGAGGAATTGGCCAAAAATAAAGTATTTTTTAAAAAAATTCCCATGAATATTGGCAATTAATGGATAAAAAATTTTGCAATTAACTTTTATCGTATTTTAACCAACTTTTTTCGTCATTGCATCCTTTAGTTCATATTTTAATATAATTCTATTTTTTATATGTTTTATACTTTTATTTATATTTATATTTTTGTTATTTTTATTATTTTTATTTTTATGTTTTATATTTTTCAGTACAATATTCAATGCTATGGTAATACTTCATCATTTGTTGGAATTTAGATTTATATTTCGGCAATTTCAAGAATATTTCCTTCATTATTAAATATATTTTAAGCATATTAAATTTTTTAATACTCATTTTGCAGGAGTCCATTTCTTCTGAACCTGAATCTTAAGATATCGAAATCCATATGTTTAGAACTCCCTCCCTCTAGGTTTAAGCCGTACATTATCAAAAATTGTTGATTGGTGTTGATTGAGTTTCTGGTTATGGGATTCTTCATGATAGAACCTTTTCAAACATGTTAAATTAACTAAAAAATCTAAGGCCATTATCCTGTATTTTTAAATCTTAAGTCGTAAGTTTGTAAGGTCTTTCTTATTAAGAAGGAAAAAGAAGATGTTGACAAAAAAGAATTCGATTTTGATGACTGGTGCAAAGATATAGATCAGCATCCAGCATTTATGACTGATCTGAAGTTTAATGAGAATGGAGAATATTCTGAAGCTGTCCAAGCCTTACAGGTAATGTTCATTCTATTTTTATTCTTACAATACAAATTTAAACAATACTTACTGTTTATACCAATGTGTTTAAATTTTTAAAATTTTTTAGGCATTAAAATATGATGAGGATGAAAGTGAAGACAAGATTGTATTGGCGCAACAATATAAAGATGAAGGCAATAAACATTTCGAGCATAAGAAATATCGATGGGCGAAAGATTGTTATAGTAATGGTTAGGATAGAAGAACTCTGGCTTTATACAGACCATTAATTTTTCTTTTAATAACTTCACGCTGTTTCTGATGACTAATTACTTTGATTAGCAAATTGAGAGTCTTTAAAAGTCAAAGTGCTTACGCGCCCCGTGCAGTCAGTTGGATTTTACTTTTTGATGAGAGGTTTTCTTTTATCGGTGAGCTAGAAGTGAATTAACCATTATTACTTAATTTTCATTATGTTATAATGTATGGCAGTTTTGCAGGAATCAATTTATCATGTAGCGATCGTCCAATCAATTCAATTCTTTTCTCAAATCGCGCTGCTGCTGAGAAGTATTTAGGGAATTATAGGTCGGCAATCAGAGACTGTGCTTTTGCTCTCCGTTTTGATCCACAAAATCACAAGTTATTTTGCTAATTTGCTAATTTGCTAATTTACTTAAATTAACCATTTTTTTTCGATATTGAAATATATATTGTGTGAACTTTTTAATTGTCTGCCTTTTAAGGAATGCTGATGATAAGTTATCATTCTTATATTTAATGGGTTATTTATTAAAATTTTAGGCTGCGATTCGTGGAGCTGAATGTTTATTAAAATTGGGATATGGTAAGAAATGCATTGAATGGATAGACAAGTGTATCGGCGATATGCAACTGGTAACTGGCAACAAATCGAGTGAAAATGACCAAAGTAGATTAAAAATTTTTCATAAACTGGAAATTTTTACTTATATTTTCTGTGAAATTTACTTTCCTTACTTTACTTAAACATTATTTACTTTTTTTTTACTGTTTTTTCCTGTTCTTACAAAAATGTGATAAAAATGAGACATTCAAGTTCGGTGAATAATTTATTCAATCTCATCGTATATTTTATTTCACTTCATTACTGTCCTTATTAATTTGCTAGTTTCTGTTAAATAATGAAATTTTTTAAAATTTATAATTTAGCTCAATTTGATTTATTTTATATTTTTAATAACTGTTTGCAGTTACTATGAAACAAAGGGAAGAATATATAAATAGGATAAATGGCTTGAAAATAGAGGCAAAAAATTGGGCTTTAATAGAAGACCGCGATTCAAGAAAGCTAAAGGCCAAAGTATATTTTTAAAATTATAAATTATTTCTGTTATTTTAAATTGATTAATATTCTGTGTTCTTCGAATATTGAATTTGACATATTTTAGATGAAGGAAGAAAACATTGCAAAATCTAAATTATTGGTCGCATTGGCATCTAGAGGCGTTAATTTATCTCCAAAAATTGATTTTAGTGATGTCCAATCTTTCGAATGGTCTCACTTAGAAATCAAACTTCCTGCTGTCGAAATGGTTTTTTAAAATTTTTTATATTTACCTAATATTTATCTATAACTCATAAGAGCTATTTTATTTTATTCTTTTTTATACTTAAAATGATTTCGAATTTTTTTAATTTGTTTATGTATATTGTTTCAGCCACAGAGAGTTTATGTGGATGATTCAAATATTTTATACTGGCCCATACTTATTGTTTATCCGGAGTTCTCGTTCACTGATCTGTTAACTGATTGCTGTGAAGAGGCAATATTGGCTGATGTTATTAGTCCCGTATTTAAGGAATCTGATGAAAGACGTTTGCCCAGCTTTAAGTAAGATTTGCCAAAAAAAATTTTTTTAAAATAATTTTCGAAAATTTGAATTTGATTTGCTATCAATATAAATAGATTTTTACTTGTCAAAACAATGCGAAACGACATATTTTATTTCAAAAATCGTAATATTCATGGAATTAAAATTCGTAAATTTAAACTTATTATCACTTTTTTAGCGTTGCCGATGTTCATTTTTTTCTATCGTTAACTTTTCCTGAAGGTGATATAGTTGAAGTTTTCCCAACGGCAACCATATTAGAAATATTGAGGACGAAAGATTTTGTTATTAAGCAAGGATTGCCTACGATTTATGTAATTTTTTGCTTGGTTTCTCTCATGAATAATTAGATTATGATAAGATTTCTTACTACAGTCTAGTACATTTTTATGGTATTAAATATTTTTTGCTATTTCGTTATTAAAAACTTTTACTCATTTTAAGTTAGAGAGTATTATACTTTTGTAGCATTTTTGATTACAGTTGATTACAGTTGTCACTATGGTGCCACAATTTTTTCAATTTATAAGAATTTATAATTTATAAGAATTAAAAAAATACGAAAAATGAAGAGAGGGACAGAGAAATAGCAGAAGTGTCAACAACAGTGAAGTTTAACGTTATTCCGCAACCGCCGATAGTATTTTTGCTAAGTTTTAGTATTAAGGAGATTTCATATTTATTGCGATTTGAATTTTTTTAGATCTGTACAAAGGCATATTTGAAAAAGCGTTACAAACAAATCTGCAATAACTGTTATACTTTGCGGTGAAAACTTTTTAGTTATTATAATAACTACAATAATTTTGCGATGATTTTTTTCAGTCAACTTGGAACTTTGAAAAACAATAAGAAAATTGTTTGGCTTAATTTTTGTCAGCTTATTTTTATTATTTTATGATATATGGTTATATGACCATACAAATAAAAGAAATAGAGAATTTGTGGTATCTTAACAATATTAATTCGAGGTTATTTTGCTGAACGAAAATTTTTTGGATCCATTAGGATCATTATCTTGCGATTCATTAGAATAATTGGAATTGGAGCTGAAAAAAATTTTGGTTTCCATCAGAAAATGAAAAAATCAATTCCATTTGAAGCAAAAACTTACGATTCGATCTCAATTAAAAGGGGGTCCTGTGGCATTAATGGTTTTTATTGCTTTCATTATCAAGAATTTATTCTGAAAACTTAGATATTTTGTTGCTATTGTACTTTGGCATATTTTAACATTCATATTAATCTGTTTATCTATTTTTTAGGTACAAAATTTATCGAAGAGATAAAAAAGTACTATTGCTGGTAGAAGTGAAAGAATGAAAGAAAACTAAATCGTGAGGAAGTTAGGATAGGTGTGGTTCTTTATATTTTTCCACATTTCTAAATATATAATTAGAAAATAACCTGCTTTAATTCTCGCTACTAACGAATGGGGAATGACGATGTATCTTGTGATTTATCCAATCCTTGTTTTCTTTTATCTCTTAAAAAGGATCTCCAATCTTCATTTTTTTCGTGGCTCTAAAGATTTTTTTGAAGTCTCTATTAAATTGCGGTTCCAGAACCGCAAATTTATCAATTTGTGGGAAGATGGAATTTAAACTTGTTTCCATATGCATACACTAAATCCATATCGGTAAAAAAGCAAATATGAAATTAATACGAGAAAAATATATTACCTTGCTTTTTACATCCGATAAATCCTTTAGGGCTATCGGTATATTCGGTGCCATTTATCAGTTTTGCATTTCTCCATTCTCCATTTTAGTGTCTTTTTTACGTCGCGGAACTAAATAATGTTTGTTTTGCTAAATTCGGTGAGAGTTTTTCGTTTAATTTGTCGCCATTTGTAGTTAAAATATAGATGTATCTGTAACAAAATAATCGTTTAAAAGCTGGCACCAAATAACCAAACCGAGTAAAATGTAAACAGTTCTGGATTATTCACCGGGTCATAGAGGAAAAATGTAATTTCAAGTGGAACATCAAGGTGCTATTATAAACCACCAGCTCGTTGAGATTTATTAGTCGAGGTCTATCGAGACGGTTGTTTGCTAGTAGAATTTAGTAGAATTTTATTATATTTGCCATATGTGGCTTGTATTTGGCGCACAGTCGTGTATATAAACTCCAAATTTTGTTGCTTAGTCGAGCGAAACATTTAGTTATATTGATTGTAGCTTCTATTAAATCGTGTAAAGGTTTGTGGTAAATTTTCTAAGAACATTTTTAGTTATAATTGCTGACTGATAATCAGTCGCTAGGATGATTTGTCGGACAAGGAGGAAATTATTTGACGGTGCAGTTGAATTGCGGATACTATCCTATTTTTGGTGAACTAATTGATATCGTTCATACACTAAATATTGTTATCAAAAATTTATTTACACCTATATTACGAATGAATTTTTGCGCTTCCAGAAATCATGAATTAGCCACGTATTATTGTCCTTTCGATCCAAAATCACTGCTAATAGATTTCTGTCATTTATCATGAAAAATGAGCTAAGTGAAGTTTTCGGCATAATTTGATTTCGTTATTGCTATACCCTCTGCCAATTTTCTGATAGAATTGCCAGTTTTTATATGATCACAGAATCGAAATTTTACCAAATTAGGCTTAATTTTTCATAAAATCGAATTTAAAAAAAGAAGAAAAACGTAAGAATTGTAGTAGTTTTAATGGAAATTTTATAAAATTACGCATATTTTGATCACGGAATTTTTGAAATACAACCGCTTAGCAAATAAACGTGATGAAAATGCGAACTTTTGGAAAATCACATAATTCTTCATAAAGCACAATTTTTTTAGTTGGAGTGGAGAGTTAGAAGGTCAGGCAAGTCGGGGAAGGTCGAAACAATCACGTTGTTGCGAGTTGCTTCTAATTACGCCTTGAGCGATGGCTAGCTTCCATTAGATTCGTTGAGTCAGTTCTAACTACAATTCTCTGTTTAATAACAATCAGATTTTTGTATGGCAGCCTTAACTCTGTCGAAGGCAAAAATCGAACCCCTTGTCTTTCAGCAAGATGACCTGAATCATTACTCCATTCAGCTATTACCCTATTCCCCACCCTCCTCCTATGCTGAAAATTGATAAATGAAAACAGACTATACCACAATATCCTAATAAAGTTTGCTCTTTTGGAAAAAATAGACAAATCCATTCTTTATTACACATATATTGTTGTCTAATCGTCATGGCACGAAAATTTTTTTGTTTACAAATGAAGGCAGCAACTGAAACATTTGTATCCTGAAGAATGAATTAGTAAAGCAAAAAATGGAATAAATTATGCGGAATTATGTGGAACTACTGGATAAATTAAGATAGGCCATTAAAAATTACGAAATAACACAGGAAAAAATATTAAAAGCAAAACACAGAAAACAAAGACATAACAAAAGCAAGATTAACACATCATTATATTCGAATTGATAATTCATAGGCTAGGAATGAGAGATAATGGTAAAATGGATTTTTCTGCACGTTCTTACACAAATGGATTAGCCGTTTTTCATTTATATCACAATTAACAGAGTTTTACATATGCGAATATGAATTAAATTAAGGACCTAAATTAATAAATTTACAAAGATATAGATGAAATTTTCTGGTAATTTTATTGTGGCAACCATTTTATACTTATTAATCATATTGTTTTGTCGAAGATATCGATAATCGAGAACTGCTTTTGACAAATTACCTGCAAATAATCGATGAATATAATTTATAATCGAAGAAATTTGATGAAAAGATAATCTAAAAAAATAATTCCACTATATTTTCACCATATTTTGAAATTACATTACATTTTGTAAACAATAAATTCCTCTTGATTTTAGCAATATTTAATAAATCACGTTAGTAGCGAGTTTATGGAAATCAGCCCATTGAAAAAAGAAAATTCCAGTTTACTCTTTTTTCGAAGGCAAAAGTCGAAAACTTTTTTTTTCTACTGTTTCAACGCTTATGGATGCCGTGTTATTAGTGCAACAAACGCTATTCGCCGTATCCACGATTGAAGTATCAGTTACTAGCGTTTCGTCACTCTTAAACAAAAGTAATCGAATGAATATTTATCCTTTCATAAATATTATTTCATGGAACACATTTTAATTCATTACAGTACTTTATTAATTCGGAAATTAATTTAGAAAACCTTTAAATATTCTTCCAAATGTAATCCTCTACCATAGTTCTTACTAGAAGGACATTCTTCGAAATGTTTTATTTGTTTCATGAGTCCAGTTTCATCAGCTTTTTTTTCGCATCTCTTGGTACAATCATTAATTAAGGTTGAGGGAATATTATTTGCATCTCCTGGCTTGGAACTGAATACTAGGTTTTCGTCCTTTTTTTTCACAGCAATATCTAAAAGTTAGAAATTTTTAGAATCTATGCATACTTTACAAGTTCTTAGTCGAAAATTTGAACATAATATTTTATCTGATTAAATGGAACTCGCTAGACAATCAATTGATTCTGGTCAATTGTCACTGAAAGAATTCTGCATTATTCAGCAGGCTTTGCTATCAAGGCACTAAACCTTTACAAATGTTACGACTATATTATTCGAGCAAAGATCCGCATAAAATTGATAAAGCTATCTAACTAGCTTAAATGTTTTATTTCGCCTTGCAAAATATTCATGGAATCACTAAAAAATCAACATTATAATAAATACAAGTATCTAGGTATAATGAGCAGAATACTACTATTCTGTTATCTGTCTGCTCGCCTAATATGCATCCTACAACTCGGTAATCAGGTAGAGTTCCATATGATTCATCTCCGGTCGAATATCTTCAATTAATTACAAGTCTTTTACGCTGGTCAGATCATATTCTTCGCAAAACTGAAAATGATACATAAACTGTCTGTATCAAAAATGCGGAGATCCAACCAAAACCTGGATTGATAGGATAAAAAGAGATTTTAAACTTTTTGACATTTCAGTTCAGATAGAAGAAATGATACTTTCAGGTATAGTCAAAAGGATTGGAAATGCTTCATGTTCGTGTCCAGCTGAGTCTAACCAATAATAATATGAATTGTAGATAAAAAAGAATATTCCAAACTTACCATCCATCAAGTTCGATATAGCTAAAGGCTGTTTTTCATCATCGGAACCATTAAAGTCTAATAAATTAACCAAATCATCGCTTACATCAGTATACTGAAAGATTACTTATTAAATTTAGTTTTAATAACCCAGTCCTTTGGAACCAATATCTATCTAAAAGCGAATGGAAAAATATCTAAAAAATACTTCATCAATTTCAGCTCTCAATTTGTTTTTTGCTTCCCGTAGCTCTTCGATTAATTTTTCCAGCTCACTTTTTTCCCTTTCATATTTTTCCACAAACGTTTTATTAGTTGCTTCCAAATCAAGCTTCTAAATAGAATATAGAAAAGTTTATAATAAAAAAAATGCAAATTACTACTATAAGTATATATATTTTACAATTACTCCGATCTTACTTTCCTTTCTATAGAATTGCTTTCAGCTTGTATGCCATCAATTTGAAGATTAATATCATCCATTGCTCGTTCAACCTCCAAAATCATTTCATTAATTTCGTTATTTTTTTTGTCCCAATCTTTAACAATTGTATTTTCTTCACCACCATCATTAAACCATAATTGCAATTCACAGTATTCATTATCCAATTCCTCTACACTTGCCGATATTACAGAAATTTCCTCAGCGAACTCTACTGCATCCTGCGCAACTCGCATCTGCAACATTTTTATCCGATAAATTATCGCACGTATATAAATATTATATAAAAAATATAAAATTAAAACGTAAAAAAAATATGAAAGAACAAAAAATGAAAAGCAAAGTGAACAATCACCAAGGAATAAAACTCCAAGATCCACAACCTTATATTCAAAATAAACTAAATGCCCACTTCACACATCATACTAAATCAAACGAAATAAATAATATTCAGTGGAAGCTAACCGAAATTATATAAAAGAAAAAGTGGAAAGTGCTTATAAGAAAAAATGAATAACTTGCAATATTTTCCCAACCTTCATATCTTCCACAGCTATGCTGCATTCCAAAGGACCACCTTTATCTCCAACATTCAACGTGTTTAATGTGCTTTCCAACGATTTAATCTATAAAAAGAAAAGAATCACTCTATAAATCAAATCATTTGATGCAAATTATTAGTTTATCCCTCTATACCTCATTTATTCGAATTTTAGCCAGAAATACAAATTATCAAAAATATGAAAATTAAAAATTACAATTATGAAATCGAAATCATAAGGTAGAAAAGCAGAAGAAAAACTAGAAACGAATAAATTAAACAATAAATGCACTAGTTCATATCTTAGTGACTTAAATCAATTTCAAGCCTTGTTTAAATAAATTTTTTGATCATCGTTCAAGATAGAAATTTGATGTTTTGCTTCGGAAATTTTCTCTAATATAGCATTATTTTCTTCATTTGTTTTATCAACCAAAATTTGCATTTCCATTTCTATTCGCTGCTCTTCTTCGAGCGAATCCTGAAAAAGAAAAAAATTATTCTCAAATTTATCGTTTATCTTAATTTATCATCTATCATACCATAAATCTACCATAAATTTATATTTTTTTAATAATTAACTAGCTAATAAATAAGCTCTATAATTTAAAAACAGGAAAATCGCCTAAGATTACACCTAAAATTTAAAAACTAAAAACCGTTTCCATCTGAAACTTTTGTTTTGTCACCCTTAAAACATCTTCTAGTTGTTTTACGGTATCGGCCATAATTTTTAGATTGGCAACCATTTCATCTGGAAATTTTCTGCGAATTTTAATAGTTTCTGACTTAATTGTATCTGCCATTCGTTTGCAACAACAGATATGAAAAAATATGATTAAAAATCACCATTACATAGATTCTTCTGAAATAAGCAAAAAAAAGGAATTGTTAGAGGAAAACGCCCATAAAATTCTAATAAGAATCTCCTATATGAATAATCATCTTTTAAACATTTGAGACAATTATTTACCAAATTTATTTTTTTGCAACACTATCTCTTGATTCTTGCCTAAAATATCATTTTTCATCATCTCTTCACGCTGGCCAATGAGGTTCACCAGTGCTTTGATGCGATTTTCAAGAACAGACTCGTGATGGAACTGACTGAATGGTGATTTCATTGTATTTAATTCTGCAGCAATGGCCTCATAACTCTGCACTTAAAATTTTTAGAAGTGTAAAATTTGTAAGAAATTAATGGAAAATTCAGTTAAATTACATAACGCAAGACTGCAATCTGGAACCAATCAGAACCTGACCTTATAACTGTATATTAAAAATTTTTGGAACCATTTCTGTATTATGAATTTTTGGAAATTTTGAAATTTGAAATTTTGAAATTTTTGAAGAATCAGAACCGCTTGAGAAACGAATTCAAATAATAAAAATCCAAATCTAATAATAAATAACAAATTTAAAAATTAATTTAGGAGTTCAGGCAATTAAAAAAATAGAAAAATTACTATGTTCTTCCAGTTTTTTTTTGAGAGATCGGTCTCGAAATTCAAGTTGCCCCCACTGTTGTTCAACTTCTACAGTTACAGAATCATCACATTTCCCAGCAATTAGTGCTGCTTTTTCGCCTTAATTAATACTGTGATATGAAATTTAATTTAAACCTATTTATCACAAAACGTAATGGTGAGCGAACTGGAGACCTAACCTACAATTTAGTATCAAATGATGAATTTGTCAATTTTTAAAAGATTTTTAAATATAATGTCTTGAACGTCTTTGGATCAAATTTACCATTAGCTAGAATTTGAAAAGCGAAATTAAACATTTGGTTTGCAATTTCCACGCTTTCTTCACTTTCTTTCAGTCTAAAATATTATATCAGTAAGACAAAATGTTTAGAATTTAAAACCATTAAAATGCGAAATTGTAAAAATAAAAACGAAACTTACATTTTCTGAATAGAATTACATGCTGTTTCAGTTTGCTCTGGATATAGCATTTGGGCACTTCCTTTTTCATCAGACAATTTGCGCAAATCTTCTTCTTCTTTCGCAATTTCTTTAAGCTGATAACAAAGTCCATGAAAAATTACAGAAAAGCAAATTATAAGATGAGGATAATAAGCTATCACATATTAATAACATAATTAAAATTTTATCAACTAAAATATGAGATATTTCATTTTCTCTCAGTCGCTAAAATTCCAATGCAGATTTATCAAGTAACTGAAAATTTAATCAAAAAATATCAGTACTCATATGAAGACAATCTTTAATTTAACTATTAGCATTGGATTAAATTTCTAAAATGTTTTTCTGAGTTTGTTCACCAGTGAATCATATTCATCGTTACTGCCATAAACGCTCCTATAGCTTTCCGTACAACTACCATCGACTTTACCATCATCGACTTTAACAAAAATATTGCATTTATCATTCATTTTATCACCATTCATTTTATCTCCCATGATTAATTAACCGGTCGATATCAATTTAATTCAATTCATAAAGAATTGATAAAAAATTTCAACAACTGCAATAAACTACAATAAATCAACGCAATATAAATAAATGATTAGCGTTCACTATTTCAATTAGCTTAATTGGTTGTAAGTAAGATATTTTTCTTCGGGACTTTTATCAGTTAACTTGTGAAGTATTAAGATATAAGGTAGTCAACTAACATTATCCAAACTTTTTAATAATGGATTTGTTCTTTCTGGAGAAATTTACTGCCTTTAAGAACGATAAAAACTCTACCCACTCAACCCTTATAGAATGGAACATAGTAAATTGATTTTTTTCTTATATTTTTTTAATTCTTTTTTAATTCTTATATTTTTGATATATACTATATTTGTTAATTTATATTTATATTGATATATTTTGATTAAGAAGGAAAAAAATTTCAGAGGAAAAGTGGAGGAAGCAGCACCATTTTTTGACTGAAAAACTCACATATAAATTGGTACCAACAGCCATAGTTTACCAAATTTCTGTGAAAAATATCGAAGGAATAGATATTATGCCGAATTTTCACGTTAAATAACAAAAATAGACCAACACTGAAATGAAAATAGTCCCCCCCCCTCCCACTAGACCGCCTTGAAGAGCCCACAACAACACAATACCTTACACAATATCCGCGACAATATATTTCTTCGTTGCAGGACCCGAACTAGCGAGCGCGCACGTTCAAAACTCTTAAAAATAGAATATTGGTGAATTTCAGGACCTTTAAAATTTATTAATTTTGGATGTTTTGCCAATAATAATTTGATGCAAGCCTAAGTCAAAATTTTCTCTTTATGCACCCCACTTTAACAGTTTTCCTTTATTCGGAACCCTCTCGCGGGACCTCTCGCACTTCGGAATCTCACTTATAGGAGAGTGGAACCATGAGCAATTCTGAATAGAAGACACACAAGAGATTCTTCTCCTTCTTTCAACAGCTCGTATTATTAGTAATTAGGCTGGTTCCGCTAACCATAAATGCTAGGCCTTTCTAAACCGCTCTATCCGGGAACAACAGAAGCCACTCGTTTAAGCCCATACCATCGCTGGTCTATATCGCTCCGTATTAATGGAAATCTTGATTTGTCTAGCAAATTCATCAATGTCAGAGCTGAACAAGCGAGATATGCGTCAGTTCCTGCGATAAGTGGCGATGGATGTGGTCAATATAGCTGACTATAGCGAATTTAAATTTTATACTCAGGCATATGCCCCGACAGCTCTTTAAAATATTCTCTGAACAATTTTCAATCGTCGTTTTCAACTTTGCTATAATTATCTCTCAGTAGTGTGCATTCCAATCCATTGACACACAATAACCATCATGCCGCCATTTTGTGATTTAGATGCTGTCCATATCGAGAAAAGAAAAAACAATGTGGTGCAGAGGAGCCGGAAATGGAGATAAGGTGAATAAATGGCAAAAAAAGGTGAATAAATGGCAAAATGAAGATGCTACTGATGGATAATATAGTTTTGAGGGTATTAAAGAATACGGTGAGGTTTGAGATTTTCGTATATTTTTGAAATAATGGGTTATTATCGATATATGAAGAATATTAAAGGTAAGCCAAGATTTTGCCAGCAGCGTAGTAGGATTTTAGGGAATCTTAATAGGCTGCAACAAAAGGGTGCAATGAGATGTATGTAGCGGACCCAAGTTGATAAAGTACTTAAGTACTTAAAGATGTGCAAAAAGACCCTACCTTTTCACTTGAGGATAGAACCATGAGTGAGTCCGCAGCTTTCATTCGGATTTTTGATATCATGACAGGTTTATTCCTGTTAAAGATGGAAATAAAGAATTAAGAAAAAAAATATGATGGACAGAGACAAAAATGAATATGATCAATTAAGGCCTGGACTGATAGTGAGGAAAGATTTTGGATTTTGGATACATAGGTGATCAGCGATACTATATTGTACAGCGAATAGATGCTCAGCAGGTCGTTGCTAAGTTCAGAGTCGATGCTTAGGTTCTATTCCCCGCAGGAGTAAACCTGTACAAAGATCTGGGTAATGCTGGCTACATACCTGAAAGAACGCGGAATGGTTTGATAGAGTGCTGGGATGGGTTTTTCTTCTTCATCTTCTAACAGCTCTCACAATTACTGGTTAGGCTGGTTCCAATGGCTATGTTTCCAAATGGCGCGGTCTGATACCACTGTCGACAATAATGGAAACCATTCCTTTTTCCACCGTCTAAGTCCATATATTGCTGATCCACCTATACGTTCAAAATCTTTTTTCACTGTATCGGTCCAGGTCTTGATTGGCCCACCTCGTTTTTGGCGCCAACCGTCACACGGTTTAGCAAATAACGAAATATGCGTCAACTCCTGTAGTGGACGACGGAGAATGTGCTCTAAGAATCCGATTCTTGCTGCAGTTTCTGGCACGTTATTTAGTATTACTTGCATTTCGTTATAAACGTCAGTAAAAAGGACTACATCATCCGCGCATTCAAGATCGAACGGATCACGGCAATGCGGACTTTTGTTTTTATGGTGATTTCACGACGATTCCATAAAAGTTTCGTCAACCGGAAGAACGCATTTCTAGCTTCCGCGATCCGAGTTGTAATATCATCTTTTGCCTGTCCATTTGTCCATAATACGATGCTCTGGACTAATTTGGACACCTCTTGAGTGCCGACAAGCAGTGTCCATTATCCAGTCTATCGTATAGTTGAATATTGTGGGAGAAAGGATGCAGCCCTGACGGACACCTGTTCTTATTTCGAAGGAATCTCCTCATATACACAGACCTGCGCCGACGTGCGCTCATAAAATGCCTTTATGAGTTTGATGATTTTCTCTGGAACACTATCACGTTCCATCACCCTCCAAAGCGCCGCACTATCAATTGAATCAAAGGCAGCCGCAAAATCGATGAAACACGTGACAGTGGGTTGCAGATATTTGAAGCGATGTTCCTTTTTCACACCCTTCTTAACGTAAATATCTGGTTAGCACAACCGCGCCACGGTCTGAATCCAACTTGATTAGGGCGCATCCTACTGTCTCGTACTTCCATAAGTCTGTGGAGTAAAAGAGAAGCAAAAATTTTCGCTGAAACGTCTAGTAGGTTGATTCCTCGATAATTGTCGTAATATGTCCTATTGTCTTTCTTCAGAATTGGGAGCAGAATTGCTTTGCTTCAATCATCTGGTAATATTTCTTTTTTCCATACTAAAGAGTATTTGTTGAAGGTGTGTTATGAAGGACGATGGACAATATTTAGAGTTCAGCGCGATGATTTTCTACCGGAGCCTTATTAGCTTTAATCTTAATGATAACAGATATTGTTTCTTCTTCTTTTGCCGGGGGCTCACAGTTGCAAGCATGTGGTTCAGCGAACGTATCAGTTACATCAGGAGCAATAGATGGCGCTTCATGATTAAGTTTGGCCTCAAAGAATTCTTTCCATCTTATGAGGCTGTCCTTAATATTCTTGACTGGCATGACATTGTTTGTCCCTTACCATTTTATTGATCATTCCCCAAATTATAGTTGCTTTATCCATTCTTGAGGCCATATCACTCCAATAGTGATTGCTATGCTGCTTTCGTTGCAAATTTTCGCAGCATTCGGTAATCAGGATTACCTAATATTCGTGCTTTGGCAGCTTTTTCAGATAATTGGACAGTCGATTACGATACCCAGCTAGCGCATTTTCTAGCTACTTTTTCTATTAGTATGCCTTAGCGTGGAAGTGATTTTCGGAGACATTCCTTTAGTTTGGACCAGTATTCATTTGTCATTCCAGAAAAGTCATTGATATTTGTATCATTGAGATGCTTCAATAATTCGATTTGAAATGCGCTCACTGTCCCCGAATTTTTTAGTTTGAGATAGTTGAAGGATCTTGGGGAAAACTGTTTTCTACAAGTTGTCAATTTTATGCGGATCTTGGCTCGAACCATAACATGGTTAGATCCATGAAGATTGCCCGTTTCACCCACCCCCGGGACAGGAACGACTATCTAGTACGGAACTCAACGGCGATTGACTGAGATATAATCGATCTAGTTGAAATGTTGGTTGTCCGGGAAGTTCCACGTAGATCTACGATGTCAAAAGCAACGTTAATAACAAAAAGCTCATGCTTTTCGGCATAACGAAGAAGACGTTTCCCATTGGCACACCGGTCTCCGATGCCATATTTGCCAATTGTTGAGGCCATCGCAGCTGCATTATGACCTACGCGAGTATTCCAGTCTCCCCCAATTATGATCATATCATATTTCGATAAAGACTTTGTTAGCAGTTAAAGTTCCACATTTCCGCATAGAACTTGTCTTTATCGCGGTCATCTGCCAGCAGAATAGGAGCATAGACATTGATGACCGAGATATTGCAGAACTTACCCTCAAAACGGGCATAGAACATACGGTTGTTTAGTGGTTTGCACTCACTCATTCAAAGCGGCCTTGTCAGATATGATAATCACTACGCCATTTTGTATCTCTGCTCTGAACCAGGATTAATAATTGCTCGAGATCCAAAGTGAGGAAGACGGACCTCCGACATGCAAGCGATATCCACACGATATTTAGACAGGGTGTGGATAATGATCGCAACGTCCATAAGCATTCTGACGTTCCACGTTGATACGGCTAATACCTCGCTGCGCGTACAGAGGGCTGTTCCCCTTGGTGGGTTTCGAGCAGCTACCCTGATTTGAGAGCACATTTTATTTACCAGCCATGGGATCGCTTTAAGCCCGGTTTGTAAACTTATCACATGTACCACAAGGCTCGAAGTATCATGCGCGTCGCGAGACGCCGTATCAAGTGTATCTGATCCTTTCACCATAGAATCACTTGGGGATAGAGTTGCAGGTGGGTCCCCAGCAGCCACCTGGATTTTTGACATAATAGAAGGTTTACTCCTGCCAAAGACAAAAAAAATTAAATTTGATAAATTAAATTAAATTAAATTTTATATATATATATTTTATTTTAATTTTTTATTTTTTAAATTTTAGAAAAAAAATTAGTAAGGTTTGAAAAACTTTCAGAAGTTTTAGAGTGATTATATTGCTAAAAGACTATACTTGTCGCAGAAATAAATTTAAATGTGTGGTTTTTAAGAGATGTCTAGCAGCGCTAAAGAAAAATAGTGGTATTTTTTCCGACTCCATTAGGGAAAATAAGTTACGACGAAATTATTATGTAACTTTTTAAAGAGACCTCACCATTACTGGTTACACTGGCTCCGCTGGCTTATCGCCCTCAACAAATGTACTATCCCTTGATGATAGAAATGTTGGTAAATCGCCAACATTACTCGGATCCTTGTATAGGTTTATTCTTGGGAGGAGTAGAACCTCAACACTGACGCTCCGAATTGGGCAACAACCCATATTCAGGTATACATAGGCCAAAAAATAGATTATGAATTTAAAACAATATCTCTAACGCATTAAGGTGCAAAAAGAATAAACGGATATTTTTTTGGAGGTTGGGAACCTCCACAAAATTTTCAAAATATATACTCTTCATAAATATTCAACACTCAAGCACTCACTACATATATATATATATATATACGCAGAAATAGCAAAATTATCATGAATTTTGACTTCTTGCCGATTTTTCACAAATTATTAGAAATCTTTTGAATTATCTCAGATCTACGACTCGATTCTTTAAATCTTTACAAAGCCATAATAATCAGGAAGGTTTTTTTTTCCTTCCTCTATTCTTAAATCATTTCTATGCTACTCAAATTTGTATTATAAATTTGTATAAAAATATACAAAATTTATTCACCGATAAATTCATTATATTATACAAATGGTATTAAAATAAATGGAAATTATGGACAATTCATTAAAATTATGTTAAGATGAATAAAAAATAAAATTATGTTATGTTTAAATGTTATGTTTCTCTAATTGAATCCTGCACATTTGTTTCCAGCAATTCATTTTGATTTCTAGTTAATAAGAGATTTGAAGTTAACGAATCGAGCGCCTCCCATAAACCAATTCCCGTTAAAGCGTTACACTGATGGATTAATACCGATCGTCCTGAAAATAGATAATTTTTCAGAATAGATAATACTTCAATACTTTTCAATGCCTTGGGACATTAAACCAATCGCCAACCTCTCTTGCTAAGAAAAGCGAAAAAAAATTTAAAAAAGTGAAATAGGAAAACAAACCATTACTAAATCGATTTATATTCATTACCAATTGATCAATTGCAGCTGAATCGATCTCGCACGATTCATTACCAGGTATACGCCGCCTGTTTAATATAATTAAAAACGAAGCATCGACAAGATCACGTTCAGCTAAAATTCGCACCAATTCAGACTGCGCTTCAAGAAAGCGACTTGGACAAGAACTATCGATGACAAAAACCAATGCTGCAAAAAAATTTTTTTGATGCAATTGATGGATTTTTATATTTTTTAAATATATATATTGAAGACCAGTTTGATTTTTTTTTTAAACTATAAAAAATATAAATTGCAAACACCAGTGCTTCATGAAATATTATAAATATTTTATTAAATATTATAGAAAATATTAATACAATAGACATAAAAAAGCTGAAAACTCTTAGAAAAAAAGTTAGGAGACCTTGAGTATTAAGATAATAATGCTTCCAGAGAGGCCTTAACTTAGGTAAACCTCCAACATCCCAAATCGTTAGTTTGAAATTTTTGTATTGCAAAGTTTCAACGTTAAATCCAATAGTTGGGGTGGCCTGGCGATAATCATCATTCTGCAATATAACAATTATTCAACTCCTTTTAACTATGGAAAACCTTATTCCAAAACAATCATACCTTAAGTTTGAAAAGAATTGTTGTTTTGCCAGCACCATCAAGACCCAAAATCACTAGTCGAATATCAACATTTGAACCCATATGAATTTTATTATCAGCAGTAAAAGAGAATGGTATTCGTGTATCAAGTGAAATTCCAACTAAAAATGGTTTAAACAATATGCTTAAAATAATATTACAATTGAAGCCAATTCATAACATTATGAAAATAATTACTAGGAGCTGAAGCCATATTATGTTGATGAGAACGAACAGCATCAAGCATCCGAATTAAATCGGCCTGCTGCTCGATGAGACGAGCATCATCCATGTCCGCACTTTTTTGTAACTGAGCTGATATTGAAGAAACCTCAAAAAAATAGATAAGCATTGATCATTGACTTAAAAAGTGTTTATCTTAAAGAACTTCATAATTCAAAATTATATCCAAGAATTCTGCTTTGGATGTTATTAATCATATAATCTTCACTTGTGAAGTGATGATAGCAAGCTCTTGTTGGTGGGCTCGTAAAATATCAACGCGATCAGCAACATGAGCATCAAGACGAGCTAATGCGACTTGTTCTTGAGTATCAAGCTCGCTACGTAAGCGACGAAAATGTCCTTCCACTTGTCGCTTCGCAGCAGCATGCGAACCTTCGTTAGGGTCAAGTATTTCGGTAACAGATCTATAGACTTCTTTTTCAAACTTATTTTACATAAAAAAAAGGATAGTAAACACGAAAGACCTAAAAAATTTCTTAATAAAAGAAGGAAAAAAATTACTGAGTAACTCGGCTGTTCCAACTATTCAAATCAGACATGAATTTTCGAAAATCACTTAGAGCTTCTTTGACACGTTTGCGAAGTTCGAACGCTTCAACATCTAGTAAAGAATGTCTATGGCGTTGATGCCGACCATAATCTCGACAAAGTAAACACATTAAGCGGCTCTCCGATAAACATTCTACTTCCTTAAAAATTCTTATATTTAACCGAAATACAAACATAGAGGATCAACTGATCTGTTACCTCGACCAAGCACTGTTAATTCCATTTTTTTTGACCCTTGAAGAAAGCAAATGTATCATTGAAATAAGACACAAATAATCCTGGAAAGCCACTTGTATCTCTTTAGAAAAAATGATTATTAAACAAAAACTCGAGAAAATTGCAAACCTGACAAACAAATTCCAAAGCATAAGCTGAATGAAATGGACACATTGGCCTTGAAACTGGCTTTTCACTAACTGGTACGCGATTATGTTTGGAAAGAACACGACTTTTATGTGTACCAGTCGAACATTCGGCACATAAATGACTTTCACATACAAGACAAAAATATAACGCAGTATGAGTAGAATCTTCATCACATGGTATACCAAGAAGTAAATCTTTCATTTGCGAATCCGCATTTAGAGGAAACTGCAGAAATAAAGAAAAATTTATATTTTTACCAAATCTATTAAAAATTTATATTCGACTTTATTACTTCATTTTTCCAACTTCTAAAAATAAATTTCAATTTCAATGATATGAAAAAATGCTAATGAAGCCCACTATAAATATTGCATTGATGTACGAACTGTCGGTGGTGATTTTCTGCTTTGTTCTTTTCGAATACGTTCGATAACCTCTAGCAAAGCAAAATTTTTTTTCAATGATTCTGGATTTAAATCTGGAAGATTAGAAGCGATTCGATCGAATGGACAAATCAACTGAGTTGAAATTGCTTGTCCACAAAGGGCAAAACAGCACTGCTCACAAATCTAAACCAAGAGAGAAATTCAATATTTAAGAGTGATTTTATAGATTTTACGATATTTGATTGAATCACAAATTGCGTCAGAAAAAACCTATACAGTTATTACAAATTTCAGATCATTAGCCTTTAATCAACAGAACAATTCATTATTGGCTTTTCTTGCTCAACGGCACAGTTTGGTGCATTTCATATTCTAGTTCGAATTGATGAAATCAGAATGAAAAGAAATCTAACGGTATGTCCGCAGCCATGAAGCATCCGAGGAATTCGCCTTCCACTATTTCCATACTCCTCATGGCATAACCCACATTCTAATCCGCTTATTTCCATATTCATGATTCTGAAATTCTATTAAAGATTTTTCATATCTTAAATTAATTTCAATCCAAATCTAAATCTCAAAAGGAGTTTTAAAAATTTGCAAAGAATGTTCCACAGTAATCACCAACACTATTTTATCTCCATTTTTCACTTATTTAAAATTCAAACAAAACTTTTCGATTTCTTTTCATTACATCAAAAGATCAAAAAGCTTGGAAATAAAAAGTTTAGCTGTAATTTACATCGCATTAGTCTTCAAGACAATAAAGCAAAGAACTTTTTATCACAGCATAAATTAAAATGTACAATAAATAAACGATATATATAAGTATCAAATCAAATTAATAACAAGATATTCTATTTTAGAAGTAAAGCAATGATTTCTCACAGGGAAAAGACAGCTTAAATTAGAAAATATGACGTTCAATAAGTTCGATGATTTTGACAATGGAAATAATGTTTCATTGATCAAAATGAAACATCATTCTGAAATCAATTTCAAGTTGTTTCGTACGATTTGCTTTGCGTCGTTCAATTTCTTTTAATTCTCGTTTCGATTTTTTTTTCACTTTTTCAATTGCTCGTTTATCGAATGGCTAAAAAAAGATATTTGGAAAACGAAAACATGAATATATCGCTCCATATTAGACTTTTCACTGAAGTTCCATAAAGCTTTCAATAACAAAAAATTACCAGGAAATGGGTTACTTTAGGCGTCTGCTTTTTCAGGCCAAATCCAAATCGATCTCGTTTCAGAACAGATCTTATAGGATATCGGTGACCACTTCCATCTTTGCCTAATCCTTCATATTCATTCCAACCAGTTTTCCGCAATAATTGATATCCTTTATTCCATTCGGGAATTTGGTAACCTGGATGATTTATCAGCTTCTTAGTTTCGATTAAATGTGCTGTACTTGTTTTATGATTCACATCCGTATACATGCACTGGCAGTCATTGCAGTAACTTGGAAATCTGAAAATTAATAAGTCAAATTAACATTTTAAAAATTTGTAAATCCTTTTTTATAATAAAGAGCACTAAGACAGTCAGCGATGACAAGTGGAATGGCTGCTTTGTGACAGTGACAAAAATCAAAGATTCAAAAATCGAAAGTTTCCCTAATCTTTGGGGAGAAAATAGCTCACTTTTCTTTTAGTATTAATTTTTTATCATTAAATTGATGAGTAACCATTATTAAATCAGTAAGTGATTAGCGCTCACCTACTTTTGGTTCAGTTGACTCTTGGCGTGGTTAAAAATTTTTTGCAAGCATTTCTTAATAAGCGAAAGTATACAAGAGAATTGCCAGCACTATCTAATTTTTTTAATGATAGATTTGTTCATGTTAGGATTAGGGAAATTTCTTTTTTGAAGAGTTCTCACCATTACTGGTTAAACTCCACTGGTTTATCGCAATTGAGCAATATGCCAGGAATCCCTTGGCGATAGAAATACAGGTGAGTCGTCAGCATCATCCGGATTTTTGTGCAAGTTTACTCAGGGAATCAAACCTCAGAATCGGCGCTCCCAATTGAGCAACAACCTATTGAGCTATTACTGTTGTTGTTGATGGATCGTAATTTTAATTTTAATACTTTTCTTTTGATCCTAGTGTTGGTAATACTTTGACTTATCAGCATTTGTTTTGGTTTTTTGGTCATGCCAAAGTAAGTTTCTATTTTGATTTTGCCTACTTTTGGTATTCTTAATCAAAGGAGTTTATACTTGACTGATAAAAAAGAGGTTTTTGGTTCTTTAGGTATGATTTATGCCATTTTGAAAATTGCTTTGATTGTTTGTGTGGCTTGGGCCAATCATATACTGTAGGTACAGATTTAAATTCTCGTGCTTATCTTTCTGCTGCTACTATGGTTATGGTTATTCCTACTGGTTTTAAGATTTTTAAATGATTAATTACTTTATATAGTATGCGAATAGTTTTTCAACCTGTGTTATGGGTTTTGGGTTTTATTTCCTTGCTTACTATAAACGATTTTACTGGTGTTATTGTCTAATTCTAGTTTGAATGCTGTTTTACATGATACTTATTATCTAATTTTAAGAATAAATTGAACAATTTCAAAGAAGCAAACTTAAGCACTCCTTGAAAGTCTTCCAAATAAACAAATAAATCAGTAACAAATAAAATTAAAATAGAAATAATAAAACCCATTAAATAAAAGTGCCATTAATATCGTCATTTATCGTCTTCAATAATATTGCACTATGTTTCTATGCCAGTTATATGGCCCTAGGCTATCGCACTCATTCACCTTTCTAAACGAAGACGATAAAGAATCCCAACCTCAACGATCGGATAATCGGAAAGTAAATACCAATAAAGACGACCAAATAGCCGATGAGTTTAAGAATTAATGATAGAAAATCCTATAATTTCTCTTATGCTCAATCGAGTTCATTACCAACCTTGTCTACATTTACATACAGAAATATGCGTCAACAGCTATATCTTTTCAAATAATTAAAAATATTACCTTTTTAAAGCATTCGTTTCTGCTTGAAGCACAGCACTGCAAGTTCCTTGGCAGTTATTGGATTCTCGACAAAAAAATTCATTTTTTTTCGAACAATTCTTGCCTATAACAATTATAATTAACAATATACATTAAAAAGAACAAAGAATAAAGAAAAGCAAAACGGGCGTATGAAGGCCTAAGAAAAAGCTTAGGAAAGAGGCTAAGCATTATGAATGCCCCAAGTTGGTGAAATATTCCAAATTGGCGCAGATCAGTGAATGCAAAAAGTTTCGTAAAATGAATCAGTGATCTGATCAGGAAAAACACTTATCGTTCGTGACTACGGTTCTTTACGCAAGTGTTACGTGGAATACGTCAAAAACCATACCACATCGCAAGCAAGCTTTAGAGGAACTGATATTTCATCAGTTATTTATTAGTTGTTCTATCAGTTATTTGAAAAAGAAGTTATAAATTCAAGTAGTTGATTATCTTGCATTAAGTAGAATAACTTGAATTCACTTGAAATCCAAGTCACGTGAACCCACGTGAAACGCCAATCACGCGATTTTTTTTCCAAATCGCTTACAAAATAAGGACAATTACCTGCTGATAACCGTTTCGTTTTGTTTTGGTTTTTATTAAAACTTTTGTCATCCATTAGAAGTTTTTCGTAAAATTTCCGGATTTCTACGCCACTTTTCTCTTCTTTCGAATTTTCAGTGTTGCCGCAAAACGCCGAAGAACATTCCGCAAACCCATATGACTCACTCGAACACGCAACAAATCCTGTAATTCCACAGCTTTTCCCCATCTCGCTACCACAATTAATTAGCTGCTGCGAACCGACCGAGCCGAATTATTCAGTGGATTATCCGAGCCAAGAAAGTCTTGCCACCGTAATATTCAGCCTAAAGAGAAGTTCGGCACTAGACTTCTCTCCACTACCGTATCAATCCATGTCCTGGTTCAATTTCGTTTGGATCCATTCCAGCGCTTAACTTCGAAATTATTTTTGCAACCAACTTCATGGCTTAATTCAACTGATCTGCAGCATTTTCATGGCCAGAAAGTGTAGTTGAAGCGAATAGCTCGAAGTTATTTTTTAAAAAGCCCTCATCATCTCTGAGCCTCGTTAGCTTGTCGCATTAGACAAGTATGCCAGGAACTCCCTTGGTTTCTGTGCAGGTTTACTCCCGCGGAGAATCGAACCTCAGGATCGGCGCTCCGAAATGAGCAACAATCCACTGAGGAGCCCGCTGCTATTACTATTATTATTAATGAGTGAAAACAATCGTTCCTGGCAAATTTGAGCTAATTAATAATTCAGTAACTATTAACTATTGGTTGGTCTCCGGCAAAATTTGTTTTAAACGTTACCATATTTCTAACCTCTTTTGTGGTTAATAAAATTACCAAAAAATATTATAAAATGTTTGATTTCTAAAAGGATTTTCTTTCTTTTTTATGTGAAATGACTGCCGTTTTCGAGCATTTTTTATCATTTTTATTATTTAAACTAATTCTCTGTTTCGTAATTAAATAATTTAAATATTTTTATTATTTGAAAGAATTTCGCAAATTGTGTTACGAGGATTAAAAAATCTATCAATCTTATCACTTGGCGATGGTAAATCTTTCATTAAAAGTTATCCTTTCTTATTTTACAAATTGAGTTGCGAGGATTAGCAATCTTATCACTTGGCGATGGTAAATCTTTCATTAAAAGTTATCCTTTCTTATTTTACAAATTGAGTTGCGAGGATTAGCAATCTTATCACTTGGCGATGGTAAATTTTTCATCAAAAGTTATCCTTTCTTATTTTACAAATTGAGTTGCGAGGATTAGCAATCTTATCACTTGGCGATGGTAAATCTTTCATTAAAAGTTATCCTTTCTCCTGAAAATATGTCCAAATGACTTTCTCGCAGAAATATTGACTAATGGCCAATAATGAAATGCAATTTACAAGAAATTTTCAGTTCATTTTCAAAGCCTAAATTCAGAGAAAATGAATTATAGTTGTAATTCGTTTGGATGAAAATATTTCACTCGTTAGAAATAATTTATATTGAACTTTCGCGTAGAATTACGGCCTATCGGCTTCATTTACTGTCTCTTTAAAAATGTCGGAAAAATTTGCGATTCAACGATCGTTAATGCAATATTCATTGACAGCGGCAACCTTTTTATTATATATTTTTATTTATTTTTACTATATATATATTATATTTTCTTATGTATAAAAGTTCTTTGTTTTATATGTGTAAAAAATCCCTTTCCTGCCCTTGTGGAAGACAAAGGTAATCCTATACCAGAGGCCTGGAAGTTTGAAGGTGTCTTGGCTGTTTCTAGCAGTTTCTTCTTCTGGGTAGAGGATGTTGCTCTTGGAGTCTATTGAAACTTTTCTAGTTTAGGGGTTGCAGTTCCTATAACCACTGGGATTACTTTGGCCTCCATATATTCATGCATAAAATCTTTTGATCTTTTGATAATAAAACCAGTTTTTTTATAAATTTCAATATTGTATTACTTTTTCTTCTAATTTTCCTTCTTATCTTTAATATTTGCTAATCGTTAAATATTCTCAAGATATTATTACTAATAATTTTTTTGATTTTATCTACACTTTGACCTTGACACAATCCTTCTCTTTAGTAACAATGCGCCTTTTTTTCATTCAGTACCACGATTATCAAATTTATAAAAATGCACCGTAATGAGAGAAATGCACAAAAATGTATTAAGGGAGAATTCATGCAATTAGTGTATTACTTAATATATGGAGATGCCGTTCGAGAAATGGGATTATATGAATTTTCAGCTGGAAAATTTCTTATTCGATTATCCTAGCTCTTTTATAAAATTTATTTTAAGCCAATTTTTAAACGAATTTTTAAATTAATTTAAATTATAAATTATAATTTAATTTGTATTTAAATTATAATTAAATCAGACGAAGAGCCTTAATCAAGTATTTTTCAAATATTTTCATAGACACCGTAAATAACATTGTTCTTCTGAAGCTAATTTTTAAATTCAGAATATTTCTTCTCAAATAACAGGTAATAAAGTCGGATCGCTGATAAGCTTAATGTGATGCTTGATTTAGTCGAGGCTCATGACCATTTCATCTCGTGCAGTGATTTTTATAATCATGTAACATTTACCACTTACCATTTATAACATCGCATGGTTTGTTAATTTGTTAAAGGAAATAATGCATCTATATAAATAAAATATTATTTATTGGCAACCTATTATTGTATAATATTTCATTCTAATGATAATAAATAAATTAATACAACTGAAAAGAATTGTCGATGTTGAAGGGAGTTTTGAAGGAATTGGCTGGCTGCCTTCTGTACAAATAATGAACTGCATGATATCCTTCGATCCACTATCTGAAATAAAACATAATGAGAATTTCAAAATTCGTTCAAGAATTTGTCGCTTATAGGCGGAAAATTTTATTTTCTATTAAAAAAATTCGTTGTTTTTATTAGCCTATTGCTCAAGAAAAGATATTTTCACCTTTTATTGGACCATTCATATTTCCACCATCCACTGGACCATTCATATTTCCACCATCCACTGGACCATTCATATTTTCATCAATTATTAGAGTATTCATTTTTCCACCACCCACTGGACCATTCATTGGACCATTCATATTTTCACTTGAATCGACTTTCGATTTCCCGTCTTTCATTTGAAATACTTCTAAACAAATATTTTGACTTTTGCTATAAGAACGAGGATATCTAAAGGACATTAATATGAAAATTCAAAATTATTACCTTAATAGTTCATCATTTGACACGGCAGTGAGTCAGCTTTCAGCACTGCAATGGTTTCAAACTGTTTCACTGACAAGGCACATAGCAAATTAACAATGCCGAAATGAATTTGTGCAATAAAGATTTTTTTTTCTTCCTCTTTTTTCGATACAACGATACATCCATTGGTAGGCACTAAATTTCGCAAAACTAAAATCGCATTAATTTAAAAAATTACAATTTGGAGAAAAAGCGATCGCAGCCTAAAGAAACTTATTTGATGAGAATATTTATAAAAAAAACGACTCAGTTGGTTGTTTTTCTCATTTCGAAGCGTCGATGTGGGGTTGCACTTCCGGTGTGCATGAGTCTATTCTTCAAAAATCGAAATTATCAAATGATTTTATAATGCAAAAAATTCATACCTTTTACTTTGCCATCATCATTTTTCAATATCTTATGGTAAAACATTGGTCTTCGTATCATTTTTGTCACCACAGCAATATTTGCCCCCTCATTATCAAACGACCCTTGCTGATGAAATCCCTCGAATACTGCAAATTTTGTATATTTGACTCAATGTTTATTTTTGTGCTATCACTATTGCAGTTATTAAAATGGGTTTATTTAGTTTATTTTTCAAGCATTATAATTCGGTTCTGGCACGATTAAAAACTCCAGTAATGCTAAAGACCCACCTGCATTTCCATACTTTGGTGGTTCCCTAATGAAAATGAGGTGATGCAACCTGTGGAATCTAAGGAGAATTGGTGAACGCTGGTCTATTAGTGACTACAGTATGTTAATAATATTATCAACAGCCTTATCGTTATAGTCATGCTATATTTTATTTAATATTTTATAAATTATTTTTAAGTAAAGAAGCACAGTGAAGAAAAATTGACGTACTGAAATCAGAAGTACAAAAGGTCTGAACAATCATTTCTTTCGAGCACTGATCACATTTATAAGCTATAAATAATGTTTTAAATTCTCGAATAAAGAATCTCAAGAGTAAGGCTTTCACTTAAATTATGAATACTTTATTGTATTCAAGCTTATCAACTTATTAGTCATCTTTTACACAAAAAGTAAATTACCTTTGGTGGTAGGCTTTTTAACAGTTTCATATGTTAATTCCACTACCTTAGATGTTTTCCAAACATCAATCGAAGATTGTATTAAAATTGAGATAATTTCTGTATTTTGAACACACTTAATATAATTACTACCAAACAAAAGTGGTATTAAAGTTTGATTTTCTGAAAACATCTATGTTTTGTAAAATGATAAAAATCAAGAATAAATCGAAGATGAATGATTGAAAATTATTAAAAATGTGAATTTTAGGACTCTCACAAAATGAAAATTTAAGAAAATAAGTAAAAATAAATACCAGCAATATGAATTTTTGTGCTGGAAGGATATTTCGCTAGCAATTTCATGCAGTTTCTTCCACTTTTTGTTTGATCAGATTTTAGTTGCACATGGACTGCACCAACTGGATTTCTCCAACTGATAATTCCACGACTGCATAATAAATTAATCCTCGTTATTGGATCGTCACCAACCGCACCACTTAAATTAAAATTATTGGAAATAATTGCAAATAATGCGAAAAAAAAGCAAAAAATATAAAAATGTGAAAGATCTAAAAATATTTTATCCATTTATTTTTAAAAAGTACAATTAATTAATTAGTATTGATACACTTTTATTAATTAATTAAATAAATTGATTTAACTAGCTTGTTATTAATTAATATTAATATATTTTTACAATTACTATCTCAACAATTAGCTAAGAAACTAAAATTGTAAGATTAGGGAAATTGGCGAGAGAGAGGAATGTTCCGCTGTTGAGACTCAATCAGCGGCAAAAGTGGATCTGTTCTTCAAAATTCCGGAGATGCTGGCGATTTATCTATAATTTTATCGCCACTAAAACCTTCTCAAGTGGTAAAACCTATTTAGATTAGATTAAATCAGAGGCACAAATGATAGGCGCTTTTAGAAAAAAAAAGGCAAAAATTAATGAATAGAAATATTTTATTGCGGGAAAGTTATGTAATTTATTAATTTGAAAATTTAATAGAGTGATAAATGCCTTGTAAAAATATTGTAAATAAGAATATCTGGTGAAATATGGCCATAAATCTGGCAACTGAAATGTGCATAGCAGCGGAAATATGCGTGTAACACGTATTCGAGTTGAGGTCAATTCGAAGAGTGTTCCGATTCTATTTATACAAATAATGGATGAAACCCTGGTAAACACTGGTAAATCATATTTGAACTTGAATTTGAAGTAAAATTTTTCCGCAATTATCGAATATGATAGAATGGTGATAATGGGGTGATTTGAACTGATAAATGGCATAAAAAATAAAGACATCAATGAGGTGATAAAGGTGAGAGAGTCAATTGTTATAGAGATAAAAAGAAAGGTACTCGACAGTCCTCGAATTTTATGCTTAATTGCAAGCTCACTCTCCCATGAAAGGAATGTTTCTTGAATGGAATGCTTATGAAAAAATCAAATTAATGTATAGGAGATAAGAAAATTGATAAGAGCAAGGTCAAAAGAATTTTGTATGATCGCAAAGTTCTTTTTTATAATAACGGCTAAAAGGAATGATTAATTGAGCGTCGCTAATTGCTTAGTCGGAATCTAAAAAATAATCGCTATTTTTTTTCCACTATTACGAACGTTCAAAGTATAATTCAAATTCCTCCTTTGTACTAATTTATATCTGAGTTCTCAGCACAATAACAATTAAAAATATATTATTTTATGTTCTGCATCTTTGTTTAATTTCATCAATAGAATATTTTCAGTTGATTCGATGAAATGTCAACGAGGAATCAACGAAAATTTAGCGATTACTGCTAAACACCAAGTGAAGAGTTTCGCGAAATTCGAAGATTTTGTTGATCCTCGCTAATAATGTATTCTATCCGAATGAAGTATATACACTACTGTCCAATGTCGACTTGAATAACAGGCAGGCGATGCGGCTGCTTGGAAACAACGCTTCAGCCTAGATGATGGTGTGTGTGCAGTCAAATATATCAGAAGTACATATCAAGAACAACGGACAACCATTAAATTACCCAAATAGTCAGTTAAAAAAGGGGGAAATTAATTGTTTATGATGAAGGAAAATGTTTCCCATGACTCAAATTGACCAAAAATAATTTTCTCATGAAGAGAAGTTTTTCGGCAAAGATCATTCATATGATTATTATTATTATCGACTAGATTATGTCACGATATATTCGACAAAACCAGTATTTTATTTACCTTTGACCCTAAATGTGATTCACATAGTGAGGTTTTTCGTTTTTCCCAATTAATTAATCTTGTTTTCATTCGAGAAATATGCGACTATTTTTCGAACATTAAAAGTTGCCTCAAAGTTCTCACAATGCTTAAAAGCCCAAACAGCGTGAGACTGTGCTAATATCGTTCGGAAGGAAGGTCGAAATAAATTCAAATTTTGTAATTTTGTCAATGTTTAGATTAGTTCCGCGCAAAATTTGCGCAATTATGCTGCAAGCAGATTGAAATCGCGATTTCCGAAAACAGTGAGAATTATTCAAATTTTTGCAACTTTTTCGAATTTATAATGGAAAAATATCAAAATAACGACATTGGAAACGGGAAGAGAATTATTTGTTTCATTTATTTTCCCTGAACGGAAAAAATAGTCCCAGTTGGTGTTGGCGACCCATCTTTACTTTTGTCAATAAATGACTGTTTGGCTTTAAGATGGTAAATGATCCGACAAGTCAACGAAACAAGTTTGACCAGAAATGGTGAGCGCTGTTAGAAAAAAAATCATATGCATTTTTTTCCGAAATTAATTCACACACTATGCCTTTATTGAATAAAACACGCCACAAAAAATATGTTAAAAAACATCTATCTAATAACCAATTGATAAAAAAGGCTATGAGATGGGATTTAAATTATACTAGTTGAGCACCATCAAAACACAGTAAATCCTTAGTTATTTGAACTATTCATGACGAGAAATTTATTGCCGAAAATATCAAATAAAACCAATGGTTTGTTAAGCCAAATTACGAATCCTTCTAATCTATTTTTCTATCGTTTATTCAACAAATAAAACGAGTAAATGACTCTAAAACTGTTTAATCCTATTTTATTGTTAAATTATTGTATTTTCAAAAGAGCGTCCACCACGTCTAGTTAGGCTCGCTCCACTGGCTTGGCCTGTTCAGGCCAGTTTTACTAAAGGCTCACATGGCCATAAGTCACCATGACCATCCAGATTCTTCGAAAAAAGATTTGTTCCTATAGGGAATAGAACTCGAGCATCGGCGCCTCGAAATGAGACCAACGACGCGCTGAGCCATTCCGTTCTTTTTTCAAATTTACTGCACTATAGAAGATTTCAAGAAAATTTTAAAATCTTAAAATTCGAAATATCTTAAACAACGAATCGAATAAAAGAAAAGTATTTATAAAATCATACGATTTAATCCAGGAACATTGCCTCTCAATCGAAGCGAATTCCACTGAACGAAAATTCAGTTGAAATATCGCAAAAATTATTAGAACGACGGAGGCACAACCTGCCATAATACGAAGGCGAATTCGTTTCGTTAATAATTCATTCTCTTCAACACATTTTTACATTTCCATTAAGGACCGCCCAAACATTTTTTTAAAAATCTATTCCGTTCAAACGAAAATTCACTTTTAAAATTTTCGCATAATTCATTTATATGAAAAGTAAAAATTGAAAAAATTGAAAAAATTTATTGTAAAACATCAAAAGAATATAATTCAAATAAAATTTATATTTTGGCTTTAATAAAATATAACAAATTTTGGCGAAATTTCTGACCTATGACCCGAGATGTTTGCGAGAGAATTAAAGCTGAGGTGGACTATTTCAAAATTTCGAAATTTTCAAAACTAATTTCATAGTATTTAATTTAATGAAGGTCTTTCTTTTAGTGTTATTGTATTTTTAAAAGTTTTACTTCATGAATATGTGGCAAAATATATAATTTTGTAAGACATTATTGTAATTTATAAATTAACTGTACTATAAATAAAATAGCCTTGTAAAATAATTTTTTGCTTTTTATTCAAACTCATATTTTAAAACTTCAAAAGTTAAACCCTCTGTTTGCTAATTTTTGTAAGAAAAATCCGTCATCTTTGAACTAAATAAGATTTTTCGTCGATGGCTATTTGTCCATTTATAGAAAAAAATTTGATGAATATTGTTATTATTATCGTTATTATTATGAATAATAAATGCATATAATAACGTCTAATTACTAAAAGATGAAATAAAAACTACAAATATTCGATAAAATCATCATTAAATACGAGGTGAAAATCGACATGTATTGCTTGCATTGCCGGCGTATCTGCTAAATCTGCCTTTTCGGAACCAGGGAGGACGATGTTGGTAATGTTGGTAACTCACTTGCAAAGTGAAAGCGGTGAAATTTTTCTGCTCGTCGGACAAGCCTGTAAAGCGAATCACAAGCAGTGTTCTCAGAAAAAGAAGAAACGTATTTGAAAGCAATCATTTTCATATATGAAAAAATTTCTCGTGAAATATTTTTTTAATTTTTCAGTCTTTTCCGATTTCTTTAAAGAAATTATCACTGATAATTTGACAATTTTTCCAACCTTTAGGCAATCTATGGAAATTGATTAAATTAAATATATATCGATAATTTGCAACAAAAATAAACATATGAAGATTTTCGTATAAATACATCTGATAAGGCATAAATCATTTTCATCAATAAAAAAGAACGCCGTTCGAAATAATCTATCATCTTTTTGCTAACAAAAATAATTTTCTAGATGATAGCGCTATTTTAATTTCGATTTTTAATAAACTAAGAGTCTAATTCCGCGAGTAATAGTGATTCAATTCCGGTCAATACGAGGATAAGCCTATTTGCCTATTATTAAGAGGTAATCTACTGGATGGTGTTGGAACTCAGTTCTCTTTCCATTCTTATAATATTCAACTAGGATGATGGCAAATTAAATAATAAGACATTGCGCTTTATTTATACCTTTATTTTTTTACCATATCATTCTACATATATTTCGAAATTAAAATTTCCTAGCAAATAATCATGCAAAACTGATTTAGAAAGAGCAAAAACGTGAAGATGTGCATGATTTTAATTAATTTCGAAATTTGTCTAATAGAAATTATCTAAATATGCAGTCTTATTGCTTCTATTTGCCAAATCCTGTGATGGATGGTGCTAAAATTGTGCCAGTTCAAGTGGCCTGATATATCTTAAATTTCAGCCTAGTAGAGCTAGTGAAGTGGACCGAATCGACGGTGGTGCGACCTATGAGAAGAAGAAAAGACGTGCATATTCCCGTATCATATATCTAAGACCCATTGCTTAGTGGATAATATTCCTGCACTCAGTTCCTTTTTTTCCTCGTATCTTCAATAAAATAGTTCAATTTAGAGAAAATTATTATAATCTTCGATATTTAACGAAAATACAGAACGTTTCCTTACAAATTGACCGTAAATTTATAAAATTTTCACCAATTTCCTTTATAATTTTTCCATTCCTATCGATGGGAAAATCGTTACTTTCTCTCTTCTATTAATTTATGGTGCATTAATTCGAGCATCTTTTGTACGAATCGTGTTAACAAATACTGTTTCACATATAAACGACTCGGCGCTCTACTTAATTTATAGCTTTTTTCGAATAAAATATTGATGAGAAACGGGAAAAGCTTTATATATTTCGATATCCAACTTCATTTTTATGACTCAAATAATTTACTAAGAAATTTTTCTTATTAAGAAATTTTATCAGCTTATCAGTACTTATCAATATTTATCAGCCTACCGATATTTTATCATTCACATAAATTAATTCCTTTCAAAAAGTCGAAAGTTTTAAAATATTTTCAAAGGAATCGACAATTTTAATTTTTTTTTCTGTAGAAATGAAATGAGATCGAATCGTTTCCTATTTTTCAAATAAAGGTTAAATAAGTCCTTAAACGTATTCATTGAAAGGTTAAGTGGCTTATTTATCAGTTTTACGTGTTTGATTAGATTCCTTATCGTTTTTTTATTCATTTAGTACGTTCAATATTCTCGCAAAAAACGCAGAACGCGTAATACTTCAATTATTGCTTACTTACTTACTTACTTTCTTTAGCGATAGTCATTCACAATTAAGGTCGAATTTTTATTAAATTTTTATAATTTTCGAATTTTTCCAGTTTTTCTTATTTTCGAAAAATTATTATAAATTTCGATAAATTAGAGAAAACCTATAAATGAAAATTAACTGGCGTACAATGAATAAATTTTATAGAAAAATAAATACAAATTTCTTTGAAATTGAAAACTTCAAAAAAAAAAAAACTATGATTAATGATGGAAAATTTAATTGAAATTTTTCTAAATTACAATGAAAAAACTATTTTTTTCCCAAAAAAATTTTCTTTTTGAATTCAATTGAATTGAATTTGCTTTGTTTCGTTCCATTTTATTCATTCGATAAGTTAGTTATTTCAACGAAGAAAAGAAACTCTAACGAATTATTCGACGGTTCGATTCAGCGAATAAATTTCAGAGAAATAGAATTTCAGAGTTTTTCTTTAAAAAAAAAAAAAAAAAACTAAAATTAATAAATAATTTTAACATTCAGTCAATCTTTGACTTCTGAAAATTATATTAAAATTATCCATCGAAAATTTCCTCGATTAATTTTATTTTTAAGCTTTTCACAAAAATTTTCTAACAAAAAACCAATAATCGCTAATTTTTCCTAAATTTATTTTGATCTCTTAACAGTATTTCCAATAATTTATACCGCAATGTGCTAAGCTTAAGCATTTATTCCATATACTCTCCGACCAGTTGTTAAGTTTTATCAATCAAATTTAAGTCTTATCAAAGCCATCTTTTGAACCATTTAAGCTGAAATCGATAAGATCAAGTAATGGCCAACGCATTCCTAATCGACTATAATCATAAACAACTGTTTCATACTTAAACTAATCCGCAGATCTGCAGATTACCAATAATTTAGAGATCAAGCATAATTAATAGTCGAAATTGAGAAGATATTTTCCACCAAAAACGTTTTCTTCACTTGGATCGAACGAAACATAAATAGATTTTCAAGGGAGCAAACTTTTATCTTTTCTTCAAACAATAGTTTTGGATCGGTTGTCTCCACTGGGTTGAACGATATGGTCCCTTTGAGAAAGAAATATAAATGTACTCCAGATTCGTCTCGATTTCTCTTTCAATAACAACGTTGCAAACTTTATTCTACTCCAGAAAAATAGAACAACCAACCAAATCCCCAAATATAAACAAAACAATACAAAGTTATAGGTTTTTACAAAATATGCTTCAAAATTTTACCAAAAAAACGGAAAAACATGCAATTATTCCATATTATTTGAATCAATTTCGGGAAAAATTTTTATAAAATATTTTTAATAAACATATTACAATGAATGCGAAAAAATCTGATTTATATTCAAAAACCTAGTAATAAACCCAATTCATATTTTCATCAATCAAAAATAAAATTTCTTTCGAAGGGTGAAATTCCAATTTTCACACCTGAAAAAGAAAATGAGCAATTTTCAATTTTCAATCGAAAAAAAAAACAATTATAATACTACATAATTCATTTCTATGCATTTAATGAAATCAAAATGAAATAAACAAAGCAGATAAGCAATATCTTTACTTGGAATCTGATACCAAATATTAAAATAATGCAATTAAAACCTCCATTTAGCTCAAGCTATTCAGGTGGTTACTGGGAATGCACTGCATCCCCAGCTCCAAGATTACCCGATAAAAAATATAATTTTATCAGCCAGTTAAGCCAAAGCAGAAACAATACATGCCGCTAGAAGTAAATTTAATTGAATAACCACGTTACACTCACATGACTGGCATGGAACTATTATATTAATTAACGCAAATATTTTAATAAAAAAGAAACCATTCTATAGAGCGCGTGGTATAAATTAAAAAATTGCATCTAAAATTAAAGAAATATTGCCGTGTCAATGATTTTTTGTTCAAGCATCAATAAAATTGATTAAAGAAGCTCCTCTGATTCGATTCCTGATCATCACAAGCTCCTCCGATTTTATATCTGCAATCTTTCGAAGTTCCTCGCTAAGTTTTGATGTTTCTCCTTTCGCAAGGCTAGAAGCTGTAATAGCGATTGTAACACCATCTATCACGATGCCAATACCAACCGCTCCACGAGCTGCACCACGCAAAACAGCTTCGCTCATGCTTACCTTCAAAATTAAAACAAAACGTAATTGACGAATATATAGCGAGAAACAGCCCAAAAACAAGCAATATTTGAATATTATATTAAATAGAGCAAATGAAAATAATGGAAAATAAGAATGCTGCAGAAATAAAGGAAAAAAACAAAGCAAACAAACAGTTTTGAGTCCCACTGTTCTAATACCAAGAGTAGCAGCTCCTTTCACTGTACCCAAACCGAGATGCAATCCCACAGCAGTTAAATTCTGCGGATCGCTCAAATCAGTATCTTTTTTAAATTCGATCTAAAAACAATGATATAAATAAAATAATATTAATGGGACATTTTAATTCTCAAAAAAATTAACGAAAAAAAATTTTAAAAATGGAAAAATAAATACTGAACTTCTGAGTTCAATTCCAAATTCCAAATGTACAAATCAAAAAAAGAAATTAACTGTGTCTGATGAAATGATATTCTTGAAAGCTTTTTCCAAATTCTCGCTTAGTTCAAGATCATAAACTGATAGTTTCATCGCTTTTTCCAACAATATCTTTATAATAATAAATTCGGTTATAGTGGTACCAATATTGGATACGCTGGTCAAAACCGTCGTTGCGATTCCTACAAAAAGGAAAACAAAAATGACAAATGAATTAAAACCTAAATTAAAATTCAAATGTTCTCACCTCCAAGAAACAAAGGTGGGAAAGCGATTGATCCAATGAGAGCTGCTGTTCCAGCGACAAGACCAATAGAACTTCCAGTTATTGTTGCTACCTTACAATTATCGTGGATTTTCGAGGCCTGAATATTAAATTCCTTTTTTGTGTAAGTATTTTAATAAGTATAGAAATAAATATTGAAATATTCCATGAATATTCTGACCAAAAGAGAAAATCTTGCCTATTGGCAACATGAATAATGTAAGATGAGCATTTAAATAAAAGATAAAACAATATTAAATTAATCAAACGTAAGCAGAAAAAAATTTTGCCTATTAACCCACAATAATTCAAAAATAATTGAATAATTGATACATAGGTGGTTTAATGGTAAAATAATTAAGAATCGGGAAATGACTCGATTTCCAATCCACCCGATGCACAACGGGTGGCAGCACTGGATAATGAAAAAGAGTGCAGGGGTGTAAAGTGGCATAGTGGGCTGTTATTCAATGCGAAGAGCTGAAGGCGAGTTTTAAGCTCAACAGGTGCAACTTATCCTTCAAAAATTCTGATCGTGCTGGCATTTCTTTTCTGACCCAACAAATCAGCGAAATGAGTCAATAATGAAAAAAAATTGAACCTCATCGGCAATATTCCTTAAACTATCAATCAAACTGAGGCGATTTTCCACAAATGTTTTGTAAACAGAAAAAAACGATTGCCTTTCATTTGTTCCTTTTGTATCACTCGATGATGCTGCTGGAATCGAAGAGAAAAACTAAAAAAATAAAAAAATCGTAAAAAATATCGAAAATATATTGGTAATATATTAAATCAGTCAAAAATTATTTTAATTTGAAGAAATTTTTTTTTCTTTTTATTTTCTTAAATATCATTTTTTTTAAAGGTGTTCCTTAAATACCGTTCAAGGTAGCCTTTATTTTTTCTAAAAGTTTTTCAATTTTCAATTTCTTAATTTTTAGTTTTCTATAAACTTAAAAAGCCTGTCAATAAAATCTATCAATCAAAAATAATGAATCAAAATTCAGATGTATATATGCACAGCTATTTATGTATATATCTATCTATATTTATGTATATATATAGATATATATATATCTATATCTCCATAACCTTAAAACCAATAAAACTCCCGAAAAAAATGGTCTTCGCACCGAACTCCTCAAATGTTGTCCATTGTTCTTCATATCGTACAAATATTCTCTGGTATGGCGAAAAGAAATGAATGAATATGAAAAATGAAATGATACCAGACGATTGGAACAAATCCATTCTATATCCAATTCCTAAGAAAGATGACAGGACATACTATGACAATTATCGAGGAATCACCTTACCAGAATCTCCAGAAAAAATTTCGCTTCTCTCCTGTTGAATAAACTTATGGCAATGCCAGATAGCACCCTAACAGAGCTGACCAGATATTAATATCTCAGACCCATTCTAATTCCAAACGGCCAAGCGAAAGACGAAATTACAGCACGGATAACGGCAGATAGAAATGGATTTATCCGATTGACGGAATTTTAATCCCTCGCAAAATCACCATAAAGACGAAAGCCCGCATCAATATAACTGCAATTAGCTCGATCGTGCTATATGGCTGGGAGAAATGGCCAATGACAGTGGAAGATATTAAGAAGCCATCTGCTTCCGACCTCTCATATCTAAGAAGATATTCGAGCCCACCGAGCAGATAAAACTACACCAAATACCAGTTGTATTAACAGTACCATCAGAAAACAATGTCGTAACTGGTTAGGGCACCTTATTCGTCGCCCATCGAAGTTGATAAAATTGAATGATAAAGTGATTGAGTTTCGATATTCACTAAACTATGTGGCCGATGACGTCAAAAATAAGGTGTGCCAATCAAGACCTATATCAGGAAAAATTTTGGAATATATAGGGAGACTAGCGATGTATAAAGTTTCAAATGGTGGAAAAATAAATGGCTTCTATTATCTGTAAGTGACCGAATAGCTTGTCAGTGAACGAATAGAGATGTCCTTGCAGCTAGCATAACTAATAACTAATAATGCTGTTAAAAGAAAAATACACATTTGGAAAGGCCAAAGTAATCTCAGCGATAATTGCAGACTATGAAGTGTGACCTTTAAACTAGAAAAGAGGCTTCAGCAGATTCCAGGAGCAATATTAGAGATCCCCAACCAAAAGAGCATACTTCTACAAATAGCTAAGATACTCTCAATCTCCTAGGTCCTGTGTCCGAGGTTGAGGACGATCCGTACCGCAGTGGGTAAAAAAAGGTCTTTTGCCATTCAACAGACTATGTACTATGCATACTGAAACAAGGAAATCCTTGATTTATTCACGTTATATTTAATATTCATAAAGAAACTAACCACATGATTCAATGACCGATCATATTCAGGCACAAATGAATCCACTGATTTACTCATTATTTCTGAAAAACCACATTAACATTCAAAAATATATTTTATTTTACATAATTATCTTATAACTATATTTAACTTTTTGCATCTTTAATGGACCTTTTTATTTTTATTAGTAAAAAAGCCTATAAAATATTTTTAAGAATACAAAAAAAATATTTCTTTCCTCGTCGAATAACGTAAAAAAAAGGGAAAATAAAAATAATAAAAAAAATCAGTTTATTTTGCATAATTTTGTAAATTTGGTTTTTTCAATAGTAATAGTCAAAATTTTTTCAACAAAAATTTCATAAATAGTGAAAAATAAAGCGATAAAATACTATTGGTAATAAAAAATACTATAAAATATATTTATATACATTGCTGAAGAAAAAATTATCTAATGCTAGAAATGCATTCAATTTCACTATAAAAAGCGAGCAAATTTACGCAAGTCGCCCGAGTGCAAGACACATACAGCGAAGGCACTGGCACCGCTTTAGCGGAGGGTTTACGAATGTATGAAAATTTATTAGCTGTGAGCCCTGTGAGTCAGTCAAGAAGATAGGGTTATAAGGGCTATAGAACGGGCCATTCACGATTCTTAAACTTAATCGCTCCTAATTCTCGTGAAATCATATTTACATATGCATTAAAAAATATATAGATATACAATATATAATATACTACATATACAATATATTATAAAACACAATGCAAATTGGAGGCAATAAACTGCGGTTTATTCGAGAGACCCAATATTAACTTATCACTACAGAATTACCTTTTCAAATTAGATATTTTTAAGGCTTTAATGACCAACAAGATTATTCACTCCATACTCCTTTTCATTGCGAATTCGTGCTTTAGCGGACATTTTGGGTGGTTTACGACGAAGATCATTCCTGAAAGCCGATCTCTAGATAAATCAGTCCAACTCAAAAAAGAAAAAAAAATTCGTTAAAATTGGTTTTCGTTTTTTTGAAGTATTAGATAATTATAAATTTGTAACTATGCGACAGCCTCCTCAAAGCTATTCATATTCGCAAATATCATAAATACCATTTTAAAGCAAATAAGCATGATAATTAAAACAGAAAAGAATTATATGGTAAGATTATGTAGTTATTTTCTAATATTATATTAAAAACAAAATAAATTTATAAGTTAAAACAAACAGAGCTGTTTTAACAGCACAGTCTGAAACATTGATTATCCTGTAAATTGAATCATCGTCACCGGTACCAAGTGAAAGGCCACAACAAACAAGATGAAGATCTTTAAAAGATAATTTATATATTAAATACAAAATATTACAAAAAAATTAAATATATAAAACTTATGATCCACAAATTGAATTTTTACCTGCTAATGCCTTTAGAATAACTTGAGGAAAATCCTGATATGCATCGCTGCGATCTCGACTTCGTACACTGAAGCACCCATATAACTCCGATGGAATAATCGGTAAAAATATTAACGGATTAATTTTTTAAATATAACAAATGAAATAAGACTTCTAAGAAATTTTTTTAAAAATTTTCAAATATGAATTCTTAAATTTTTGTAAAAACATATATTTTTACGATAAAATTCAATGATTTTTACTTTACCTCTTAAATCACCGATCTTTCTAATCTGTTAAGAAAGATTAGTGGCTTGAGATCCTTCCATTTTCGTGTTGACAAGGAAAATAGGTTTTGTGCCTAACAACCTAGATGATTGAGATATTTATCTCAGTCACAAAATAAAACAGAACCTATTTCGCCATTAATCTAATTTAATCCAAAAATCAATCATTAACTGAATAATCGATCGATCAAAGCATAAATAAACCTAATTAAGCAAAATTAATTGAAATAGAAATATGAAAAATATTCAAAATTTTAATACTTTCTTTTGCTAAACAAAGAAATAAAAAGTAATAAATAAAACAGAATTTACTCGATAAGTAATGTAGCGAGAAACTTTCTGAATTCGAACAAGAACAGATTTTCGCTGGATAAATTCACCATCTCCACTTAACTCAACCAAATATATGCCGAGATTTTCGCGCGCTGATATTCCTGCTATAGAAGGTATTGGAAATTTCTTTGTAGATGCTCGAGCTGGATTGTAGACTAGCTGATTAAATTGAGGCAAATTATAGATTTGCTGAAAAATCTTTATAAATCTTAAAGTTTTTCGGTTTAAAATTTTAATTCATATATTGAATGAAACATTTCTACCATTCTCTTCATACCATTTTGAAAATTTTCAGTTGGTTTGACGTTGTTTTTGAAAAAAAACTCAGTAAAACGAACTTATGCATGTTCATATAATATGATAAAAAATATCAAGCTGTTACCACAATTAATCACAAATTTTTATTCATCTAGCAATTTATTAAACGCTTACGGGAGAACGGAAGAAATATTTTACGATTAAATGGACAGCACTGGATACATTTCTACCATTCTCTTCGTACCATCTTCGCTTTCTTTCCATCTATTTTCTTACTGTTTCTTTAACATCCTTTCTCACTATTGTTCTGTTTCCTCACCAATTCAATTTAATAAAAGAGCATTAAAGAAGAAAGCATCTCTCACAGTTGCACTAATTTCCCTTTTTCTGCATGCTCTTATCTCGCAAGAACTGTCGGTATCAATGTGAAGGGAAAGCACTTAGATTCCTTTTCAACCATATAGAATAGGTTTACCTCCTTGGGCATAAAATTAGATGTTACATCGAATCGACGGCGCAGTTTATTGATCTCCTCTGTGAGTCGTTCATTGGTGGTAGCAAGGCAATTAATCTGAAAAAAAAACCAAAAACTAAATGGAATACAAAGTACTGCTGACAATCAACTTCATCAACTTGACAGTTTGATCAAACAATCATCAACTTGACAGTTTGATCAAATAATTAAAAATTTAATTCTGCATTACATTAGGGATTATTCAAGCAGAGTCGTGACACCAGAAAAGAAAGTAGAAGATTTCATATTGCGATGAAGGAACTGGCAAACATCAGAGTTGGACCAATTTAAGGTTACACCAAGATAAAACGCACACAGTAAAGAATAACTCTAATCTCGCGATTACCTCAAGTTATGCGTGTACATATTCCAAGCTAAGGCTGAGGCAATGAAGCACTTAAATGAATTAAATGAGTTCAAATACTACTGAAGCACTGATCCCAAATGAAATTTTACCCATCCAGAAGACGACACACCAAATTTGCTCCGATATACCACTTAAAAGAAGACAATACGGATGTCCTTTTCGAGATACCTTAAAACGAATGTCGCCAAAAGCAACAAAAATTGATCTTCAAATCAATACAAATAAAATACTTTATATTATATGCTTCAAATATATCTCAAATTAATAAATCGTAATTTCTATAAATTCACTACCGTTTCGGACTTTAAATATTTCGAATTCATTCTCAAATTTAATGGCTAAGCGAAAAATAAGTTTGTATGTGCAATTAAAATATATACTAGGTAAATGATAAGTGGATATTTTCATATCCACCTTCGCTGCATTAATAGTATCATCATAAAGTATCGTTTGTACTAGTCAAGCCTTTTTTTCTCGTTGTCATTTAAGTGCTTCATATTTTACTAGTTGCTAATCTTACAATAGGAAAATAGCACAAGCAAGAGGAGCTAATCAAGATTCTGGACTGATTCCAACCAATATTTAGTACCTATAGGCAAGCCCAGCAATGGAGGAAGATATAAAAAAAACGGCTTCAGTCACTTTCAGGCATGGCATCTGAGGAAGAATGAAAATTTGTTCTACAAAAGGTTGATGAAGTTGCCCAAATCAACAATGGTTATTAGCCAACAAGAAAATAGAACAAAACTAGAACTAGAACAAAAAAATAATATATTGAAATATCAATAAAATAATAGATATACGATAGCAGCCATTCCAACAAATGCATGAATTAAATCCACTGAATTGGCTTCTTGCTCGAATAAATTTTCAATTAACGACTCTATATCAATTCGAACTGGATCGACAACTAACTCAGCACCGCTGTCCTTAAGAAAAAATATTAAATATTAACATTGATCAGATAAAAAATAAGCAATCTCTCAAGTACTGCCCCTATATTTATATCTCGGAGAGTTTGAATCCCAATCTGGATTAAGGAATAGAATGGCTCAGTAGGTTGTGACTCACATCGATGCTGAGGCTTTACTTCCCCTAGCAGTAAACTTTTGGTATTCAAAACTCTTGGTGATGCTGGTGATACTCCTGTACTTCTACCGCCAATATCCCTGGCATATTTGTTCAATGTGACAAGGCAGCGGAATCTAACCAGTAATGATGACAGCTCTTTAAAATATTTGGATTAGGAAGTTTTCTTAAGTCAATTTCTAAGATATGTAGTTGCATTTTTTATTTGTTATATATACATATTATTAATTATATATATATATATATTAATTATATATATTAATGGACCTCACCGGTGTTATCCCTTATTTCCTATTTTAAAAAATTTTTTTCTCATCTGTAGGTGGCCATGATCATCCGCAACCTCGAGTCCTCTACTAGAAGCTTGGGAGATTGAGTTACACACTATTCTGCACTATTTCTAATAGCGCGCTCTTCTGGACATAGATCTCTGAAGCCACTTTTCTAGTTCATGGGCCACAGTTCCAAGTGCTCTAATTATCACTGGGATTACTATGGCCTTGACTTTGAAATCTCTAATTCTTCTTTCAGCCCTTGATATTTACTTATCTTTTTCCTTATTCTTAATGTTCCTGTCGCTTGATATTGCTATCTATCCTTTGTGCTGATTCTTGTCTATTACTATGATATTTGGATAAGCCATATATAGGGCAGATATTCCCATAGATGATGCCAGCCACTTGGTTATGCCTCTCTATATATGTTGTGCCTGCTCGCATTTTACATCCTCCTATGTATTGGAGGGTTGTTTCTGGAGTGTTTTTGAGCGAAGAATCTGAATCTAGAATCTCAACAGATTGGCAGATTCTTTTAAATATATTTGTATGCTGAATTGTAGGATAGGTTGATAACAACTTGTAACTTGTAACTTGTACCTTTAGTATTCCAGATCTTATTTGGCTGATAAAAATATAATATAAAAATTTACTTTGATTTGACAATAGAAGGAAGCATATAAAAAATTTTAACTGGTTTATTCGGAACATTTAAATGTACGTCTAAATGCATCTTCCTTATAAATTTTTTTTATAAAAATCTTCCTTATAAAAATTTTTCCCATCGTATTTCGAATATAATAAATTTTTCTCCTATATTCATTAAGACAATTAATCGCGATTCTGCAAAATTTCATTAAATCCTGGCTGTTCTAATTTACAAACTTAAAAAATATAATTTAGATTCAAGAATTAAAAGAAATTTGCAAGTTTAATTTTTACGTAAGAAACTGTTTCTTTATAATAGTTTTTGCCTTAGTAGCACTAAAAATAATAGACAGAAGACGTGAAAGCCCAGCTTTAAATTTATTTAAATTTGTGTTACAAATTTTTCATTCGATTCGAAGTATTAACTAATGGAATGGAATAAGATACCATTAGATTTTTGTCATCTTCCACCTTCCTCCCTTCCCAACCTGAATATTTAAGTTGCAAAATTATTTATGAAATCATATAATTCAATCATTAGGTTCTTAATATTTCTTTAAAGAGCATTCATTATCGCTCGCTCAGTGTTTGCAGAGTTAGATAAATATGATGGAGTTCCTTGGCAAAAGAAATATAGTGAGTCGTCAGCATCACTCGGATTTTTGAAGGATGGGTTTACTCGTGCCTTAGAGTCAACCACTGAGCCATTCTATCTCCTTTACTATCTCCTTTAGGCGACGAAGAGTGGTTTGTGTCGACTGGAATGGAATCCGTTCCGATTCGCGATGACAAGTATCTTTCCACTGAATCATTGCAGTGACTGCTTTTAATAAAAATTTTGTTGTTGCTGTTGTTAAAAGTAAATCTGATAATGATCTGATAATGGCAAAAATCTGATCTGATAATGGCAAAAAAAATGCCAAAACTCGGTAATTTCAAAACTAGCAATATTTTCATACTATCAAATGATAGATTTAAATGAAAATGAACCTACGAAAATAAAAAGAAAACCTCGATTCCATCGCTAGAAACATAATTTCCTTCGATTAAATGACGGCCAATTTCAAAGATGTTGCAGCGATCATCGACACTGTTACATCGAAATGTATTATTGCTATTATTACACTGATAACGCCTATCACTTAAGTCAGTTTGAAGTTGAATGTTTGCGTATTGCAAATTTTGATAATAACGATTTGCATTATACGGGCGATATTTCGGTTGGCAAATATACGATTTTCGTTTTGGCGGATAATTAATAATTCGTGATAAATTTGCACTATTATCAAACGAATTAACAATGGTATGATTGGACCGCATAGATGGGCGATTAGTGGAGATATCTTGGTTCGTTGACCAATTCGACACTGAACTAGATGGTTCGTATGGTACGGAATGACGTGGCGAATTCGGATCCGAATCCATGCAAATTTCCTGGAAAAAATACTAAACATTAAATGTACATCTTATGAGCTATAAACTCATTACATCTGAACAAAAAATCTCAAAAAATACTGAATTATACGATGAATAAAAAAAATAGTGCGTTTTAATACCCCTTTAATCCAATGGTTCTTACCACTGAATTCAGGTCGCCCCTTGTTGCATCGGAATAAAATTTATAAAAATAGGGAGAAATTAGGGTGAAATTAGGGTCCAAGCAACTCTCCTAACCGGGCTCTTTTTGGCGCAAAATTAAATAGCACTTTAAAATTTGAAATGCTCAACTTATTTTCGAAGAGCATTCATCGTAACTCGTTTAGCTCGCTCTGTTGGCTCAGACAAATTTTCGCCAGACAGTCACTCAGCGACAGAAGTAATCACGAGCATTGCCCGCACATTTGAAAAACCTGTTTACCCTTGCGGGCAGTGAAGCATTGGCGCTCCGGAATGGTAGCAACAACCCGCTAAGCCATTCTCTCTCAACTAATACAAAGTTTAAGCGTACAATACCAAAGGAACCAATAATAAAATATTTAATTTACCAAATATAAATAACTATAAAATTATATAAAATTGTAATCGATAAATAATCAGCGGAAATGCTTTTTTGTCCTTTTTACGGCGATTTTAAATGAGAATAAAATATTCCACTTTTTGGCGAATGCTAATTTCTAATAAAAAAAAACACTATAAGCCAAACCATGGCCACAGCTGAGCAATAAAACGTGAACCACTCAACACGGAACGTGTAAATACGCGACATTTTAAAGAAATTGAAGAGAAAAGAGAGATCAGGCTAAGGGGCCGAAGCTGCTTATTAGTGTGAAACAACCTTGTCAGTGTGAATTTCATTCTCGCGTTCGGTGTCGTCTGCTCACCAGCGTCCTTCATTGTATTTTTTGGATCCTTGGTTAACCAAATAAATTCATCCTTTATAGGATAGATGAAAATTAGTTTCATGCATTTTTTGCGAAATTTTTGTCGTTTCTTTAATTCCCAATCTTTTATAATTAATCTGCGAAATAGTACTTTTCCCTTTTTTTTTTTTTGCTTACATTTTTATTATTTTTGTTAATCGGAAAAAAATGATGGTTTGTCCTGGATTTGTTGACTTCTGAGTGGAAAAAAGGATTGTTTTTTTAATTCTCATCGAAATAAATCGGTTGACACGTAAAGAATGAGGAAAGGGAATTGGGAAGGAATAGCGAAATGAATGAACTTTGGTGAGGAAGCATGGTTCCCTTTTTATCGTATTTTTCCTAATTCCCTGCGGCAGTCGGCCAAAATACGCTGCCAGTGGTTTTTGAGCGAAGGTGATTGCAACCATGCAAGATTTTATTCGCGTGCCTTAGACATAAATGCTGCAGTGACTTCTAAATTTCCTCCACTTTTATCGACCATGTCTGGCTGCCATATAGCAAGATCGAGCGAATTGCAACCATATAGATGCGAACTTTCGTTTTTATGGTAATTTCGCGACCTCGCCAGCCGCAAGAACACATTTCTGGCTACCGGGTTGTAATTTCGTCTTTCGCTATGCCGTTTGGGATTAGAGCTGGTGCAAGATATTTAAATTTGGCACTCTCTCAACCTGCAATGAATTCTTTTCCGAGTGTTTTATGGCTTTATGGATTATAGAGATTCTTCTTCTGTTGGCATTTGCAAACATGCGGCTGGACAGGCGAATCAGTTATGTTCGAGACAACAGATGGCACATCGTGGATAAATTTGAACAAAAAGAGTTGCTTTCGAGCAGTTACGCTGGATCGTGATCACATCTTACTCACAAGCCTTGGGATCGTTTTATACTCTGATTTTATCGCATCGATTTTACTTATCGCATGCCACTGGGCTACGAGTATCATGAAATCGTGTCAAGAAGACCATAGAGTCACTGGTGTCCCCGGCACACCGATATGCAAATATATGCAAGTTCAACGGAATTACCGGAAATATAAGTTTTACGTATGGCTGTGCCAAGTGATTTTAAAGCATTGGAAAATGTGCCGAAATCGAATCGTTTTGTTGGTGTCGATTTTGATAACTTTTATTTTCTAATTTTTCGAAGGTATTTTCAAGTTGATTTTTTTAAGACATGGTTTCTTCACTTGATTCAAATAACCCTGGAAAGGAGAGTGGAATTGATGACGGTCACAGAAATACCCCATCAGCAAGGCATTCAAGCATTATGGAATTTGCTTCAACAACGGTGAATATTTATGTATTTTCACTTTATTTTAAGAATCTTGATAAGCCACCCACTTTATCAGTAGTGTTTGATGGTGTAGAAAGAAATTTAGAAAATTGTTCAGCTTTCAGCGATATACATTTTTACTAATCGCGCGCACAACTACTGGTTAATCAGCTGCAAAGGGTGAGGCGTTCTCAGACTTCTCAATCTAATGTCACATCTGAAAGTTGCAAAAACCTTTTTTCCACAGTTTGAATTCATATATCATGGGCTTGAAATTTCCTGTACCTTAGAAGATCTTAATTGAGGATCTGCGATAGACAGTGGAGAATGTAGACGTTGATAACTTAATAAACGTTGACGACGTTTTGCGACGGTATTACTAACATACGAGCGAAAATGAATACACTATACACTTATATAAGATTTTAATCGTTTAAGTTTTGTGTCAAGTGCACTTTTGGTAGAAAAATTATCTTCTTCCTCTTGATATCTCTTCCACTCTCATTGGAATCTTTGGTAGGATTATACACACTACAGCCATGTAAATGTGAACTTTCATCCTGATGAGGATTTCATTGTGATTCCACAGAAAGAAAAAAGGATGCCTGGCAGCCGAAATTCCTTCTACTCCTTGGCCATGGATGAAAGAGCGGATTCAACATTTTTGAATAGAATTTCTTTAGTAAATATATAATGTATTCATGAATTACAGGTATTTCATATATGTGATGCATTTTTTTTTTTGATATTTAAGTCGAAAAAAGTTTTGTCTTATTCATATTTGTCCAGAGCTCGGTTTCATGTTCATTTCGAGAGAATTTTTCAATTTTTCATACGTGCAAATTTGAGTTGACTTAAATAGATTAATCAAATTATCTTCTCTACAAATCGCACCGCAACCTATGGCCATCACGAATGTTGCTTTATCTGTCGCATCGATAAAGTTCCAGTATATCATTCTATCGGTCAGTGCGCGGAGAAAGCTTAATAATGGCCTAAAAATAATAATAGTCGGAGTCATAATCTTTGTAATTCACTTATTCTGCATTTTGAATTCTGACCGTTCCGAGGGGCATGTTATTTAGGTTAAGGTCCAGTATGCATGTCTTTGAAAAGCTGAAAACTAATTAGAAACGAATCTGCATGAATTGCCTGAGGGCTCACCTATATTTCTCCACTGATTCTCCGCTGAACACAATTTAGAATGGAAAAATAATATTGGAAAAAAAGGTTGTGATGCTGGGCTAATTTTTTTCCTGATGAAAAATCTATAATTTATAATCTATAAATCTATAATCTATAATCTCATTTTCTTCCACAGTGTGATCCTATCACTTGTTTATAATAATTATGAACCACTGTTTATGGAAATTTGTTCTTCGATTTCCCATTCACTTCTTCCATTGTACATTATTGGACATTAACAAATTCATTTCGGAAATTTCCTCATTATTGCTTAAAAATTTTATAATTCAGGTGATACCTTATAAAGTGAATACAAATATTCTTTGCCGTCATGTAGATAATTTGTTTTATCATGCAAAAATTGTCGCAGTTGATAAAGCGCCTGATGGAGAATATGTTTATACAGTTCATTTTCAGGTATATGATGCAACTGCTTACTAAATTATAAACTTACTTTAGTAACACTGTAGAAATTTTTTTTATATAAATTTTTTTCCTGGTACTCTCATCTTATCTGGCATCGAGAAATGTAGTATTTGCACGGTTTTTTTCTTTTTTTTCTAATTTTATTTTCAACTTCTTTATTTTTTTCTTCGCCATCAGCATGCATTATTTACTCATCAACAAAATATTCTATTTATCTCCAATTTCATTTTATTTTTTTCCTACGACTTTTCTAGCCTTATTTCCTTATCTTTATATCTTCTCGCATCGCCTCATTATATCCTGGATGTCTGATTAGATGGAAGTAAATCTTTTTTCAAAAACACATTCGAAATCGTGAAATTTCTAAATTTTATTATATGCATTCTTTTCAACATATAAAAAAATCTAATTGAAGCTATTTACTTAAAATATTTTTTAGGGTTGGAGCAAGCGACATGATGAAAAAATTTCCCATAGCAGTTCTTTAGCCTTATTTCGAAATCCAGCCGAAGAAAATATTCAGGTCGCTGAGACTAAGGTAAAAACTCCTTCCTTCTTCATCTAGCAGAACTCACTTTTCGCTATTTCCGGCTTCATTCATTTTAGATGCCTTTATTTTTCTTGCAGTTGTTAGTCCTGTCAGTTCTAGCGCCATGATTTAATCGATTATTTTCTCCCTAAGGGTTGTTCTCCATGGAGATCGAACATTGATGGGTTTTAGCTGTTTTAAATGGTTAATCAGTGATTCAGAAAATACTGACGTAAAAACGTTATTTAGTTGTTTTTTCTTTTGTTATTTATGTCCTTTTTGTTTGTTTTCTTAAACGATGTTTTTTAACATTTCGTCGCAATATTTTAAATCTGACATAAATTTTTTTTGTATGTTACAAATTATGTTATAAATCGGTTTCGACTTTTGTTTTCAATTTCTTTAACTAATCTAAAGATTTTGACTAAGCGTGGAATAAACGAGATAATGCCGATAAATGTGTATAATAATCTTATCAGCAAATATCACAAAAATGATATTCAGAGATTGCAAAAGGAGAAATATAAAATTATTTGGTGATAATATTTGGTACTTGTTCTGTTGGTATTAATTTGTCTTTCTATATTCATTAATTCTTCGATTTTTTAAAATTGTTTCCGTAATTGTTTCTGTTAATTATTTTTAAGTTTTTCATATTTTTCAGAAGGAAATGAGGCAAGGTCGAGCTTTAAAATCTTTGAAGCCCGAAAAGGCACAGTCAGATAGATCAGAATCAATTTTATCATCGAGGCAATCCACTCCTAGTTCTATGAGCAGTCATGACCAATCTGTGGTGGATAAAGGTTGTGTTTGTGATCTATTTCAAAGTAGTATTTTTATAAGGTTTAATTATTTTTATAAATATTTGTATATGTATATAATATCCAAGAAAGAAATTCGACAAAGTACATTTACCTTTTTGCTTCTGATGATTGTCGAAATGAAATCTTTTCCCCAAAGAGCCACTTGGAAATAGAATTGAAGGTGGATTTTCCTGTACAACCATAATTTCACCTTTAATTCTGTCAAGAAATAAAATTCGTGATGATTGAACTCAGTCGAAGCAACATATTCCAATTTTACCCTTTATCTAACCGCGCTATTTAATTGTGTTTCCCCTTTTTCTCCATTAGCTGCGATGGCTGGAGAAGTGAGATGGATTTTCCTGTACAACCATAATTTCACCTTTAATTCTGTCAAGAAATAAAATTTTTTTCAAGCCTCACGATCAGTTGCCATATTAATAGTCATGGAACCCATTCCCATCGTTTCGGACTATTTATCCCTAAACATGCTTTCTATCCTAACTGTTCTTTCTAAATCTTTTTGTTGCTCTCTTTTTATGCCATTCATCACGATTTGCTTCACTTCTTTATGAATGAAGCATATGGCCTAATCATTTTCAAATTCAAGATCTAATAATAATTTTCGCCCTGCTATTCTTTGCACATTAGTTAAGGTCCTCTGATGGCATTTTTTTTGGACAGTTAGATTGTTTTTGGAATATCCAACTAGTTTTTTTGTTGCACATACTGTTGGAATATAGCCCGGGTTATGCAAGCTTTTAATTGGAATTAATATTCTCTGAGTGTTTGAGATGCATAATTAGTGTTTAGATAATTGAGCTATTTCAATGATTCGAATTGTTTGCTTCATGTCTTTTAATTTAAGATAAACGAAGGACTTTGGAAGGCTTTTTTTCGCGTTGTTAGCTTCAGTACTGGCGTTGGCCCAGGATATAATATAATCTGGTCCATGAAGATTGCTAATTTCAATACTGCGATAGAAAAAGCCATCTAGTAACTAGGAACTGTTCTATCAACCATTAACCATAATATAAAAGTGTTGCTCAATACCCACCTGCATTTCTACTGCAGGGTGAATTCCTAGCAAAATTCTTTTGAATCTATAAGCCAGCTGAACTAGGCTAACTGGAAATGGTCAATGATCTTTGGAAAAAAAACCACAGTGTGATCAATCTGATTGGGGATATTGCTTATCTGGGGAAATCCACGTAATATAAATACATTCTGCAGCGCCTGAAAACATACATTGGTAGCAAAAAATACTCCTCGGAGCTTACTCCTCTTAATACTCCTCAGTCAATACTCCTCAGCGAAGCAAACCACCTTTGCCAGTACATTAACTTAGCATTATATCCTCATTCCAATCGATATATCGACTTTCTTAGCAGTTGAAGTTTCGCAAGTTTGAAAGTATTTTTCTCACAGTCATCTTTATATGAGCATGCTGATGATCGATAAGATTCGTAAAACTTCCTTTTAAATGATCCTGATCGATCTGTCCAAGCTTTCTTAAACATAGAAATTGCACCACTTTGTATCCTGATCCGAGGCATCCGAGTTGAAATAGCTGCTATCCTTTTTTTGAGGTAGGTATAATACTTGAGATAAAGAATAAGGACAGGAAGACCAAGCGAGATGGGCAATGTTCACGTAATACTTGAATAGACTGTAAACACTTTACTGTCATAAACGTTTTAATGCTCCATGCTGCTGCGGCTAAGATCTCATCGCATATAAATAGAGCCGATTTGTATGCCTTCCTCAAAGTTATGAGGCGTTAGCTTGTTTCATTAGTGAGAATTTTTTTCTAGTTTTTTAAAAATTTATTGCAAGTACTGTGCTCACTGGGATAAATTGGAAACCGTTGAATATCATTTCGACAATGCAGTTTAGATCTCCAGATTTTCTGACCAGTTCACTATCAAAAGATTTCATAATCCATAATCTTATGCATCACGAAGGAAAATAAAAGAGATAGTAATTTATACTGTTACTATTTATAAATGGATTCTTGAATAAAAAAGTCCACTTGCAAATTCCACATCCACATGTTATATTTAGAAGCAGCACCTAAACAAAAACCATTATGGACGTCCAGTTTTGCCGTGAAGAAAGAACAAACAGATGCTGCATTGGCTGAGGTATTCAGTTATATTTTTTCTTTTATTTTTCTTTTTTATTTTCTTTTTCTTGAATATTTTTATTTTTCTGTAATTTTCCACTTCAGTAATCAATTTCAGATTGAATTACTGCACTCGAGCGTTCACTCAGAAGTTTTGGAGACAATTTTAGAAAATGATCGCCGTATTATTGAACATGGTATATCACTTCCAAGATTACCAGCACGATGGAATGTTTCGAACATTTTAAAACAGGTCATTATTGAATTTACTTTTATTTTTATTCAAATTTATTTTTTTATTTTAAAATTATTATAGAATTTATTTTTTTAAATTTATGGTTCGTGCGAATCAAAAATTTCTTTTTTTTTCATTATTTCGAATCTATTCGAGAATTTAATAATCATATTGGTATGCATGCGATCGTTTTATTTTGATAGGTATTTTAGTTTTCAACGTATGTTCGAGACTTGGATGCAAAGATTTTAATAAATGATCAAATGAAATCTTCAAAATTTCTATTGTGGAAATCTGTTGTATATTCATTGGATGAGCTTGTCATCACTTTTCAAGTAAAAATTTTGTCTATTTGAGTTTTTGAAGGAATGATGGGCGAGTAGTATATCGATAGTAATATAATTTTTTTTTTATAATTAATAAATTCAGATAGATAATAATTCAGTAAAATGAGGCATCATTATGTCGATTCTCATTTCTTTGAGTAAATTTGTTATTAAAAATGTGGTCCGATTGATACTAAAGATCTGCACTTCTTCCTTTTGGAATTTTCATCTTTATAGTCAGTAGAGTCAGTAGAGCTGATCCAGAAATGTTGAATATGCGTGTTAATTTGAAAAGTTGCTAATTTAAAAATTATTTTCATCCTTTTAAAGTGGCTAAAAATAATCGATTGATCAATTTTTAATTCGAATTATATTATGTTTTCGTTTTTAATACATATTTTTAAATAGTTTTAAAAAATTATATTGCATGCTCTATGCATCATCTTATTTAAAACTGTAATCTTTTAAATGAAGGTTACGAACATTCACCAAACTACGACTGAACGACTGAATTTTTTCAGGATTTTTTCGATTTCATCATTAGTGAACATTTATTGTATGATATCGAGATTGTTCGTCATAAGGAAATGGCAGAGGGGCCTGCCAGAATGTTGAGTCCTTTGCAATTAAGTAATCCTTGATTATTCATTACATATTGACATTTTTGATTGACTTATCGTGGAACGAATTTGCTCTTGCATTGATAATTTTTTTGTTATTGATTTTCAAATTTTCATTGTTTTGTAGAAGTTTACCAATTTGCGAATTTGCAGGCCTAACCGATTATATCTGTGACTTTCGATCAGGTCTCCGTGCCTCTGAATATTATGGTTTCATCCATCTTCTTCGCACAGCTGTTAAGTTCCAATCTTTTGTTCGGTTAGTTTTTGTTTTTTATTAGCTTTTATTGTTAGCTTTTTATTTATTATTAATTTTTTTAAAGAGCTCTTTGCTGTTTAGATTGTTTCGTTGCACTAGATAAATTTGCCAGGAAATCTCTTGGTGATAATAATACAGGTGAGCTCGCCAGCTCACTTCATCTAATGGCAGTCATTTCTGGTTTGGTTGGACCCACTGATTACTTAAATGAGACTCTTTCGCTAGAGTTGTTTGTGAATGGAAATACAGATGGATTCCCTGCACCACTTGTTCTGTTTTCAGTGGTAGGCCAACTTCTTTCACCCAATTGTAATAACATACATCCTCCCTAGCCATCCCCACTTATTATCAAATGAGATACTCTACTCTTTTGTGCAAGTATTCTCTTTTCAGGTTTTTTAAATGCTTTAGTTGCGATGAATTTTCGTCGGATTCACTCGAGATGTTTGGGCGTATACTTATGGGATATTTAGAAAAAGAAGTATCGAGGTTTTTTAATGCAGAAACCGATTATGAGAAAGTGTGCGCGGACTATCAAATGCGTTTTACTAAATTGAAAGAAAGGATTGCTAAGTGAAAAATTCGATATGTTGGTTTTTTCATTCTTTAATTGGCTTATTCTAATTGAAATAACCAAACGAAACGATCCTTTCCTTATAAATCGAAAATCGAATGATTGTGAGAATGGCTTGCAAATAAACGGTATTCTTGTCCTTCACGTAACAAGCGAGAATGTCTCTACATTCAATGTTTAGTATTTCATTTGAAATCAGTAAGAAAGCAATACTAAAAGCCTATCCTAAACTATTCTTGGGTTTTTTATTTTTTCATTTTTATTTAGAATAACCAAGTTTGATTGATGTAAAAATGATTATTGATATTATATATATATATGATATATGATATAATTGATTGATATAAATCTTGTAATATTTTTTAATTGGTCCTATAGAGGATTCAGTGATGTTTCCTTTGTAAAAGGAGATATTACAAATGATTTCAAAAAATGGATTTGCTTTTTTATATTGAAAAAATGTGCAAAGTGAAATAAAATTGAAACAAAGCGCTAGCTAGGAATTTATATTTTTATCGATGCCAATTTTTTCGAAATTTGTAGTAGAGGAGATATAAATTAAACAAAGGAAAACGAGATTAAATAATAAGACTATAATACAAAAATATCCGAAAAAAGAGATTAGATATGATGGAGATTCTCAGTTTTTTATTCGCGCATTTCTTCACACAAGCGAATACGAAATGAAATTGGTTGTGAACGACTTTCATCCGCAACAATTAATTCATCACCATTTGATATTCCAAGTTCTAAATGATATAAATAAGTAATAATCGATAAGAATTCTAATTAAAACTTAAAATCTTTAACCAATTAGCTTAGGGTCTCACTTATATCTCCATCATTAAATGATTCAATGATGAAAGGATTAAACAACTCTTAAAACAACTCTTCAGACTGCTCCAGTGCGCATTGTACCTTAAAGTGGTACATGCGACAAATATGCGAAACAGACTTGGGAACATTGAAAATGAAAACAACGGTTTAGATTTTCGAATTAAGAGGACTACTCCAAAGCAATTAAAGAAACAGAGGAAACTGGCTCTGCTCTATTTACGCGAGGCGAAGTCTTGGCCGGAGCTATGCAGACATCAGAATGCTTATGAACATAAGGAATGCGGCATTGACCTTTCTCCAAATGTGATGTTAATGTCGTAATACTGGGTTCAGAGCAATAATCATTTTAAAATCTAATTAAAATTTATATCACAAAAATTCTGAAAAAAATCAAAGTAAAAAGTAAAAATAATTCAAAACCACTGAATGAAAAAATTGAATGAAAAAAATTAAAGAAAAAACCGGTAAAAGTTTTAGAAAGATTCTGAGTACTTATACGGTGTAATTCCGGAAGCAAACTATTCTTCACATACAATTTATCCATTGTTGTTTGTACTGAAGGATTAACAAGTTTGCTGAAAATTTAAAAGAAAATATTAAATATATGTCTGCATAACCAAAAATATCCGAAATTTCTCAGCAAAAAATATCTGCACATAAAACTATAAAATTAAAATAAACGGTGGAACTCACAATTTATTAATGAGCGTCTCAATAAAATGACGAAAAGGCTTTGTCGAAGATACTTCAAAATAATGGGCCTTGGGACTACATACTGTACAATCTGCCTAAAAATACGATTAAATTTTAAAGCTATCGACTAAATATCTGGTGGAATAATTCTTTTAAAATTAGAATGTAGTTTCTGATATAATGTTATATATTGTGTATGAGTGATCTCTAAGATTACAATGCATTTACGAATTGGAAATCAAATAAAACCAATTAGAAATCCATGGGAAAATTTTCGTCTTCCTTTCGCTGAACTAATTAATGGCAGTACAAGAAACCAGGACAGAATGACCTAATTAATTAAACTCGATTTAGACAAGGGGCATTAAATATTCACTAATAAAAGTATATAATGATAAAGAATTAGAATTAAAAAGATGTGCAGATAAATGAAAGTAGGTGAGAGAAGATGAATTCAAGATCATCCTTTCAATATTATTCGCGTCAATTAAATAAGAGAGCGCCGTCTATGCTAGTCATGCCATAGGCTAGTTCCTCCTTACCACCGTCGCTGCTTACCACCGTAATAGCTTAAAGGGTAGAAAAAAGAATGTTATACTTTTTAGACATGGAAACGCTCCACTCATGGAATCAGTGGCACAAAGGTTTAGCTAGTAACGGTGTGAGTTGAGAGAAAAAAGGGTCTGTTATGGAAAAAAGAAAATATTTAATCAAAAAAAGTTACATTTTTCTCCAATTCCACTATTCCAACGAACACTCCTTCCACATTTGAAAAATTTAAGTAATTCGACATAGGACAAGAGATACTAAAATTTGAATTTGGATTTCTATCGATAAAATAATTATATGTATATACATTTATATAATAATTATATAATATATATATATATATATATATATATATAATGTATGATAAAAATTATTGAAACAAAATTATTGAAAAGATTAGAATTTTATCTATAATTATGTTATTAACTACCACAACCAAACCCAAATAAAAGAAATCAAAGAAAAACAAACTTTGAAGCCAATTTTAAAACTTCCAACGCACATGATGCTGAAAATAAGATTAAAGCTAATAACTAATATTTATTTAAAAAAATGATAATTCCTCAAAAAGGACCACTACCAGAAACAAAAAACAAATGATATTGAGCAAAAAATCAATTTTGAAGAAAATTTCGTATAAAATCGATGAAAAATTCTCAAAAAATAAAACAGTAAGGCATTATTTTTATATTCATACCAGCAATAACTGCATTAGTCGAAGCTACTGCTGGAATTATTCGTTTTAAAACGCCTTTCGTGAGTCGCAAATCTACTCCTTGAATTCCAAATTCTTCAGCTCTGGATTTCGCTGCCGACAGTACCCATTCAATATGCTCCATGTCATCAGTGTCCAAAGGCACATCTAAAATTCACAACAGAAATTGGGCGACGACCTAATGAAGTAATCTAATTGCATAATTCAATGTTAGAAAAAATAATGCCAGATAAAAAGTATTTAAAAGAAGAATAGCAGATTTCAACCTTTAAAAAATATCAAAAAATCTAAACGAACATACCACCAAAAGGCTTTTCTTTCTGCCACAGTAACTCTTTAACGTATTCGATACAATGCTCAGGTAAGCGAGGTGTTTGAGCTATGGTACATAATGGGTAGTTAACCTGAATGTCACCATAAAAAAATAAGATTTAATAAAATCTTTAATAATATCAAGTACACTATGGAACAAAGCGTGGAATTAATTTAAAAAACATATAAACACATATACTTGCGGAGGATAGAGATCGATAGTACATTCAATGCATGCAGTCAAGGTAGGAAATATAACTCGAGAATTTCCCTTGAATCCTTCTGTACCACCATCAATTAAAGGAATAATTCCTCTTGTCCTTCCTTTTTCATCCCATTCAACTAAACTAACCTAAAATATTAATCAGAAACATTAAAACAAATTAGTAAAGATTAGGATTAAGAAATAAAATTTCCATCATTCCAAAATGATGAAAATTTATTAGCATTCAAATTGAGTTTTACCAATTTCGCATTTAACCATCGCCTTGCAACAACTGAATCGAGACCACTAATCACTATATCAAAATTTCGATAGAAATCATCATCCTTGTCTTGAATTTTGCAATAATGACTACAAATGTTTCAAAATGTAAAATGTATAAAATTCGGTTGGTGAAATTTGCATTCGTAAATTACTAATATTATTAATTAATAATAATATATATAAGTTTCTAAAAAATTATTAACGAAAATCTTCCAAAAAAAACGAAGAAACGAAAAGCAAGAAATATAACCAAAAGAAATTACGCAATAACATTGCAATCGCCGATTCGTTCATTTATAAATGCTGCAGCAACTTCGGCTTTTGATTTTCCAACATCTTTTTCTCTAAATTTTCTCTAAATAAATTTGAACGATCAATAGACGGAAATAACACAGCAAATAAAAATTAAAGTAAATAAATTAGAGTAATAAGTTCAATTTTACCTAAAAAGAAATTGCCGATTGAGATTTGAGAGTTCGATTGTATCCATATCGATAACATGAATGCATCGAAAGCCAGAGAATGCCTTAAAATAATTGAAATTTTTCAAATAATTTTACCATTCTTTCTGAATATTTATTGCTGAATATTTATTTCTTTATATTATTTATATTTATTTTATTTATTTAAAAAGAAATAACAGTTATGAATAAAAGGTTTAATTCAAAAAATTGCGATATAAAAAATAAAGATGAATTAATTCTGTTCAAAAAATGGGATAAAATGGAAAATTTAGAGAGTAATTTACAAATTAATTGAACTATTTATTAATTAATTTATTATCAAGTTATTTAAATACTCACCAAATTTTTTAATAATTCACATCCTAAACCACCAGCGCCAACGACTAATAATTTACATTTACGAATTGCTTCTAAGTTCTATAAAAAATATATATTTAAAAAAAATTTAGGCAAAAAATTTAGGAAAAATTTTTTTTTAAGACCTCAAAGATACTGCAAAATTTCTGCGACCATATTACAAATAAAAAAAAATAAAAAATGCCTAAAATATAAATTAAATTATAAATAAATATTATCAAGGAGAAATTACGAAAAATTACAAACATTTCACTGCGAAACAAATCGATTATGCAATTAATTCAAAAAATTATACGCCAAGCAAATGTGATGCCCAGTAACAAAAGCGCTTAGGCTCAATGAAAATCTTAAGTGGTACAGCCAAAAAAGATTTAAATATACACGATACAACAGCTTTAGCCGATGGAAGACGGTACAGAAGACAGACTTAACTTCACACATAGCATTAGGCACAAAGAAAGTCCCTTACCCCAGTAAGTAATGATATTAACCCATAATGACAGGTATTTGTGCTAAAAGAAGAAAAAATTTAAAGAAAATACATGAACTCCAGGAGTGAAAGCGGGATGCGCAAATGATGAAGCTCGTTCAGTTAAACGTCGTAAATCTCGCCACTGATCATTTGCATAACTATCAACTGATATATCCTTCGCCAGTTCATCATTTTCATCATTAATTAACGTCGATTCCTCAAAATCCACTTCATAGGTTAACGACGAATCTTCTTCTATGTTCATTACAATCTAATATTCTTTGACAAATTTTCGTTTAAAAGCCCAAAAGCCCAAAATCTGAAAATAGCAAAGTTTTTAATCAAACAAAAATCAAGAAATCAATTTTATAGTATACATATATATATAAGCTGATATGAAATGGCCTAACTGATTGTTGCTCAAATGACTCAGTGCATTATTGCTCTCATTTCGAAGTGCCAATGCTTGGGTTTCTTTTTTGTAGAAATAAATTTGCCTTTTAAAAATCCAAATGATGAGGGCGATTTACTTCCATAAAAAAGGATTGCGATATAAAAATTTCAAAAAATAAAATTTGAAAAAATACAAATAAAAATAATAGACAATCTATAATATTCAACTATGCGATAGACTGGATTATGGACACCGCTTGTCAGCACTCAAGAAGTGTACAAATTAGTCCAGAGCACCGTATTATGAATCTTGAATACGCTAATGATGTAATGTTAGCCCTTTCTTGCTAACAGTTATGACGAAATACAAATAATCCTAAATAATATATCAGCAACTGCAGCGAGAATTGGATTCAGAGCCAATGTAAGTAAAACGGAAGCCTTTTCTTTTCTTATGTGCAAGAAGCTGATAAAATGCCTCTTTTTATAAATTTATTGCCGGTTGGGGAAGTGCACGATTTTAAATATCTTGGGTCCACTCTAATACGAAATGGACAGGCAAAAGATGATGTTAACTCGGATCAAGGCAGCTAGAAATGCGTTCTTCCGGTTGAAACGAAACCTTTATGGAATCGTCGTGAAATCACCATAAAATCAAAAGTCCGCATCTATACTGCCGTGATCCGTTCGATCTTATTATATGGTTCTGAGACATGGCCAATGAGAGTGGAGGATATTAAGAAGTTATCTGCCTTTGACCACTCTTGTCTAAGGTACATATTACGGATCCGTCGAACGGATAAGGTATCACAAGATCGCATCCATCTTCAAATACCACTTGCATAAATAATGTTATCACAGAGCGCCGCCTTCGCTGGGCCGTCGTCCACCACAGGAGTTGACGCATATTTCGTTATTTGCTAAACCGTGTGACGGTGAGCGTCAAAAGCGAGGTGGGCCAATCAAGACCTGGGCTGATACGGTGAGAAAAGTTTTTGAACGTATAGGTGGACCAGCAATATATGGACTTAAACGATGGAAAAAGGAATGGCTTCCATTAGTGTCGACGATGGCATCAGACCGCGCCGCTTGGAAGCGTCTTACCTTTGTAGCTGTTGGAGTCAGCCGCCGCCTAACCAGTAATGGTGAAAGCTGTTGGAAGAAGAAATAAACAATCCAAAGCGATAATTTAGCAGTAATTTTAATATTTCTTTTCAAAAAATATTAAGAAAATAAAAAGTAAACAAATAAATAAACAATTTTAAGCAATAAGCATCAAAGTAAACTTTTACCGACGTAAGCGATGAAAATGAATTGAAAGATGTTAACAGTCGGCTAAAAGTCGTACGCGGCGACTGAAATCTGTTCTTTTTGCGCCAGATTGGCTACGAGGTTTTGCAAAATTTCAACGAGAACGTGGTAAATTATGATAATTCCCATAGTGATTATTGCGCGCGCGCATTATGATGCGTGGGTTACGACAGCAGACTGTTGTAAATATTTCGATATTCGGGAGAATTGGGCGCCCTGCAGTGACCACACATCTACATAAGATAATGCTTGATTAATTTTCCTTTAAACTACGAAATCTCGGCAAAAACCGCATAAATTTGGTACCCGTGGATCTTTTAGCAATTAATCCATTTATAATGGCAATATTTTAAATGCTATTTGTAGCCATTTACAGCACCTATTTTTGTAAGTTCGCTTAACGCCCCATAACTCCACAATATGTTCATGGCGACAACAAGTTAGAGAACCGCATGATTTGAGGTACCGTGACTGAGAATATTGATGGAATTAATAGGAACTGTAAGCGAGCGTTAAGGAAGAATGTAGAAGTGATTTGAAAACGAGTTTCAAACGAGTTTTTCCAGACTACTTCAGTCCAGGTCCTGATCGGCCCTCTTCGCTTTTGACACCATCCATCGCAGGGCTTAGCTCGAAATAAGTACCAATTACTGTGGTGCACGACGGCGAACGTGCTTAATCGGCGTAGACGGCGTAGAAGCTCTATAATGGTAGTATTAATGGAAGTGGTATTTGAGCTATGGTCAGCGATTGATAACTTAATATCATCCACTCTCCTGGGCCATGTCTGGCAGTCACACAGCAAGATCGCGCGAATTGTAACCATATAGATGCGCAATTTCGTTTTCATGGTGATTTCGCGACGACCTCATAAACGTTTTGCCAACCTGAAGAACGCATTTCTAGTTATTTGGGTGTAATTTCGTCTTTCGTTGCATTTAGAAAAATGAAAATGAAAATAAACTTAAAAAGAAAAAATTTATCTTAAAAAATTAATTAATTAAAACTGAAAATAATTTTTGTTTTTTATTTATATTTCTTCCTCGTTTTCTTTATATTTTAAATATATTTTTGTTTTAAAATTTAAAAAAAAGAATTTAAAGAAATTCATTTAAAAATTTAAAAATATTCCAGAAATAGCGCAATTTCACAGCAGAAAAAACCGATCACAAAATTTTAAATTTAATTAATTAATGAATAAGTAAATAAATTTTATTCGATTCTTTAAACAGGCCACAATACAGCGTTTAAATTGGATTTGCGCCTAAGAAATTGTCAACTCAATTTGAGAAAAGCATTTAAATTGTTTCATTTCAAGGAAAACCTTTATTTCAATTCATCCAATATTCAACTCTTATTTTACAAAAATTATTTTTAAATTAAATTAATTTTAATAACTGTCCAGTTATGGATTTTGAAATTATACAGTGATAACACCGAGTAACCACAAGTTGAGGTCACCAATTTGAATGTGAGGAAAAAAATGAATTACAGCAATTTCTGCTTACCAAACTAAATGGTGATGGAAAATGTTGAAGAGCCATGCCCACGAATAGCATTCTCCTCCTTGAGCTGAAAGACTTGAAAAGCATGTTATCACAAAGAAAGAACTGATTGAATTGATAAGAGAGGCGCACTACCACTCGAAATTCGTACTTGTTGCAAGATCCGTGATTCCATCATGCAACGTAATTTTTCATGACGGTTTTTTTTTAATTTTTTATGTTTAAAAGCGAATTGTTCAAGATTAAACATTGGAGAAAGTTCGCTTCTTTTTATTTCTATCGAAAATCAAAAATTTTTTCTTCTTATTATTTCCCAATCATCGACCCAGCGTTTAAGCCATGAAAATCCGTGATAACTTTAGAAAGCGCAAATGAACGGGAAAGAAAATTATTTGAGAAGTAAATCGTAGAGAGCTGAAAAACGAGTTTTGTTCTTCTGTTCCTATGGTTTTATTTGATCTCTTTGTTTCGAATCCTTTATGTTTTTCTGTTGCTTCCTTTGTTTTACTGTAATGCTACAATATAATTGCCTTTTTTAATGACTTTTAAATTTTTATAAAATTTTAGAATTAAAAAGATTTCGAGGAAGTTTTTCCTCACTTAAAAATGATATATAAGTCTTTTAACAAAAGTGTTCATAGAGAGTGTTCATAAAAGTGTTCGCCTGTAAAAACAGAATGGTACTTGATTTTCAAGGGCTGGCAAATAGACTAAAAATAAAATTTTTGAAATTAAAGACTTAACGTTTTTTACTAACATTTTTCTATTTAATGGTTTGTATTTAGTTTGATTGATCAAAAATTTCTAATCAATTACCTAAGAAAATTATTAACAAACTAAACGCAGATAGTAACTGCTGATATTTCATCTTCGCAAGTATTCATTAATTCAAGCTAAATTTTTTACAAAAAATTTATGACATTAACTGTACGAGAATCTATTTTTATATGTAAATATGAATGAGAATGCAATTGCTAGAAATGTATTTCAACAATTTTTGGCTGAAATTCGTCCTTCACTCGTCGCCATGAATTATCGAATTTTAAAATAGCGAACAGCTAATAATACCTACGATTTAGTCACTAATGAAAATCCTTTCATATCAGTTGATATGAATAGGAATAATTTCACCTTGTAATATCTCTCTGTTCCATCGCAAAAAACAATTTATTCTAAATATTTGAAAATTATTCCTCGGGAGGTACTTCGTTGAATTACTGATTTCATAGGTCTTCCATGTATGCAATGGTAAAATATAAAAATAACCTAGGCTGCCGGTTCCAACTAGCTTTCTATTTCTCTAAAATAGAAAATGGGAATTGTTTCTTTGCAACAAAAAATTTTTTATCTCACTCTACCAAGAGATCAAAGGGAAAAAAAACTAAGAATGCAAAATTAACCATTTAGAGAAAGGAAATTGCTTTTTCCAAAAGAATCCATCATTTCTGCTTACTTCAATGGCTTATTGGACTAGGCAAATGCCAGGGAGGCACTTCGGTAAAAGAAGCAGAGAGAACAATATAGTTGAGTCGCCAGCATCACCCGATTTTCGAAAGTACATTTACTCCTACTGGGACCCTCTCAGGATCATTCCATGTATCCCAAAAAAGGGCAACCCAACCATTCTGTTTCACAATGAGCAGGAAAAATAGAAGTAAAATATTTTTCATAACTATTTATATGGTAAAATGGCACCAGATATTATAATAAATGAACACGAAATAGAACCAAATTTATTCGGCGAACGGTTCAATTTTCATGGATTCATGGATTCCAGATTATACCTAAGAGGATGTTAGTGTGGAGAGAATTCGTGTTTTTCATCAAAAAATCAGAAGCCATACAAGCAAAATTTTGAAAAAAAAATTGGGTATCGGAAGTTGGAAAAAAAATCTCATTTATTAGCGCAAAAACAAAAAAATTTAAAAATATAAGCGACAACGAGCATAAATTTATTGTTTCTAAAAAAGATTAGTAGAACTCAGTAAATTTCGAAAAGCAACAAAATATAATAAATGGGTAAAACAATAAATGGGTTTTCGAACGATCACACAGTAAAGAAAGTTAAAATGTCCGGAAGAAACAAATTTTCTTCATTTGAATAAGAAAATATGATTTATTAGTGCCTTTGCGTGTTGGCGATCGCCTCATCAGTCGTCAGGAAAAGGTGCAAAAGCAAATCAAATTCGCGCAAAAATGTTAAATGCAGAAGATCCAGAAGCATTTTGAGTTCGGCTTTTTGGTGACAAGCGATACTTTTTTTGCATCGAGGGATTTCCGAATTTCATCGAATTTCGCTTCAATTCCCATTAATGAATTGTCGGTTAAAAAATAATATTCGTACAATTTTCGAAGTTTCTCGGCAATATTATTCAAAAAATTTCGAATCCGATCCATTTGCAGGATTCGATTGAAGTTCTCTTCGTAAGCACGTATGTCGAGAAGGCGTTCTTCGATGTTATGAAGGCGACGACGCACCGCTGGAACCCTTTTCCATAAATCAAGAGCACTTTTTTTGTTTTTTTCTTTCTCGTCGATGTATAAGCGATGCTTGTCAATCATCACAGCGAGCTCTTCAAATGCTTCAACTGTTTGATTTTCTAATCGTTTTAGCAGCTATAAATACAATGCAGAATAAAAGAATACAGAAATTCCCTTAATTAGATTAATTATTACTGTTGAATATCATCATCAGCCCTCTCAAGTTCCACATGAATCCCCACAAAAACATAATTTAATATTTAAAGAAGTCTGAAAAAAGTTGAAATATTTTGTTTGAAGTTGAAATATTTCAACTTCAAACAAAATTCATGGAACTATAGAAGGGAAATAAATCGAATAAAAGGAATTGCTTTGTGAGAATTAGAGAAATAAATCTACTGTTCCAGCATCCTGATTTAGATCCTGAACTTTGCTTGGGGACACGGTCCACAAAGACGAATTCATCGAATCCACCTCACTTTCGATTTCATCCAGGCTTTTTGTTTCCTCAAATATTCATAATATATAATATTCATCTACATTTGGCTAGTTTTATCTTCTGAAAAAAAAACAGCCAGTGATGTAAATATATTTATTGCTTTCATAAGAGGATGTGCTTTTGTTAAAATTATTTTTATTAAATTATAATTTCTAATTAATTGAATGAATGAGGAACTTAGAACAATTTAAATTTTTGGCCAATGGCTTATAAATGTCTTTTAAGCAATTAATATATAATATAAAGTGATAATAAAATAAATAGTAATAAAAGTAATAGTAATCAGGACAACTAAAGTTTTTAAGTATTACCATTTGCTTATCATATTCGAAAAAAGTCTCATCGCTCGTCCCTTCATCTTCCATGTTTTTCAGTTGCCTTTCCTCACAAATAAAACACGGAAACTGAAGGAAAATATTAAGCAAACAATCAAACAGCTTTAAAGGAGCATGAGGACAATTTTAAATGGATAAAACATGCGAACAATCGAGGGATTTCAGTTGTTTTTCTAGCGCTCATTATTTTGAGTTCGACTTGCCTTGCTTCTTTCGCCTGTCAGAATAGAGAAATTTTATCAGTGAACCACTTGACGATTGAAGAGAATGTGGTTCGCCAGCATCACTGGGACTTTTCAAAAATCAATTTACTCTTGCCGAGTGCAGGATTGGAAATAAGAGCAACACACTGGACCCTACTATCACTTTATTTCAGTCGTTAAAAAACTAGACAGTTAAAAAGTTAGACTATGTTGATCATCACGCTGCTTCTAAAAGATTTCAAAAAATCGTAACGATGATAAAAGATTCCAAGCTAAATGAATAATGGCCAGAATAAAGGCAATATGGGTATTTATATGAGTAAATATAGAAAAATGTGAAAAATGTCAATGTAGATGATAAACTTAAATGGTAAAAACTTACGAGTTGAGTGGAATCACTTAAGAAGACGTTTTTGCAAATCGTTTGTTGTGCAGTAAATGTAATAGCATAAAACAAAATGATAGAATAGTGTTTCCCCATTGTTTCTCTAACATAAAATCTCCTCAGGTTCGTTAGTTTCAGCTAAATAAAAGAACGAGTACGGTCATTTAAAGAATATCAAAATCTACGTAACGTATAATACGCGAGATTCAAATAAAAGGCGATTATTGACTGAAGTAATAAAACTGAATCTAAAATGCAATAAAACTATTTCTAGTTTATTTTAAACGAAATTTTTAAGATGGAATTCTAAAATTCAAACAATCATGAAATTCTTTGAAAATGACTTTGGTGAAGGCCAAAACTTGCGGCTTAAAATTTAGAAGATACAAATATTAATATTTATCAAATTTATATCACCACAACTTTTACCACATGAAGTTCTTTTTTATTTTCTAAAAGTGCCTTTTATTTCTGGCTTGATTTGTTCTTTTTTGAAAAATTTATCTGGAAGCAAATTGGTAACAAAAGCACAATTGAGTCGGCAGTACCATCACGATTCTTGAAAAACTCCTTATCTGTTGGGAATAGCACACTACTACACAGTATTTCGAAAAGTGAACAAGAACTCGCCAAGCCATTCTGCTCCCAATTTAGATTATCAGTGAACGGCTGGTAAAGAAAATTTACCAAATCAATTTATAATAAACATGACTCATTTTCAATAAATTACAATAATATCGTTGGCCAAATCATTGCTAAATGATCATGAAAAGCATTCATCAGCGGATTCTTTTCCTGATGAAATAATCAAACAAGAATTATCACAAATATCAAAAGAAACGAGAATTATAAATTTAAAATATTTAGAAAATATTTAGACCAAATAATGCCTTTTCTGCCTAAAACTCAATTTATCACATAGCTGAAGCCTTTTTTCTCAGTTCAGTGATAACAGCAAGAGGCTGTGGGTGGTGCATCTTATCATTCTCTCCTTTTTCCTCTCTGCAATTTCATTTTCATTCCGTTACAGCTGCATTTCCTCAACAATAAATTAAAACAACTTTCAATTGTTTTTTAAAACAATTTTTCATCTTCATTGTCCCTACTATATTTTTTCCCTTATCATCACTTCGAACATAGTTATAGAACGATTAAGCACTACCAGAACCGACATAGCCAACGATACGCATGCCAGGTTTTAATAAAATTTTTAGAAAATCGTTTCATATCAGTGGAGAATTCCTTCGACAAAAGAGCTGTTTTTGTGCTATATGCGATTCAAAATTTTGCAAAAAAAATATTTTAAAGTTAAAATATTTTAAAGCCTTATATATTATTAATATTTGAATAGAATATTTCGTATTTTGTATTATAGATTTAAGTAATTCATTAATTAATATATATTCTTCAGAAAATAAAAGTTACTTAAAATCTTGCGAAATATTTTGGCATAAAATAGATTTTACAATACATAGCGGTTAATTACTCCAGTAGTATTTGCTCGCGATGAAGTATTTTTTTCAGGAAGTACCATCGTCACTCATTCATTTATCCATCCCGAACATAATGTAGCAAAAGCGATCAAAAAGTGAAATATGCCTTTAAAAGAAAATTCCTAACTAATAGATTTAAAGCAAAGGATTGAGATAAGAGCCAACGAGTTCCGCAAGTTGCACGAAAGGTCTGCGCGCACTGAAGCTGCAAGGGGAAAGTATGCGCATATTTCGTTCAGTGTCGCCTAGTCGTTCTTGTAGAAGTACCAGCATCCTTTCTTGAGGGAGGAAAATTAGAATTGGGTCGATAATTCCATTCAATTGAAAATAAAATAATCAACATATACATTAAACATTAAACACTAAAAAATATCTATAAAAATTGCAAAATATTCTTTAAACATCAAAGTTCATTTGGACGAATGCAGAAAAAAGAAAAAAGATATTTGCCACTTTCAGTTTAACCTCTTAGAAACAATGGTTTAATAATAAAGCTTCAAGATGAAATCGTAAAATTCTTCGGCAGAAATCAGAGAAGAAGAATGGTCAAAATTAATTATCATTAAGTATGAGATTAAATGAGAAATACATCTTTTAGAGGAAATACTCTATGCTATTTTCTTTCGAAGACGCTTTATTTTGCTTTATCGGTTGCGCAAATGACCCTAATCATTGGTGATTTATGGACCAAATGGTCACAATCCAGGCAAGATTAATCATAAGTGCCAGTGAAAATCGTAGACCGCCTAATCTTGCGATTCAATCTTTCGTTGAAGAGAATACTCGGTGAACTCGATACAATAACCTAGGATGAAAATAACATTCTTGGTTCCAGAAACATTCACCATGTCGCTCGCATTGCAGCTATCATCTGCTCATTAAGATTCTATAATCCTTACTATGATCATCGGTTAAATAACAAATGAAACTATCCTGCATTTGAAAGTATTCAATCATCTTCGAGAGGGAATTTTCTTCAGCCTTTCTTCCAATTTTATCGTCATATTGTCATCGACTAATGTGCACAACTATTTTGGTTACTTCTCTTTTGTCCCACCGAAAGGCCTATAAACTTAAAATAGATCTTAAAATAGATTATTCATACATCTCTTATTACATTGCAAAACAAATTGAGATTAAGCAAAATCAAATCTTTTAATTTTAATATTTACGAAATTTCTTAACACAGAAAAGCGACTAAAAAGCTCGTTATTAGACTAAATAAAATCCATGTTTGTGAAACATGGGAGATACTTTTCAAAAAATTAACTTTGTTGTTGGAATTAAAAGAAATTTCGTCTAAACGTCGAGATAGGTCGATATATTTCATAAGAAGGCTTATATTTCTTTTTCAGGACCTTTCATTCCGCTAATTTCCTCGTCCAGGCAAATATAGGAAGTCGCTTAGAAATAGAACACTAGCGCTCCAGAAACAACAAGCATTCATTCCTCTCCACGCCATAACCATTGTTAAACAATAATATATCCTGATGATGAAACTTATTTTTTGTGAAATTTTACCTAATCGACTTTTGTTATATGACGGTGAAAATAGGTGCAGAAAATCGTTGTCGAAATTTCTTATTTCTTCATGATGCGGTATGCGGTATTACAAAAATTTTGCTTCGACGAGCCAAATCCCGTCGTTTATTTTATATACCTCATAAATCCGCGATTGCTTTTTTAAAAAATTTATCCTCATTTGTAAAGTTTAAAAATTGAAATAATTGCCGTCCTTACTATAATAAAAGTTTTTTATTTGATTTTCTTATATTTTGTAATGCAAATAAATATTAAAAATAAAACAACGGAAAAATGTTGAAGGTTTTCAAATTAGTGATTTATTGTCCTTTATTGAATGAATTATTTCAAATGTCCTTTGAGCGTTGCTGCTTTCAAAATTTTCAAATTCTCCATATCGACTCTTTAAAAATCCTCAAAAAATTTTCGATAAGAAAAGGCGCTCGAAAAAAGTCTGCAAATTTTTTCTTGTCTAATTTTTCAGGATAACACATTTACATAAACCTAAATATTTCTAAATATTTTACCGACTATCGATTCAAATATTCCTTTAACTAGCCAGATTTATCATGACTGATACAAAGTTTCCCAATGAGTGTCGCAATAATCTGTCCCTAACTTTATTTATTAATTCAAGCGATGGCCAATAAGAGCAGAAGAAGACGCTATATATGCGCAAAAGAATATCGTCGATATATGTCTATACATCACTTATGCGTCTCGTCTATTATCTCATTATTATCATTTGGATTAACAATATTGATCAATTGGATTAACGTCTTATGCTGTTCAGGCCAAATTCTTTCACATTAAAGGAATTGGTGCAGGTGACACCCTGTGGTCGTTGCCACCACCAACGCAGAAGATCAATCAACTCCTTAACTAGTGATGTGATAATAGGCGAGACGCACAGATATTGGAAATTGAAGATATTGGAAAATTAGCTTAGCCATGCTCAGATATGGCATCGACACGTTTAAATACAACGTTTTGTCCTTGGATCTAACCTATTTAATAATAGTCCTTTTAACAATATTTTCCGCAAGTTTTTGAACGAAAAATTAAAATGCAGTGATAAAGATTGAATCTTTTTTATTATGGCGCAAAAATGTTCGGTATTTTTCAGTTTCTTCTGCCTTAGAGCTTTATATATTTTGGATATATTTTATAGATTCAAATGGATATATATATATATGCATATTCAATGAAATTAGTACTCCATACTTTAATGCTTTAATATTCAACATTAGAAAATATGTTTACTGTTAGGCTGTTGTTTATTCTATGAGAAATGATTTGACATTGGTTGCCATAACTTTGGAAGTACGTCATCGCTTCTTAGCAAAAACTACGATGACTATTAGCCTTAAAAAATTATTTTCCTAACTTTTCTTTCAACTATGTTCATTTATTTGGTTAGATAATCAA